TGTCAGCTTTATAGGACGTCTGGGTGGCCATCTCTGAGCACTCAGAGAAACTCACTGGTTGTCCTTGATCTAGAAGGCTCTCCTCGGAATGGTTCCGTCTTATCTATGTTCACTCCGCTACGCTTTAAGGTCCAGTGATATTTACTGCTTGTATATTCCACGAGTGCGGACTGAATTGGGGGGGGGGGGAAAGCATTCAGTTTTGCCGCCCCATCAACATGGTACAATCTCCAGGCTGAACTGAAATGGTCTCAACTTGTATCTTTTAATGTTTTCAGACGTCTCCAAATGGACAGACAACAACAATCTATTAAACAGTGCCATTTTTTCTTTGTGTTTTGTTTTTAACATGTCATGTACATGTATTTTATGGCTGTTTTTTAACGACGTGTGCTGCTGCCTTCTTGGCCAGGTCGCCCTTGAAAATGAGATCTCGATCTCAATGGGACTTTTACCTGGTTAAATAAAAGTTAAATAGATTACACTGTGTTCGTTTTTCTTTTTCCAAAACCAATCAAATGGTATAGTAGATAATACGGCATTCACTTTTCAGAGAAGTAATCAATTAAATATCCATGCATAATGTGTTAAATAAACATGTGTTGATCAGTCCAGTCCAGTAGTTTGTTTCATGGACAGTCTGTGTACGTCAGTAGAACTCCTGTGTTTGTACTTTACAAGGCCTCCAGGAGCCTGAAGTGTCACAGTTGAGGGCTGAGACACCGAGAGGAAGTCCTCTGACCTGAGAGAGCTGGTGCTTTCTGAGCTATAAAAAGACATGTTGCTCCTCTGTTTCCATCGTCCTGTCTGTGGCTGTGCACATGTGGCTATGATACTTTCTTTCCTTAAATGTGTTTCTCTCTATCTCCGGGCCAAAGGCACATGGCCTTTCATTTGTCATTGTTGAGCTGTCATGTCTCAGACGGGCTTTAAGCAGCTTTTAACTAACGACTGGAAATCATGTGAGGATCTTAATTCTATTCATTTGATTAATATGCTCCATGCTGATTCCCTAAAACCCCCTAAAAGAGGCTCGGGGGAGTTTTTGTTTCAGGATTACTTTGAGGACATCTTGCGTTCTTGCTCAGCATGCTTATTTCCTGCTTTTCCAAGGATCAGACAAACAACTTGAATCAGTGGATTCCCCTGCTGCGGGACGCTAAATTGCTGTGCAGAAAAGTAAATTAAAGCCCTGGACCCCCTCGAAGTTTGATGTATAGTTGGGTGCGTATCAATGAGTAATTTAGCAGGCGTCTCCGGCAACCCTGAGCGAGGGTTGACTAAATTAGAGATCTTTGGCTGCAGCGTCTAATTTAGAGAGTTGGAGGTATTTGCTACCTTTTTACCTTTCCTTGCCACCCGTTATAGCAACACTTTGTTGTAACACACGCAGATGGGTCACATCTGTCCGGACCGCACCAGCATGTCCGTCTAACTGAATGTGTGTGTGTGTGTGTGTGTGTGTTTGCACTCTTCCACCTGGTCATAAAGCGTCAGGAAAGTGTTGCTTTCTTGGCAGCTCCAACAGAGCCGGCCGGATTTCCTGTGGCTTCTGGAGGAGCCAGATCACGCGGAGTCCACATCCCTCCCTCGCCCCCACATACCCCTGGGTCTATCATCAAAGTACTGAACAGGTTTACCCATCTCAGGGCTGGAGAAATGAACAAAGTTGTACTTTTTTTAAAATGTCCCGCATGACCTTATTATTTGCAATTGTCCTGTCATTTCCCAGTTGCTGGACTCCAGTCCGTATATTACAGCTTCATTAGCATCTATAAGTGACTACTTTTAAGAGTGCAGACTCTGCCCTCAGAGTGCTCCACCCTCTGTAGATCCAGGCCACACTGCAGGAGCATTTCCCCTCCACCAGTTACCAGGGGTTTGTAGTAAAAAGCACTGACTCGGCTATTTTCTACGGGTTACCTCATGCCAGTGAGGTTCACCGCTGCCACGTGCATGTCCAAATTACAGCCTGCAGGCAGATGTGAAGGGGGAGGCGGGGGGGGGTGCCAAGTAGCACTTATGGTCCAAGGCCCTCTTCCCAGCCTAACAACCCCACCACCACCACCACCCCCGAATATACGTACACTGATCAGGGGGCCTTTGGGATTTCAGGGCCTCACTCACTGCTTCCTCTGCCTTTGATGGTGACCTCGGAGCTTCGTCCTCTTTTGGACTTCCATGTTTGTGAAGTGGTACAGCCAGAAGCTATTCCTATGGCTTTCAAGGTCCTAATGATAGCACAATGTTGCTGCCGCAGGGATGAACATTCATAGACTAAACGTACAGATTAGTGTCGTTTTAAAGGTCCACTTTGGCTTGGAATCTTTTTTTTATTTTCAAAATTCAAGCATTTTATATGATTTGTACATGCAGAATTTTGGGCGTGGCCCATCGCTTCTCACGGCTTCTGTTCATACTGTCATTATGTGGTGGCCATTCATATTCATATCCTCCCACTCCTTTTTTACACCCCCTCACCTTCCCCTGGTACACTCCCCTCCCCTCCCACTGGCGTCCTCTGGGGCCGGCATAATGGCGTGGCGATTCGCTCATTGTCGGGGTGAGGTCAGGCAAAAGGAGTGTTTTCACAAAGCAGACATCTGCTGCGCTGTGCTGCCCTTTTCAACAGTGACGTAATGTCCTGTGGCAAGTCTCGTCCACACAACCCCGGTGCACAGCAGAGCGCCGGGCTGTGATTACGGATTGTGTGGGTGTAAAAATAGTGCATCCTAGCATCTCCAGTTAAAACAAAACAAAAAAAAAATCCCCTTTTTGAGTAATTTCACAAGCCTATTAACTCTCTGCTGCAGCTCTACTCAAAGGGCGTTACTTTGACCTGCCTCCTTTTTGTCCGAGGGTCCCTCAGTGGACGGTCCACTCTGGGCGTTAAAGAGGGAGCGGACTGGTTGCCGGGCAGCATGGGCTCTGGTCCCAAATGGTGTGTGTGTGTGTGTGTGTGTGTGTGTGTGTGTGTGTGTGTGTGTGTGTGTGTGTGTGTGTGTGTGTGTGTGTGTGTGTGTGTGTGTGTGTGTGTGTGTGTGTGTGTGTGTGTGTGTGTGTGTGTGTGTGTGATGGTGCGGAACCCAAAGCTCCATTAGACCGCTTGAGCTTTGGCTTTCTTTTTTTTATTGTGGCCTGGAATGCATTCATCTGGATGTCCATCTCTGGGCAACCTCACTGTCATGGCTTCTTACTAGCAATCAGCCGCTTTTTAAAGTGGAGGTCCGTGTTCGTTCAGTGTGTGATTACACGCTCCAAGTTGGGCTTTTAACCGCACTGACTCGACTAATTCATTTAGTTGCCGTAGCCCGAATTAGAATAGTATTTTTCCATGTCTTTGTGCAAAAGAGCTTTGCCTCTACAAGTAAATCCAACCACAGTGAACCATGGTCAGAATTCAACATCCCATTTCAGACCCAGGTACAACCCAGTGTTGGTGCTTTATTAAACCCCTGTCAGCATTTGTAAATGTCAGACATTCCTTCCTGCTTTCATGTCTAGCACTTGCATGTAAATACCTGATTTAATGGTACTCAGACCTGGGAGGCTTGGATTGCCCCCCAGGCCCCAGGTAAGGAATTGGATTCTCGCAAGAGACTATTTGGGTGCATTCTGCCTGAATTACCTTGAGCTCTATTTATCCCGTACTTAATGTAACACAGGAGATTTAAGAATGTCGATCTGGCTTGATATTGAAGTCGGGAGATTACTTGGGTGACGGTTCTAAGGGCACTAGCTTTGACCTGTGTTCAGACACAATCGCTCTGCAGAGATGGTCAGAGGCCTGCACTCAGGTCACAAATGAGATATACATGAGACTAATTGATCATATCCAAAATTACTTTGGTGGTCAGCTCCAGTCACTTGGGATTTTACATTTACTTGAAGATACTTGCAGTCCCCCCAGCCCAGAGATGTAGTAGGTTACCTAAAAAAAGTGCAAGAAGGACTAGCGTTACTTAACTGAGCGCCGGTTGTTAAAATGCCCTTTACATTTGTGGAGCAAATTGGTAGTCATCGTCTTGCTCAAGGGCACTCAAGGGCAACACTCATCCTCACCCCGTCTCAAATTAACTCAAATTTTTCAAGTGTAGGTGGAGGGTTGTGCAGGAGACAAAGTGAGATAATTTGTAGGCTTGTGGCCTGGAGGAGAGGATCTGTTCGCCTCCCAAAAGGAAGTTGTAAATCTGGGTGTATCACAATGAAATTAAAGATCACTGTGCTACACATGGAGAAAAAAAACATCTTTACTTGCGATCCGGCCCTCCAACCATCCACACCCTCCTCTCCAACCATCATAGGGGACTGTCTGCATAAAGAGAACAAATCACACATTGTTCCAGAATACAGTGGGGGTGTAACTGCAATAATCTGTCCCACTTTCCCATTGTATCACTCTCCTGGAATAAATGACAATAGGCTTTACTTTATAATAGGCACTCTACTTTTTTCATTCAATACACCAAGGGTTATTTTACCGAGAGTGATTGAACTAATCATACACCTGCCAGGCCACAAAGCAGATTAGTTTTATGTTTTTATAGCAGCATAAGGATTCCCAAGGTTATATAAACTAATTGTTTAACTGTCACCGGAGGAGACAAATTTTAAATATGTATTTTTTTTAAGCTTGTCACTAGTTTGTTTTGCATTTGGATTCAGGAGCTCCAGCAGCATTCGTGTTGGACGAAAGGAGCAGGAAACGGTCAATGTTCAAAGCCAAATCACAAATGTGAACCAGCGAGAGGCGCTAAATAAATCTGCAGCCCTGTGTCTGTTCTACAGATGCGACCTAATTTCCCACAAAGCCGCACGCCGTTGATTAGGATGGACGCCATGCGGCTTGGCGCACTACTGTATTATTTACTCTGAACTTGGTTCACCCCAGCATCTCTCCTGAAATATCCGGTGCTTTGACAGTAAGGATGTTTCGCTAAGCTGAGGGCCTGTACTTGTACTATGAAAGCCTGTGACTTTGTGCCCTTTTTGTCTTCCAGCTATGCTCTGGCAGATGAGGCCTACCGCTCCTTGAGGGACCAGGACAAGGACCAGTGCATCCTCATCACAGGGGAGAGTGGGGCCGGGAAAACCGGTACGTGGCGAGATGCTTTTTAATCCCAACGTCCGTGCACCCGAGCGCGAAACGTAATTCTCCAGGTCGGGCAGCGCACCGCGTGGTCCGCCGTCGCCCTCGTTCCGCGGTTTTAAAATGAAGCCCTACCGCGGGCCAGAGTCACTAGCGTTTCCCCGATGGCAGGTGAATTTAGATCAGCCTCGAAGGCCAGCGCAAACCGAGGGCGACGGAACTAACAAAGCATTTAATTGTGGCGCGGAGAAGTGGGCTCTGTCGTCGCGCTGCCATCTGAGCCACGTCTGGTGCAATCGCGGCGCCCGTCCTGATCGGCCACGTTGACTATTGTTACTTATTAGCCGTTGCGGCTGCTGTCGGGTTAAAGTTCCCTTTTTGTCTGCTCCTGCATCTTCAATCAGGAATAATCACAGAATGGTAATTTTCATTTATTCTGGGGGATCCAAACTAGCACTGCACAAGCAAAGACTTTACTTATGATTTAGGAGCAGAGAATCTTGGCTAATAGATCCCAGGAGAGTTAAATGTACCGTCGTGCCTTCTCGTCCCGTCGGCCTTCGTTTGAAGTGCTGAACAAACCGTTGTTGTAGGCGTAGTCAAACTCTATTTGTAAAGGCAGCTGTAAGGGCTGTTAGGAATAAAGCCACAGGGCAGATTTTGTCAGATGTGCCTTTTTTTTTTAATCTCTAATTTTTTAAAGCAGCCTTGAAGCGAGTTTCTCACGTTGGCACACATGAATCTCAGGTTGGCACATGAGAAGTGCATACCGCTCTGGAGAGCTTTTTTATACGGACAGGCTGTTAAATGATAGATGTAGACAAATCAAAGAAGACCAGCAGCTCACGGATGTTTTTTCTGATTTGCTCACAACGGTGTGATGTCTGAGGACGCCGTGTCCACGTCCTCAGTCCTCTATCGAGTCCGTATCATAATCGTGTGGTCATGTTGAGGTCGAAAGCAGTGCCGCATTCCATGCAGAAAGCCAAGAGGAATGGCATTTCTGCGTCTGCGTGGCAGAGACCGGGTTCAGGTAAAAGACATTTTGAGTTGGAATGTGTTGCTGAACTACATTCCTGAAAAGCAGAGACGTCACAGACGTGCATTGACACTGAGGATTTCAAGATTGGACCCTTGCTCTTGTTGTCACACTTTTTCTTTCGCGTTTCTTTGGGCACAACATTTTACAATGTGGCGCACGCACTGTTTTCATAGTGTCGATGGCATTCGATCTACTCGCCCATTGATCTCTGGCTGGAGCAGATGTTTAACAACACAACTGTCCCTGTAGCACTTTGGCAGCAGACATTAGCGACCCCCGAGCCACACAAACGACAGCTAACAGGACGCGCTGTCGGTCACACACACAACAGCAATGGTCATTCCAGTCGGGTAATGCGGTGATGAACAATAAAAGGGGAAAGCACGGTAAAGCATGACGGATCGTATTTTGCGCTAGCCTTTATTTGTGTTCTCTCGAGCTCTCGTGGATGTTTAAACCCCCCCCACCTCCATCAAGCCGTTCTGCCAAGTCTAGGAGATAAATTTGGATTCCAGTAATCACATCGGCCTTGGAGCTTTGTAGCAGAATAAGGCCATCAAAAACGCGCATACCCCATCGATGTGGGTCATTGACTTTTATGCCTGTTTCGCTGTGGCTCCCGTACGCGCGCGGAGCTGTGACGGACATTGTTATCAGATGCCGGCGACGGCGTGCCGGAGACATAACATTGTTGTTTCTCCCCTGCGAGAGGTGACTGGGGAAGTTTTGTTTTTCTTTCCTGACAGATAGGAGCAACAAAAGATGAACTACTACCTAGCAGAGTGGGGGGGCTCTTGATCGCCACGCTTTTTTTTTTTTTTTTTTTTTTTTTTTTTGCACACCTTCCCAAACCGTGGCAAAATGTACTAGCGTGCTTCATGCCAGGCTCATCAGCAGTGTGTACAAGCGGCTACCAGTCGGCTCTTTTCCATCCGTGCTTGGCACACATCAGCCATTCTAGGTCGCTGTCCTCTCACTGGGCCGGCCGGGTGGTCCCGATGCCAGCAGTCATCCTACCAGGCGGCGGGCCTCGTCTCAGAGCGCCACAAGAGGCCTTCTGAGCCCTTGTCGTGCTTTTTTTCCCCGTCCAGATCGTTTTTGGGAACATGGTGCACTCACAAGAGTCTTTCAGATCAGCTTCAGCCCTTACACAAGAAGTGGATGAGCGGGGATCAACTCCGGCGACCCGGATAGAGTCCCGTTTCTTCAGCTCGCCCACTCTTTATACAGCGAAATCAGTCACTTGAATGATGATAACCTGATGCAATAATGGTCACAGTCGGGTCTCCACTATTCGGCCTCCTCCTCTGCTCTGCACCCGAGGCCAATGACCCACACCCTAGTCTGATGGGTGTCGGGGGGGGGGGGCGAGGTAAGGGGAATTTCAAAGGGAATAGTGAGATGGCTCTCTTGTTTGCTCCTGTCATGTCTAGTGAAGGCTTTGACCTAATATGTGTTGCTTGCGTGTGTTCCAGAGGCCAGTAAGCTGGTGATGTCATACGTGGCAGCGGTGTGCGGGAAGGGCCAGGAGGTGAACAAGGTCAAGGAACAGCTGCTGCAGTCCAATCCCGTGCTGGAGGGTGAGTGAGCTCCATTCACACTCGAGCCAATCCAAAGGGGGGCCGGGCTCCTCCGACGCCCCCGTCCCTGCAAAACCCCCGACCGTCAGCCAACGGGCGCATCCAGTCACACAACTGCAGAACCTTTTTACTTTTGGCTCGTAGACGGCGACACACATGAACATTGTAATTGTAATGTCACAGACAAGTAAGCTTTAGAGGTTGTGTAAATACAAACACAATCTTCTTAATCTTCACCTCTCTCAAACACAGACACACAACACACAGACAGAGAGTGCACAGGGACACACACACACACCTGGTCATTAGCGTGTCTGATTCTCGCAGCTCAGTGCCGGCACAGAAACAGCTGTACTTTTATTGGGGGGCAGTGGACAGAAAACGCCCAGGAAGGAGGATGGCCCTATCTCCCCGAGTGGAGTCGCTCCCGAAAACCCTGCACTTCTGCAGAGTTTTAGTCCCACAAACCTATATGCCCCCCCCCCTTCTCCCCCCCCCCCCCCCCACCCCTCCCCCAACCCCCCGCCACGCTGGAGTAAAGGGAGAGGAAAGCGCCGCCATCGCGCAACAAACAAACGTGTTGCGCTTGCTCTGTGCGCCTCTGCTTTGCTCTCCTCGGGTTTCATTGGTTGTCGACCTGACACGGAATCCGCACGTTAATCAGCCGCTTGTCGGCAATCACGCTGACACGCTAATAGCGCCGTGATGCATGACACATTAATGGCGTTTTAATGTAGAAATGTGACCGGAAGCAAATTGAGAGGGCTGTGGAATGAAAAATACAGTGGTGGAAGGCTCATTTGTGCTCATAATATGAGGCGTGTTCGTGCACACATGTTTGCGATTCTGGCGATTTTTCTTTTGGGATTTCCTGTGAACAACATCCTGTTTGTTGTTGTTTGTTCATAAGCAGAGGCACACATTGAAGACTTGATTTGAATACGGTGCAAAGGCAAAGTTCAGCCACTCCTATGCCTGGAAAGCCGCGTGCTTTGCCTAATCCATGCCAATTATGGGGCTTCATCTGCAGAAACCACTTCCATATCCAGTGACCGCTAGCGAGAGGGAGGCACAATGTTGAGGATCATCGATATCTTATTTTACTATTTTGCATCGTAAACGAGCTTTGGTTTGGATATTATTTGGATATTGTTGTATATGGATTATGCATAAATGCTGCATTGTCTGCAATGTTTTCATCGATAACCCATTATGCTTTTCAGCTTTTGGAAATGCCAAAACCGTGAGGAATGACAACTCTTCCAGATTTGTAAGTATCTGAGTATATGTCTTGAATAGTGCCTCATTTGCAGAGTGCTATGCACAACTTTGATGGTTCTATCACTGCATCATCCGCCACTACGTGAATACCAATTCCATACTTTTGTCTCTGTCGGTTCCTCTTAATTTCTTACTTTCGTACACAGTGAATTTCCCTTTTGTCTGCTTGCGTCAGTCTGTCGTTCACCAAATTGAACGTCTAGCAAAGAGCTTCAACCGGTGGGGCCGTCTAGACACAACAGCCTTTGTAGCTTGATGGTTTAAGAAAAGGCCCGCAGGCTGACGCGCGTCCTCCAGTGACTCATGTCGGCGCGACTTACAAAGCAGCACATCAGATACGCAGAGGAAAGTGCTGTGGAGGGGATCGCGTCCCCACGTATGTTCTGATGGGGTTTTCCATATCATGTGAAGACAGGCCACCCACTGCCTCAGTAACCTGCTAACACACACACAGCTGCTTGTCAGCTGCAGAGTGCGATTTGAAAGAAAACGTGTTATACCGGCCAGTCGATGCTAGCAGGCTAACTGTCGTTGTCCTGCATGCAACGGTTCATGCAAACTGGGTTAAGCATTATAAAGGATTATGACCCACGTCCTTTACCTTGGGTCTCACCGCTAGATGCTCACCGGAGCTCCATCAGATTACCAGAGACTCATGAATCCAACCGCCTCTGCATTTTGCTGAGTGCAGCGGGCTTATTGAAATCGGCCGGAGATCGGGCCTGCTGCTATTATTGCAACGGGATGGGGGGGTGAACACCCAGGACACCGTTGTTGGACCGAGCTCTCTGTGCATAGTGCGTATTCCATTTCACTTCAGGTCTTGTTCTAAACGTTGCGCTCTCATCCACAGGGAAAGTACATGGACATTGAGTTTGACTTCAAAGGAGATCCTCTGGGTGGAGTCATCAGCAACTGTGAGTAGGGATGACGTGGCCACGCCCTTGGAATAAAACTTTTGGGTACAGTCGAGTTTTATACAAAAGCTTCAGAGGTATGAAAGCTTCAATGAAACCAATCTCTCCCTGAGCGGGACGTCCACTTCAACCCAAACTATTGATTGATTTTATAGTGGCCCTTCTGTCCTCTCGGCACCCTCAACCTCAACGACTGCTTTTAAAATGCCAGACTTTTTTCTTTTCGGTCAGTTTCATGTAAACTCCTTTATTCCTCCTATAATACAATGCTCTTAACTAGACAAATTGGATGAGATTATCCAGCCAGTGAAGAGGGTCTCAAGTAGCCTCAGATGCAGAGCTCTGCTGTTGGGTCTTTAATTTGATCACACTGAGCCTAACGCAGTGAGCAGATGTCTGGTCCCCTTTTAATCAGGGGATGCTGCGCTTCATCGGCAGCCTGGGAGAAAGGGCTGATGTTTGTGTGTGGTAATCTTCCTTCCTTTGTGTGGGTGTGGGTGTTTGTGTACACGCAGACAAATAGAAATAGCTCGGTTACTTTGCAACTTTGATATCCGTACAGTAGTTCTCAACCAGGAAGCCTTCTGAGCTCCACGCAGTTGTTGGACATCCTTAGGACTTCCTTCAGCAGGTCGGCCCCTTTTTGTCACGATTCCAGGACTGCTCAGTGGATCACCATAGCCACGGTTCCCCCGTGGGGACTACTGTTTGGGAAATAACATTTTGTCATCGCGTGTCATTTTTTTCCTTTTTGTTTTTCCTGCACTCTCGCAGATCTGCTGGAGAAGTCCCGCGTGGTGAAGCAGCCGCGTGGAGAGAGGAACTTCCACGTCTTTTATCAGCTCTTGTCCGGAGCCTCCGACGACACACTCAGTAAGTCCTGGAAAGTGCGCGTTTAGACGGGGGGCCAAACGTAACTCGACGATTAAAGGGCTGCTGGATCAAATGATTGTTCGAAATACTTAAATGCACTCTGCTTATAATCCCAAACCGCACCGGGGAGGGGGTGGCGGCGGTCACCTGAAAACAAAATGGTGGAATCTTGCATACATATTTTCCAGCAGGATTGCAGCTGCACACAACACCGGGCCGAGGCATTAATGGTCCGATCTTCCTGTCCCAACAAACGGTGCAGAGAACAAAGGCCGGCCGTGAAACCTGTTCCCTCTGTTTGCTTTTCCGCAGACAGAGAGCATTGTTTTACGTCCGGCACGCCGTAGAAAAAAGTAACGCTCGTTGGCACATCAGAGGGCCCCGATTCAGCTGTAGTTAACGCAGCCACTAATGAAACCCGACACGAGCGCCCAGCAGAGGAATAGAGTTATTTGCTACAGCTGAGTGGGACTTTTCAGAACGCCATTTGATCTTCTACAGAGGTGTTCACAGCAGTCAGTGTGTATGGAGAAACGCTCAAGCGGGACTTGGGTGTCACATTTTACACCTTTTCAAGTGATGCATTTTTCATGGACCTTCTATACAAGAAAGCATCTTAATAGTTATTACAAAACTTGAATCTCTTTCTAGAAAAACCTATATTTGTGTAATCTTCATTTGATGCAAATGAAACTCTTGATCAACCAACCAGCTGTAAATGAGTGAAGGTTGACCAGCGTGTTGTGTGTCACAGAGAAGCTGAAGTTGGATCGGGACTTCAGCAAGTACAACTACCTGAGCTTGGACTCCGCTGCGGTCATCGGGCTGGATGACGCGGCCAACTTCAGGACAGTCAAAGTGAGTGGTACATATTCATATTTCATGGTGTTTCCGGGACGCCTTGTTCAGATTCTCCCAGAAAACATTTGAAGAACTGGCCTAAATACCTGCCGGTAGAAAGGATCTCACTCACAAAATAAATCCTGATTAGTTTTCCAAACGGGCTCTTGCAGGGCCGACTTTCCTTTTGCACCATGCCGAGATAATCTAAATCCTTAACATAGGGGGATTTCTCCTTATCTCCGGCATCAAACACATTATCAGTCTGCCCGTAGGTTATGAAAGTACATCTTCTGCATTGTGAAAACGCTCCAACGTACCCGCCTCCCACGCTTTGCAAAACCAGGTGAACTTTGAGCGGAACCTGAAAGTGAACTAAAACATGAGCTACTGGTTCTTCATTGATTAAACTGAAACATGAGCTACTAGTTCTACATTGATTAAGCTAAAACAATAATTAAACGAGAGACATTTAAATAAATGACACAGCTTTAACCTGTAACTGCAGAATTTGTTTGGTGGGGAGGGAGAACCCCACAAAGCACTCGGCGGCTGCTTCGCTTTAAATGTTTAAATATTTGCCATCCCGCCCGCATGCACATTGCCTCTACTTGTCATCCTCGCGGGATGTTGTGTCTGAGAGTTCTTCTACTGCGCTCCATTGTTTGCGGTCGCGCTCCAGCCCGCTCCCCTCGGCTTCTGTGGAAGGCCCTTTGCAGGCTGTTCGGTCCCATTCTGCTCCACTCGTTTCCTCGCATTTCACATCCTGCTTCTCATCCCCTCTCACGTGGAGTCCTCCCAGTATTCCCCGTGCAGCAGCCCTTCACCACCGGAAACACAAGGGGACATTCCCACTAAACAATGGTTCTGGCCAACGATGGCCCCACTTTCCTCCCATTTTCACTCTGTTTAAATGGAACAGAGTTGGATTTTAACACACGATAAGTACCACGGCCAGTGGTGGAAAGCTCTATGTTTCGTCCTTCAAGAGAAATACGTCGAACGATACAAAATACTTCCAACAAACTTATGATAGACTGAATATAATGTTTTTTTTTTGAAGAATGTCATTCTGTTTAATGTGTGCTTTTACTTTTGATCATTTAAGTAACAATAGAAGCGGATACTTTTAAACACCTTTTAAGTTTACTGAACACTTGCATCACATTACTAGTAACAAAATCTATACACTGCGGCATTGCTGCTCTTATTTAACTAAGTATGTGCTTGGTGCTTTTCCCCCACTGACCACATCACACAAGATTCATGAAGCACTTGATCTATTTTGTTAACTTTGTTTGAGAAGTTGTTTCATATTTGGCACTTGTGTAACGGTCTGGGATTCGGTTTCGAGACATTACATTTGGAATGGAGTAATTTGCAGTTTTTAATGGAAAGATACGTTTTATGAGTTATGCTTGTCTCCTCTTTTCTTGACACCCATGAATAATATGAACTGAAATGGACCCTTGGCCTGGAGTCTCTAGAAATAGAGACCGTAGTCAGAAAAGACTTTTTAAAAGAAACATTGGCAGCTTTTTATTTTTTTATTTTTATATTTGACTATTCAAATTCCTCAAATGGCGATTCCGGCTTGCAGGCAGCATTTAACAATGCGTGAGCTTTACAGCGCTCGTCATCACAATGCATTTAAGGCTTCGTTCTCCCTTTGCAACAAAAGTGTACATGTTGATTAAGCCTCATTAAGGAACATCAGCTGACTTTCCTTCTTTTCCTTCCAGAATGCCATGCAGATTGTGGGCTTCATGGAGGACGAAGTGCAGTCGGTGCTGCAGCTGGTGGCTGCCGTGCTGAAGCTCGGCAACATCGAGTTCAAGCCGGAGTCGCGCAGCAACGGCACCGACGAAAGTCGCATCAAAGACAAGAACGGTTGGTTTGACGGACGACAAACATCTCTGATCCTATCAGTATAACTCATTTCACGGCAGCACGATGCGGTTGTGAAGAACTAAAGCTTTCTGGGTGTTTGTGTGTAATCAGATGTTGGATGGATTCATTTATTTATTGTGGCGATTATTCACATTCAGACCTTTTTGACCGGCCTGCTGTCGAGCCACTGCCCCCTGTTGGCCGCTCTGATCTCTTCCCGAGTCGTCCCTCACCTATTACGTATTTGTATAATTTGCGTGGGACAAGCTGTTTGTGTCATCGTTTCCACAGCTGTTCTCCTAGTCAAATAACTCATTTACATGTGTCACTCCATGACAGTGGCAGGATTCCTCTAACTGCTCCTTTTTGTCCCATGAATGACTTCATGTGTTCCCGTTGCACGCATCCATGTTCTCCCATTTAAAGTTACACATCTCCACAAGCTTTATTATTGGCATCAGAGCTGTACTGACTTTGTGATGCTGATATTGACATAGCATATCGTCACAAGGCGCTAACAACTCCTATAAAGTAACGGTAAAGCATATAATATATACACACACACACACTATTCTGTCTTATTTATTATCCCTATGTTTCTTTTTTCTTTCAAAGATTTGAAGGAGATGTGCGAGCTGCTTGGTATTGAACAGTCTGTGCTGGAAAGAGCGTTCAGCTACCGCACGGTAGAGGCGAAGCAAGAGAAAGTGTCCACGACGCTAAATGTGGCCCAGGTAAAAGGGAACCGTATGAACCTGGACTGCACTAGTTATGTATCTGACACACACACACACACACACACACACACACACACACACAGATATGGCATTAAAGGATGAAGGGGCATTTCTTCCCCCTGACTTGCTCGTGCGACTGCCAACTCTCATCCATGTCAATGCAACATGAAAACCTCTCCATTATAGATGAGTCTCATTCTGCCTGGAAACTGAAATGTAGGTCACATGTAAGAGGCTGACTTCACTCTGAATTCTCACATGGCGCGGATGTGTCAGACGTGATGTGTTTGTATGAATTCATGCGTTTTTGTTTGTCTTGTGCCTTCCTTCAGGCGTACTACGCCCGAGATGCCCTCGCCAAGAATCTCTACAGTCGTCTGTTTAGCTGGCTAGTTACCAGGATCAATGAAAGCATTAAAGTAAGTTTAAAAGAAAACCGTGTTGTTTTTTCTACTTTATCTCTCCTGATCAGATGTTCTTTTTGTCTTTCTGAATATTTCAAGCTCCGTGTAACTGACACCACCCTCATAGTGTGTTTCTGATATTGACCATATTGTTTCCCTGCAGGCACAAACTAAAGCTCGCCACAAGGTCATGGGTGTGCTCGACATCTATGGCTTTGAGATTTTCGAGGTGAGACAAAAGGCAGATCAAACTCTCTCTAAGCCACCCGGACATTTTATTACGTTTGAAAAGGAAAATGAAAAGGATTTTGCCCCGGGCTGTTTGCGTGCGAGCTTTGGTGCCTGCGAGGAGCTTATCAATAAGAGCTGAGGGCTGTTAAAACCACCCTCACGTCATATTAGTGCAGCTTTATTGCTCCCGCAGGTGAAGTCATTTATTGTGACAAGGTGACTTCGACACTAAAATCAGCCTTTCACAGCAGGAAATAAAAGCAATATTCAGGAACGCGGCTAAGACGCATCACATAGACCGTCCCCAACGGGACACAGTAATAGGATTGTATGGTTTCGTAAAGTTACTCACATAGGGACGCATGTGCATGCCGACACAAGGCTAAAGGATAAATGTTTTTGCCCATTTGCTCGATGCATTAAGTGCCCCCCTCCCCCCACACCCATATGTTCATGTCTCCTTCATATCCCTGCCTGTTCACCCCACTCACTCTCAAGTCATCCCTTCCCTCTCACTGTCGTGTTGCGTCTGGGTCCCCAGGATTGCGTAAGTAACACCTGCACCAGCCGGTTTGCTGTGCCTGTGTGCATGCTGTGATCTAAACCACTTAATTCAGCTCCTCCATTAGAGAGACCCCCCCCACCCGGTATGCAGCACAGACACATGACTGAAACGACTCAAAGTGAAGCCTTGGCCCCCATTTCCATTGTGCCGTGGGACTCCGTTGCCAGTCCGGTTATATGCGGCGTAATCCAAGTTTAGAGTAATTTTGGACGCTGTAGTTGGTGCTACTGTATAACTATTTTACCCCCCCCCCTCCTTCTACAGCCCAGCTTCTGCTGAAATATTTGTCCCATTTCAGTCTGGTATCTGCTGCCACTTGGGTATAGACATGTCATTGTGTGTTTCGGTGTGTGTGTGTGTGTGTGTTTGTTAAGGGTGAAGACGACCTTCAGGTTTCTCCGTAAAAGGAAACAAAGTCTTAAGATTTAACATTTCTGTTTCCTGGTCGCTGAGAAACCCTGCTGCGTCTTTCCCTGCGAGCTCCGAGACTAAACCTCTTAACCACCGCCGCTGCGTCCCTAGCAAATGAATGTTAACCTAACCAGCGCATAATAGGGCTGTCTGCCAACAAGCATGACTTTCCACTCAATGGTCATAATTGACGTCTATAATAATTGAGAAGGACTCGTCAATGTTTAATGAAGTCGGGGACAATTTACAGGAAGTTGATCTGAAAGTGTTTTATCGTCATAAGGTGCACCGGCTCGATCTGCTGTTAACAGTTGTTCGCTGTCAAGATTGATCACGTGTTTTTTAAGTGATGGATGTTAAAGGGACGAAGGAGAGTGAGGGAGCTGCAAGATGACGTTAATTCAAGTTTATTCTTATGATAAAATCGGATGTACTGCTTTTATACTACTTGGTCTGTCCTCAAAGCTCATAAAAGATCAATCTTATTTGGATGTAACTTCAAACGGTATAAAATAGCTAGTTCAAACAGTCAGAAGTGCGTTGGCAGGTTTTGATTGCATTCAGTGTGGATGTGATTTTAAGGCCGACTCGTTTTTACGTTAAACCTATAATTCAAGGAACTTTCTTTGGTCATGCAAATGTCTAAAACATCCTCTAAGCTCTCCTTATCAGTATGCGTCGGTACCACCATCCGCTTTGATGAAACCCTGCGGGACATTGATGGAAACGGCAAAAGCTGGCAGAGATTTTAGCATGCTTATGAATGTTTGCCGAGAGGGAAGAATGAAGTCAAAGATTTGAGGTATAGGAAAAATGAAGCATTAGAAACAAGAAGTGTGCTATCCGATTTAATAGGTTGGGAAATGTAACGGATATTGAAAAGTTCCACTTTAGCATTTTTGCGGGATTAAAAACAAACAAAAGGAGCTCTTTCACTGAGCAACGAGTGAACAGAACCCGCCGGGACGCCTCATGTCGACAAAGGCTGGGACTGATTGGTGTTTTTTTTCTCCCGCCGCTGCTCCCACAGGACAACAGCTTTGAGCAGTTCATCATCAACTACTGCAACGAGAAGCTGCAGCAGATCTTCATCGAGCTGACTCTGCGTGAGGAGCAGGAGGAGTACGTCAGGGAGGTACGGTGGTGGCGCGCACGCAGACATAATCCACAGTTCATCCGCCCCACAGCAGAACCCTAAACTGGTTGCGTCTGTGGACCGTCCTCTGCTGTTTGGGCCTGCTCTGTAATCCTGCCTGTGACCTAAAGGACTTTCTACTTCAGTAGTGTCCTTTACCCCGTCTCCGTCGTCCATCACACTCATGGTTTCATTCTCTCCCGTCTCCCCCTTTGCAAGGACGGAAGTGATCCCTCACTCCAGCGAGGGTAAACACTGGCCGATGTGGGCCTTTAAGCTCTGTTTGTTTTCAGAGCTGTGTGTGTGTGTGTGTGTGTAACACACCACCGAGGATAGTCCCCCTCCTGGCCGCTGTCCAGCGCATTGCATGGGAAAATAGCACCGGGCCGGAGGAAGGAAGGAGGCCCACCAATCAGGACGTTTAATTCGGTTTAAGCCCCGCCCCGTATGCGTTCCAACTGAAGCCGATGAGACCGAGCAGAGGAGAAGGCCTGGCGAACGTAACAATCCTGCAAGGACAAATATGGCTGTGAAGATGGATGAACCAACACACTCATGTGATGTTTTTTTAAGAACTGCCCTGAAGTTAATTATCAAAGAAGGCTTAAATGAGAAATGATGAATGTAATCTTGAAGGGGGTTAGTCCATTCAGAGTTTCCGGGACATTTGTTCTCATTAGTTCCAAATGCCCCATAAGTGCTGGAGATATTAATGCCCCTAGACTGAGTGTAGCCTCAGTTTCTAACAATGTAAAACATATGGTTTAAAAGATTTAATTTCCATTGGTGCTTAATATCCAACGATTCATCCTTTTGGAATATATTAACATTAAATGAATCATTTGCCGTATGTTATAAATGTTCTTTTCATTCTTTGCACACATCTGTTGCAAGCCGGGAGAAATAATCCCTCGTTGTTTGCTCTTCCTGAGGTTACTTCCATTTTTCTCAATTGAAAGCGTTTCCTTCTCCCCTGCGGGATAGAGGGCACGAAATGGTAAATTGTATGATTGTAAATTGCCTCGATGATGTTCAACCAGAGAAGATGTCGTAAATGGCGAGTCGCTGCCGGGGGCGCGCACAAAGCTTTCACAAATGTTGCACTGTCGGGTCTTTATGATGAGCTCGTTGTTGCCGCTGTGATCGCAGCGCTGAGTGGCCGATTGTCCTTCAGGTATCTGACTCGCTTTTGAGTTAGATTCTGAGAACCTCAAGGAGCTCAAGATTTTCTTTTTTTTTTTTGTTGCAGGGCATCGAGTGGACCAACATTGAATACTTCAACAACGCCATTATCTGCGACCTCATTGAGAATGTAAGTCACTCTCCCGGCTACCAAGGAGCCAGTTGAGTTCTTCAAGCGAACAGCCAGAGACCAGCGGCGAGGAACAATGTGCCTTGTGAGTATTAAACGCAGCCAACTTTGCTGTTTGCAGCACCAAAACGGCATCTTGGCCATGCTGGACGAGGAGTGCCTGAGGCCGGGGACGGTCACCGACGAGACCTTCCTGGACAAGCTGAACACCATCTGCGCCGGGCACAAGCACTTTGAGAGTCGCCAAAGCAAGAATTCCAAGTTCCTCACGGATCACAGCCTGCCGCACAACTGCTTCCGCATCCAGCACTACGCGGGCAAGGTACATCCAGGGGTTCTGATGTAGGGCGATGCAGTGTCATAAAGGGATTCCAGAATACCCTATGGAGATGCAGGCAGTAATGTGATGCATCTGATCAGACGGTTACCTACTCGACATAAAAAAAACCCTCTTCTGTTCTGCCCCGCTCACGCCAAGGTGCTGTACCGGGCCGAGGGCTTCGTGGACAAGAACAACGACCTGCTATACCGGGACATGTCCCAGGCCATGTACAAGGCCAAACACAGCCTCATCAAGCAGCTGTTCCCCGAGGGCAACCCGGCCAAAGTCAACCTGAAGAGACCCCCGACGGCTGGATTCCAGTTCAAGGCATCAGTGGGGACGCTGATGAGGAACCTGCAAACCAAGAACCCAAATTACATCCGGTAAAGTCATCCCTGCCGTTATCAACCCGCTTGTAAAAAATGCTGTTTGCGTGAGAGATTTACCGTATCGAAACTGCTGCTTCGAATAACTTCGCTCAATAATCAGTGTAGCCTCGGGTTGAACAACCTCTCCCTCTCTTTGCTTCTCCAGGTGCATCAAGCCCAATGACAAGAAGGCCTCCCACATCTTCACCGACACTCTGGTCTGCCACCAGGTGCGCTACCTCGGCCTGATGGAGAACGTCCGCGTGAGGCGGGCGGGCTACGCCTTCCGCCAGGCCTACGAGCCGTGCCTGGAGCGCTACAAAATGCTCTGCAAGCGGACCTGGCCCCACTGGAAGGGACCCGCCAGGTAACGCTGGGGCGCCTATTTCGAAGCTGGGACTTGATCGCCCGAGGGAAGCGGAGAGAAAGGGGCTCCAGTCTCTGGAAGGTCCCCGGCGCAAATCCCTCCGACGGGTTTCTCTCTGTGAGAAAATGAGAGCGTGGAAACCGAGCGAGGCTCGTCGGTATCTTTAACCGTAGGCGCTGTCCCATCAGACCGCTCCCAGCGGAGGGACTGTGACCGCCGCTAATGGAGCGCAGTTTGAGCGCTCGGCTGTGTGGATGTGAAACGAGTTATTGCTGGAAAATGAGTCCGGATAGCTTTTCCTGGATTAATACAGGTTCTAAGCAGTAAGGGGGGAGGGTAAATTGGCCAAACTTGACTACGGTTTTCTCTGCACACTGACTCACAGTATATCTAAGTAGTAGAATACATTCATACAGTTTCAGGTATGCAGCTCTGCGTGGTGTCTTTTCAGGAACTAGCCACAGTGCTGCCTCATACAGCTCCAGTTGTCGAGCAGCAAGCGAACATTCCCTCTCTGCACCACAACATGTTGAGACATTTCGGCCTTTTATCTGTCTCCTCTGTTCTAAATCAGCCAGACTTTCTTGTTCGCTCGTCTGTGCGGGTAAAAGCGCTGATTCCTATCTGCTGTACCACACGTCAGTGCCTTGTTCTTCCGCCCTCCCTCAGTGCTTTTAGCACATGTTTTTCTGGAATTGTTTCTTTCTCCTTTAATCATTCTCTCTTTCTCTCTGTTTGTCAAACTCTTAATTCCCCAGTGCTGTTTTCTTCTTGTGTAAAAAGTCTTTCAACTACTTCTACACAATGTTCACGGCCGCTGGAAGTGTCAAGTATGCTTTTTGTGACCGATCTGACCCTTCTGGCTCCCCGTAGGGAAGGGGTGGAGGTACTGATGGCCGACCTACAGGTCCCAGCCGACGATTTCTCCTACGGCCGCTCCAAGATCTTCATCCGGAACCCAAGAACGGTAGGACGCAATCAGAGCAGCCCTGCAGCCCTTGAGTGTGTTTTGTAGCCAGTTTTAAACGTTATGCGTCCTCAGGTCGATCGGGCCCTGAATGTCTAATGACTACAGCTGCCCTGTTTTCTCACAGTAAGATGTTTGTGAAGCAGAGGGATCTGCGCTCAGAGCCCCCACTGCGGCAATTAGCATGAAACCACCAGAAAAAACCCAAACACATGGTCTCACTTAGCCCTCCCATCCAACATGGGAAGTGAGCGTCTCTGCAAGGCGGTTGCAGGCTCCTCGTCAGCTCAGGCCTCCGGCCTTTGAACGGACCAACAAAGCTTGCAATAACATATCATTTGGAGAGATTTTTCTTTTTTTTTTTCGAACAATTGACTTTCTATCCGATCCCCTTATCTGCCTCGTACATCTGCAGCTGTGAAATCGCTTGATGTAGTTTAATCCATGTTTTCAGGCTGTTAATCCGACAGCCACACCTCCATTTGAATTATCGTCGGGGTATGCATGTATTCTAAAACATGGAACAAGATGTGGCATTAATAGTGATGTTCTCGGGGTACATTTTTGATTCTACCTTGCCTTTTATATAACATCCTCTTACATTGACAGCCAGGTAGTTCGGCAACGACAAATGCTGTTTTCCAACACGTGTGCAAAGCAGTGATGTGACGATTGCATTAGCTGACTGCAGAGCAATGAAATCTCTGCGTTGCTAAAGTAGATAAGTCAATCTTCTTTGTTGCCCTGAGCCCCTCTACCTCGTCCCTCCTAGCACTTTGTACTTCAAACCACCTAATCAGTATTTGACAAAAAAATAATTTCTATTGATCCCACAGAGGAAGTTAGGTTTTTAAGTTTCCTTTTATTTATTTATTTATTTATATATCTTTTTTTCCTTAGAACTATGACCTCATTCCAGAGGTCCGAAGGACACCTAGGTACACCTGTACCTGCCTAAACTACCTCTGATGTTGATAGCCGCCGAATGGACTTTACACTGTATAGATAAAGTGTTTTCTTCTGGCCTCATGCATGTACTTTGCACCTCTTCCCTACAGCTCTTCTCCTTGGAGGAGAGGAGGAGGCAGTGCCTGCAAGACCTGGCCACTCTCATTCAGAAGATCTACCGCGGCCATAAGTGCCGCTCCCACTTCCTGCTGCTGAAGAAGAGTCAGATAGTGGTGTCAGCGTGGTACCGCCGATACGCGGTGAGGGCAAAGGGCAATGCCGAAATCATGCACAGGGCCAAATTGACCCTGAACGGTCAGAGGTCCTAACTTCTCCCTCCTCCTCCTCACAGCAAGAAAAGAAATACCAGAAGATCAAGAGCGCCACCACTGTGGTGCAGTCCTACACCAGAGGATGGCAGGTGCGCACGCCGTCCCGCCAATTCTCTCTGTGTGAGAACAAAATGCGGCCGGAAGCCAAGCAAAGATTGTGAGAAGAAAGCGAAGGCAATGTTTGCTTGTTGTATTTCCCCAGGCCCGCAAGCTCCTGAGAGAGCTGAAATATCAGAAGAGATGTGAAGAGGCGGTGACCACCATCGCGGCCTTCTGGCACGGCACCCAGGTACTGCGGCGCTAAAGTGCAGAAGGATTTAGTCGGCCGGGGTTTGATGAAGGCTTTTCTTTCTTTTCTTTTTTTTTGTTCATGAAGGTGGTAAAAAAAAAGCTGCTCTTGAAGTCTCCACACTATTGCCTTGAACACTTTTTTTTTTTTTGTCCTGCGCAGCGTTCCTGCCTAATTGCACAACAGTATTGGAGGAAAAAAAGCTGTTCCTTAACAAAGCTGTCCTGGATGTTATTGCTGCTGTTTCCCTTTTGGCCCGGCTTAGTTTGCTGATCACACAACTGCCACTTCTCTTTCTCTCTCTTCCCCCCCACATCACCTCCCACTCCTCTTTCGCTTTCCTTTCTTTTTTCTATTTCTATTCCTCTCACCTCCTCAACCTGTCCTACCTAACGCCCACCACGTCCCACCAGGCTCGGATGGAGCTGAGGCGTCTAAAACAAGAGGCGCAGAATAAACACGCTGTGACAGTAATTTGGGCGTTCTGGCAGGGAACCAAGGTATTTCCTCCCAGCTGTAGTGTGTCTCTGTCCCGGCTGTCTCGTCCTCCCTGTTCCCGATGTCCCGTCCTGCTCCCACTGAGAAAACAGCCTGACGGAGTGTCAGTGGCTCTGAATGTACCTCCATACGGTCCCTCCCTCACCCATCGGCCTGCTTGTAGTGCCCTATTGTTGTTGTTTTTTGCTCGTATAAGTAGGATTATCCTGACGTTGCTAAAATGCAGAGCTAGATTTCTACGAAACTTAATTCATGGTCTAACAACGTGCTCCACGCTGAGCAATTGTAAATATCGTTAATTATTGTGTATTCAATGTCAGTGTGCAGACTTTGTACTCTGCGTGTATAACATCTTATCAAAATTAACGTAACCGTTGTCCTTTGTCATACCATTGGTTTATTATGAGAAGAATTTATGATCTCTCAAACTGCTGATGACTCCATACTGAGCCCTTGTAAATATTGTTAATTATTCCGGGTCGCAAGCAAACTTTGTTCTTGTTGGTCGGCAGCTTCTTTAACCCGATAGTAGTCGAGACTGCTGTCCCGTCTCTTCCCATCATCCCAACATCTATCTTTTTTTCTTTTTTCACACCTTACCTGTGGGACCAGTAAGTTTTGATGTCACTAAAATTAACTCCCCTCCTCCCCCGGCAAACTTCCGCCGCTCTTCTTCAGGCCCGCAGAGAGCTCCGTCAGCTGAAGGAGGAGGCGAGGAATAAACATGCCGTGTCGGTCATTTGGGCCGGCTGGCAGGGCACCAAGGTATTTGGGAAGCCTGCTGACTTGTTTTGCCGTGACTTGCCGCCTCCATCGAAGCCCTCCTCACCTCCCCCCCCCCCACCCACCCCTCCTCCACCATCCAGACAAAACGTGCTCGTCGCTCTGCTCGACCCATTCCAAGCATTTCATTTCATGTAGGATAGAAGTCAGTTTACCATTCACCCTCTCAGCGTGAAGAGGAGTCCTACTAATAAATCAAGTCATTTAGCTCAAACATAAGACTGACGTTCTCGTATGTATGTCAGCTTCTCCCTCCAGGTCCATGCCTCACCCGCGCACGCCACCTGCTCTCTGCATGACTTCTTCCCTCCTCGTGTAGTTAATGCATCTTTACTCTGTTGTCTCTCGTTTGTCTTGTTTCTTTTTGTCTTTTTAGAGGGAGCGGTTTGAATCCTTTTTGAGGTGACCTTTGTCGCCTCACATGTGACTTTGTCCTTCCTGTTGTTGCTGTCACAGCTCCACTAAACGGCACAACGTCTGTTTCTGTTACAGAAGTTCCTCTGATAAATGTGTGTCATATTTGTTTTTGGAGTCTGCAGCAGTAGAAATCTCCCCGTGGTCGCTCTGGTGTGCAGTGTGCGTGTGTTCGATGTTTGCTGACAACAAGCAAGACCGTGTCTCCTCCTCCTTCTTCTTCCTCTCATCTCTCTTCATTTGTTCCTCGCTCTGTGTCTCTTTCCGCCCCCCTCCCCTCCCCAAACAGGCTCGCAGGGAGCTGAGGCGACTGAAGGAAGAGGCCAGGCGTAAGAATGCGGTCGCTCTGATTTGGGCCTACTGGCAGGGACTCAAGGTACCTAGCGGTCCCACGGCGCCGCCGTCGCCAAGTCGGCCATCTACTCGTCACCCCTAACCCTCTTCATCCTTCTCATCCATCTGCTACTTCCCCCCCCCCTCTCCCTCAAGGAGCCAGTCTCTTCCTAGTGCTGTGGTCACATCTTATCCGTAATTGCATTGTCGTAGACTCTGCAAGATACCCGGCGGTTGACATGGGAACATGGTGATTGGCGGATCAGCTCCTGTTGCTAATCCCTCCATCCAAACAGGGAAACATTTGGTGTAATGATCATGCATCAGAGAATTTACTTCACCATAGCCGAAGAGCACACACACACATTTGTTCTTCTGGGATTTCAACTCCACCTAATTCAATAGGCAACATGTATCCAGTGAAATAATTGTCAAAGGTTCAACAGCGCCTGACTGACATGGGACGGTCTGTCTTTCAGATCTGTTCTTTTCTAAATGTTTTCCGCTGTCTGCATCTGTGTGACTAACCCGACCATAACTCCATAGTGTTTGTTCCACTGGTTTCTTTGTCTTTAGGTGTAGCGTCTGCACGTGTCCTAGTGTGTGGTGCTTATCTGTTGCGTGCGTCTCTGGTTTTTACCACAATAGCTGTCAGTGTTCATTCTTTGCTGTGTTAATCCCTTCATTTTGTTGATTTGAGCACAATGTCCCTGTCCCTCAATTTGTGCAATTAAGGTCAGCATGAAGGTCGTTTTTTTTTTTCCCGGCCATCATTGACTTTTCAGTAATTAAAATTCGTCGTTAATCATAATTTTCATTCATCCCAGCAGCACGGAGCAGACGTTGTCTGTTCCAGGTGTTCATTGTTTGTGACTAACCAAACGTCCATTTGTGTGTCCTCCCACCATCCCACCATCAGTGTGCTCCTGTCCTGCTTCGCCTCAAACTAAAAAGTGACAGGAGGTGATTGACTGTTTGTTTGTTGTTCTTTTCGAAGGTTCGCAGAGACTATAGAAAATTCTTCAGGGCAAATGCGGGCAAGAAGATCTACGACTTCACCATTCAGAGGATTGTAAGTGGGACTTGACTATTATCTCAAACAAATGTGTAGAACGTATTTAACATGCATGTATGTCCGTATTTCCAGATGCAAAAATACTTCCTGGGCCTGAAGAGCACCTCACCCCCCATGTCGCCCGTAGACAAGAGCTGGCCTGCCAGGCCCTACCGCTTTCTGGATGGAGTCCACGCCGAGTTGCGCAAAATCTTCCATCACTGGAGGGTTCGTCCCCCTCAAGGATACTTAATTATTGTACTGTCAAATATGATCCATTGCACCCCTGGTAGACGGGCGGCGAGTAGTTGAATGAAGTGAGAAGCAGTCGAGCATTCAACTCACGAGCAGGATTGACCGATCAAAAAAATTAGTGCAGGAAAAACAAACTCCAAAAAGGAAACCAATGGATAGACAATACAGAGCATTTTAGTTTAAAACCTCAACCCTCATTTGAACGGTGTTTGTGTTTTCAGTGCAAGAAGTACAGGAGCCAATTCACAGAGGAGAAGAAGGCCGTTTATAAGGAGAAGCTGGAGGCCAGTGAGATCTTCAAAGATAAGAAGGCTCTCTATCCGAGCAGGTACCTGAAACACCTAGATGACGGAGTCAAGCCCTCCACTTCACGGTAAACGCAAAGAGTCAGACCTCTCATGGTAATGCGTCCGTTTCAGCGTGAGCCAGCCCTTCAAAGGAGACTACCTGGAGATCACCAAGAACCCCAAATACCAGAAGCTCAACAGCAGCGTGGATGCAAAGGTCCTGCTGGCCGACGTGGTCAACAAGATCAACAGGGCCAATGGCAAGGTGAGAAAGAGCCCTCCAGGCTGCGACACGGCAGCTGAGTGGACGGGTATTTCACCTGTTCAACAATCTGATATGTTTTGACATCACAACTGCGATCATCATTTTTGTTTCAGCAGAGGGCAGACGTGTCGGGACGCGTCTGCTTTTTTTTTCTTTCTTTTTTTTACGCCTAACCCTGTCCCGGTTTCCAGCGGAGGCCTCCGCCTGAAGAAATGCAGCTGAACGGACAATTTTCCGTGAGAATGACGGGCTCTCTGGCTCCTGTTTGCAGGGCACGGCTCGAATCTTCCTGCTGACTAAGAAGGGCGTCGTGCTGGCCGACCAGAAGACGGGCCAGGTGAAGGCCAGCGTTCCCCTGCCGGACCTCGCCAGTGTGTCCGTCAGCACGCAAAATGACGGCTTTTTTGCTCTCAAGCTCAAAGAGGTGAGAAATATCTGTTTTTGATGTGTTTGTCTGCGGCAGATTTGATTCCGTATCAATCTTCTCATCTTGGCAATTGTCCCTTTTTTATTAAAGACTGAGACAGACAATGAGCACTAATATCGATAGAAACACAAAAGTTACACTGGACAGCATTGTGAGCATCCTGAGCACAAATGTGCTTAAATTATTGGATCTAATGTTGTTTTTAAAGTATTTTGGGTCGCCCGTGCACATTTGATTTTCAGGGGTCGGCCTCGGCCATCAAAGGAGACTTCTTACTCAGCAGTGAACGTCTGATCGAGATCATCACCAAACTCCACCTCACCGGGGCCACGGCCGCCGACAGCGAGCGGCTCAACATCGACATCTCAGACGAGTAAGAGCGCCGTGTTAGAATGTGGTTACTCCACCCCGGACGAGGTCTAACGACGCGCTGCTGTTTCTGTGCCGCAGGTTTCTGGTGCAGTTCAATCACGACAAAGTGTGCGTGAAGTTCATCCAGGGGGCCGCCAGGAACGGCAACGGTGTCTCCTGCAAGCGCAAGAACAACCGCCTGCTGGAGGTGTCGGTGCCCACGACCGCGTAGTGCAGCTCCCCCAACCCCCCCCACCCCCCGCCAGGCTTAGTGACGACTGAATAACAACCCCCCCCCACTCCGACTCGCTGGTCCCGAACACCGGCACCCCAGCGCCCCGCCCCGAGCCGCCGGATGAGTGTGCGGTCATTTGGCTTGTTGTCGTGGTGTTTTTTTTTTTTTTTTCTTTCCCTTCAGTGTCGTCTTGTCAGATTTACTCCAGCACCATTACAGCTGTAACCATGTGCCACTTTTTGGGCAGAGAGAACCCTTGTGTGGGGGATGCGTGCCACAGAAGGTTTGGTAAACGATGCCGCTGGTGCTTTGTAAAACAAAAGAGTTGAAAATGGATGAAGAAAAAATAATAATAATCACAAGATTCCGTATAGCAGTGGCAACGTTAATGATTGTTCCGCCTGTGTGTTGAATTATTCTTCAGAGAAAACGTCTCCGTGACGAGCTTCAGCCTCAATTGGCCTTGACTCATGCATTTTTTTTTTTTTTTAAGCGTCTCTGACTTTAAGCTGATGTCTTAGAACTTATGATGAACTGGGAACTTTTGGGCTCGGCCTGTCTGATTTAGATTCTCTGAAGAACTTTATTACTGCACTTGTTTTCACCTCGGTGTAACCAAAAGAGGAGCTGAAAATGATTTGATGTTTTATTTTCTCTCTCATATATATATATATATATATTTTTTTTTCTTCTCTGAAACAGAACAGTGGGCAGTGGAGAAGAGAAATGTAATTTGCTAGATAATTGTAAAACCACTTTTGTATCCTCCTGTATGTGCCATTGAACAGGTCCCACGACTCACTGGTGTCCAATCACAAACCACGCAGGCGATGGACGCCGCTCTCCACAACACCCTTGCCAAAAAAATGTTTGCATGTCACGTGATCGGCTTCGACTGCACAAATCGTAACCATTTTCCAGCTTTAACTTCATTAAAGACGCTGACAAACTTATCACAGACGTTCTAGTGGAAGGAAAAGCACGAGCGGTATCTACCCGTCATTATTACTTCAGCAGATCCAAAGTGTTCTCTGGTACAAAGCGCCGCCCCCCCCCCCTTATTCATCTTTTCTTTTGTGTGCAATAAAATAAAAGCTTTGTCTCGCAAACCCCTAGCAGTCGCCATTCGCTGTACATAGGCCCTGTATGCTGTATCCCTGGCATGGACAAAGGGTTCCTGTACTCTTCTCTTTTTAATTGCTGTGTTTGTACGAGCGGTTTTCGGCACTGCAGCTTGAGTTATTGTAGCGCTTGACCCCGCTCTGACCTTTTTTTAAAAGTTTGTTTTTATGGGTAAGGACCAAATATTAAGCGCTCATGACCATAGATTCGTGCTGTATCTGAAGAAATTGATGTACACGTTTAGTACACGCCCTTTTACAAGCAAGCCAAATTGGGTTGTCAGAAGCGACTCGAGTGCTTTATCTTCAGGTATGTTGACGGTAATCTTTATTTGGATGTACCGGCAGTGGGATTTGTGACGTTGATTGTCAGCCACATGTTTCTCTGGTGTCTGAGGGAGTAACGCAGCCAAACTTGGTCTCGTCATGATTTGCAATCAGTCCACGATGGATCCGGTTTCTAGGGAGGGTTTTTTGGTGTATGTTTAACGTCACACGCGACGAAGGGACTTGAGAAATCCGTCATGTTCCCTCACACAAGAACAGTCAAGGTGAATGCCAGTTTGGATGTATATTCTTTGTTGGCACTGCACAGTTTGAATGTTTCGTTGAGGTGACCCCCCCCCCCCCTCTTCCCCCTCCTCTCTTCTGTTTTGTATTTGAACGATGGCTGCCGCTGCGAAATGATGTCTGCATTCTTGTGTGCCTAATGTTAGCCTGTGCCGATAGACACGACATGGAAATGTTTCGGTAGAACTCGGAGTAACATTTACAAGTAATACATTTTTTTTTTTTTTTAAATTAAATAAAAATCTGTAATAAATGTTCTGGGATTCCGTGACACGTTTCTTGGTATCCTTTTTATGCTTCGTTTGCTGCTTTCTCATCCTCCACACTTACCCTTGAATGACTCCACAGATCATAAAGGCTTTTGAGCCTTTTATGAAAACTCGTACAGTTCCATCAGATTATTTAAATTCACATTATTTTCCGGGCCTCTGGCTGCTGTTTATCAGCAGTATCCACGGGAAGGGGGGGGGTTACTAGTATGGAGGCCTGGCCCGGTCGCCAAGCAGCTGGCCAGATGTTTTCCATCACATCTGGAGAGAGCTGCCTTTAGGGTTAAATTCCGCGGCTCGGGGAGAGCTGCCTGCAACAGGTCTCCAGGGCACGGCCCTCAGATTGAACACAGAGCGGTAAAAATAGCATACCATTTTGGGCTGCTCGGTACCCGGTTCCCACCACTCTGCAGGCTGGGAAAGGAAGGAGGAGTCCCGGCCTCCCAGCGGACACTCGACCCTCAGCGGGAGTTGGAATTGAACAGCCGGCCTTTTGCATATCTTGCAAAACCTGTAACATTCAAACCGTAATGGAGATTTGCATCTAATCAGAATAACTGGGCGGATGGTCCTCGACGACTCCTGAAGATTCACACAAAAGTAAGGTGTCATGTGGCTGCTTTTAATTTACTCTACCAATTCAGAACAAATATTTATCAAATTCGCTTCAACTGCAAAGTGACTAACTCTGATTTTGTCACTGTGATCATAAGTCTTTTATTTGCGATAGACTATAATGGTTGTGACGTATTCTGCCTGAGGGGGACATATTGCACTGGATGGGCCGCGCAGCTTTTGAGATCGGAGAGTCTTTAGTGACATCCCATGGATTCTAAATGGCATTACAGTCATGAAGACTAAGGCAGATGAGAGATGAGCTCTGCTCAGTGATGCCTTTTTGCTGATCATTAAATCTTTGTCTGATTCTTTATTCAACAGACATTTCTGCAACGTTGTGTATTTAATGACTAGTAGGGTGGTTTATGAACCATAAAGGTGCCGTTTCAACTGCAAAATGCATATTTTTTTCTTCTCAATATTCAAATAAAATACTGATTGTTTTATATTAAGTCAGTCTAAAATGCTTATTCAAAATATGGTACAAATATGATATGCTCTTTCCTTTAACATGTGCCACTAATAAAAGCAGCATTTGGGACTATAAGCATGTCTGTATTAAGTTGCTGTGCTGTATAGTTTTGAAATCTTAGTGCGTCTTTTTGCAATTATAATACCAAACCCTTGTAAAAACACTTGTTTTCCACTCGATGATTTGTGGAATAAATGCCTCATGCTTCATAGAGCTTATCAGCTGCGGTTGACTGCAGTGCAACATCGAAATTGATGCAAGAAAAACATTGCGTACTTTGTGGGGAAAGTGCTTACCTACCGCCGGCCTGAATGATTGTGGTCTCTTGTAACCTGCGGCATGCAGCGGTGGTCCTTGTGGGATGTCTGATTGGACTGAACGCTATTTAATATTCTGGATGCCAGCTTCACAATTTTGTAAAGTGGCCTCCGTTTAAGCACAGACACGTTAACCAGAAACCTTGTAAATGGAGTAGCCACAAAGGTTCACCTTGAGGGGGCCGGAGTGAAAGCTGGTTATACTTTTGCTCAAATTCAGAATCATCCTTTCAGAACGTGTGTATTAAAATGTGATGCGTGTTTAAGCATTCTCTGCCCCCTGAATAAGAAGAGTACTGGTGTAGTTACAGCCCAGACACTAGGGGCCAGTCCTGCTCAGGGTTTGAGGCCAAACAATCCCTCGGGAACCATCGAGTTTCATTGTCGAGAAGCAAAAAAAAAAAAAAAGTTGACTTCCTGCTCAGAGTAACCGGAGGGGGCTTTTACGTTTTACACCCTTGAAAGCAGAGAACCGCTGCACTTCCGAGCTGGACGCCGTTGTCTTCGCCACAATGCAACATTGAAAACGTACAACTAGAATTATTTTATTAGACTGCAGTTTGAAGTGTAGGGTCGCCACGGAGATCCAGATACACCAAACGACATTAAAACTGTTACTTTTAATGCACCTGGTTAATTGCCGTGGGTTTTTCCCAGCCCTAAATTTACTGCCGTCAAGAGTCAATACGATCAAAGTTCAGTGTGAACTAATGAATCTCTAAATTCGCCGCCCGGCCCTCTCTTCCTCCCGCCTTCCTCCTTCACCCAACCTTTACACCTCTGCCATAAATTTAATGTTGCATACTGTTAGAGATGAACTCTGCACGAGTCGCCTCCTTTGTGCATAAAACACTGGGCCGTGGTGTACTGGAGCAGCGCCATTTAACGGTTGTAATTTAATAAGCATATTTTGTGCTTATTGGGGACGTCAGAAGCATTTCTCCGGCTGCTCTCAAACAATCTGCTGCCGTTTGTAGTCGACGCACCGCTCAATTAGTTCGTCGGCACAAACACCAGCTCCAGAATAGCGGTAGCACTTTCTCACTGACTCCACACTGTGGAAATTGAGTTTTTAACACATCCCGCGTGTGCTGGAGGTTAGTTAACCGTATTGACAGTATTGAACTGTCGCAGCGCCTCGGCTGATTTCATTATTGAGTGAGGGAGGTTAGGATGTAGATGTCAACACGTTGGCCACCAGGCCGCTGATTTACTTTGACATAAATCTATCGTGCGATTTAAGTGAAACTTCCCATAAAACCCTGGAAACACAGGGAGGTGTGTTCTGAAGAAAAAATCTATTCCTCCTTCCCTGGTTGATTCTACGGGAGGGGAAGCTCCTTTGCTTTTGTCTTGCAATGTGATATTCTTGAAATAGTGGGTCTCACACTTTTGGTAAGTTTCTAAGCGCACACTGTTTTTATTCGAAACCGGCCATGCCGTTGGCTGTTGGGCGCTGAAGAGAAACACTCAAAATAGCACTCCAAACTGCCGTGCAGTGTGGCGGGTGGAGACGGGGACAATCACCCGGTGTATTTTGCCCCCCCCCCCCCCCCCCCGGTAGTGTGCTATGCTGCTCTAAGGAGGGCGCGGGGCGGTGGGAAGAGTTCAATATAATGAGTGTTTCGGGGTGGTGGAGAGTTTGTGTCCCCCCTCACCCTTGGTCTCCCCGCCCCCTCAAGGGTTTCATCAATTTGTAGCCTTTTTCCCTCAAATAGCCCAAAATGGAGGGGGGGGGGGGGGGGGGGTTAGGAACTGAGAGGGAAAAAGGGGGCTTCTGCTGCACCATCTGGGGGTGCAGGAGCAGAAAGTGATGACTTTAGTGAGATATTATTATAATCACAAGATGGGAAATAGCAGTGAGTTGAACATGGACAGATGTTTATTCTCCTCTATTCTACTTTGTTCTACGTGCCAACTCAAATTGTGTTAAACATTTTATATTCTCACTTGCCTGAAGAAAACAACGGGTAGCACTTTTGGTCATCTATGTCTATAGTGCGTTAAAAGCATACTTATGATCTGCTTAGAAAACAGCAGGATTCAAGTTATGACCTCATCAATGCCATTCATTCATAATGCTTTCTAACAACAATCAGACGCTTCTCAAAGTTCACGTTATATAACTTTAGTTCACACGACGGTGTGTGTAAAAATGACAAAACAAGTTTTAAAAATTCTTTTAGGAATAAACAGAAGTTAATAAACTGTTTTTTCTTGTTGTTTTTCCCCAGAAGGGACACTTGCAGTCAAATAATAAATCACCATTATCTTTCTGCTCGGTCATCATTGCACCAACACATGTGATGGGGTGTGTGTTTGTTTCCGTCAGTGTGTACGTCTGCATGTACGTGTGAACGAAAGCAGCTGCAGAGCTGATACGGATGAGCAAATAGCTGCACACACATTAGCTGCTCATTTACAGACATAAGGAGGGAGCACAGGTGGGCTCAAGCGTGTGTGGGAGCGCGTGTATCTGCTCGCCGTCCCCGATATGTGAACTTAGGAAACTGTCATTTTAACACATTCTCACTCCTAACTTATCTCAGGGGCTGAATAGCTGTTTGTTTCGTGTCTGTGAGACGTGCGAAACAGATTTGTTAATTAGTCCAGAGCTGCTCCCACTGAGAATGAGGATTCTTCATTTAGCAGCTCACGTGGCTTGAAATGACGCTCAACAACCGCTTTTTAATTGCGTTTCACTGTGACTAATTAAACTGTTCAGACTGCTAATAGACGAGCAACATCTGGGAGTCGGGGCGTTGAAAAGAAGCGAAGGCCCACTAGAGGCTACGGCATGCGGACAGAAGGTAGGGCCAAACTACAAGGAGAGAAGGTGTAAAGTCAAGGGGCAAAGGGAGGAGGTTGGGGGGGTTGTAAATTAGGGAAATGAAATCTCATCTTCAGTGTGGGACGACATACGTCAGGAAGTGACAGCCCCGCCTCTCAGCCTGTCAGTCCCTTCTCAGTCAAAACAACCAATTAAAGCAAAGCTAATCCCCCGTTAGCCCCTGGATAGCCTCTGCGAGACAAGCCGGTCCCTCACGCACACGCACACGTGTGTTTCAGCAAATTTGAGTCATTGTAGAGGACACGTGTCCCCAATGTTGCTCATTGCCTCTTTTATCCAAATTGCTTTAAAGCCGTAAATCACTTGGTCATTTCGGTGCTGCACACACTCGCTTGTGTGCAGGCCGCTGCAGCAACGACTACACGCGAGGATTGTTAGAAAGCCTGTGACACACATTGTGTGAGCTGCAAGCTTCTTCCATTTTGTTCAATTGCTTTCACTTCAAGAATGTAGGTCAATTTTTATTTCAAATACCCAGGCAACCAAGAGGAGAGGGAGAGGTAAGACAAGGGGGACGGGTGGAGGTGACGTGGCGATAAAGAAATGTGCGTTTTTCCCCTTCATCGTCTCACCCTAACCCTCGCGCACACACCAGCGGATCTGATTAAATCCCACAAACATTGATTGGTGGGAGGGTCCATTGACCGCGGAGCTAATTGAACTGTCTCAACTCGGCCAGGTTGGAGTGTCACGGGGAGAATGACGAGGACTCGTCAAATGAGCTGCAGTAATAGCCACAGAACTGAATTGTGCTCCGTTTGCCATGTTTCTGTACGTGCCCATCCTCTTCGTCATTGGTCGATTTTTTTGGCACTTTGGTCCAGACTGAAATATCTCACGAGACATTTCATGTTGAGATATTCAGAAGATGAATTCTACAGACCTCTGGCCCACGAGCAGTTGCATTTTTGTGTTTCTGTCTTCACGACTGTTGGGTGGCTTGCCTTAGTAAATTTGATTGTAATAGTGTTGATGATATCCCGTGTCAACATCCAGTCGCAGGCAATCGTATCCATTGCAGACGGCTCACTGTGGCAACATCCACACGTTGCCATCAACAGCTAAGTGCTCTCCGGGGCACTTAGCTGTCGACGAGTCCTGCCTGATTGTAACATTGGGATAACAATCAATCATTTTTAATGTGTTTCTATTTGCTCACATTTATTTGCATTTGTATATTCCAGCGTTATTATTTAGAACATCTGCTGTGGGGATTTGAGATTAACACTCACCATTTCCCCTGACTGGATGTGGCAGATGCTGATGCTTAGTACACGTTAAGGTTGGGAATTTCTAGTGAATAAGGCACAGGAGTTGCTTTCAAGCAAATCATACACGGTATACATATATTTTATGGACTAAAGAAAAGAGTTTTTATCCCGCTACGGAAAAGAACCGCTGCGAACAAACCCTCATTTATTTGCGTTGAAGGAAGAGCGTATTTGGGTAATGGGTATTTTGGGAGCCTGACCCTGCAGAGCCGTCTGGGTGTCCCACAGAGCAACAGATGTTTAACTACTCCCTGCAGCCAGCGCTCCGCCGCCCCGTCACTGCCCCTGTCTTTGTGTGTTAACCAGCTCTACGTGTGTCCGTCTCCTCCTCTCATTCACAGACCTCCGTTTAGCACTAATTGGCTATGTGGCTCCTCTCCTCCCCTCTTTCGATTCTACGCCGAAGCCCGATCTCATTGTACTGTCATGTCACTGTTTACCGTGCTAAGTAATAATCACCAATCTCAGGCTCTCCTCCTCCTCCTCCTCCTCCCTGCCCTCCCCTGCCTCCTCCTCTCCTCCTCCTCCTCCTCCGCTCCTCCCTCTTGTCCTCCTCATTATGGCCGCGGCCTCGGGTTGTGACGGCCGTCATAAATCAACTCATTTTGAAACCACGTTGAACCTTGCAACCCTGAACACCCACCACTGCTCGACCAGGAAATGTTCTATTCCCCCGCGGCCCATTAGGCCAATCGGAGCACAACTGGAGCATGACAATGGATAGAACAATAGCAACCGAACTCAGATATGAGACTAGGAACCACAAAGGGATACAGACAGCGGGGGGGACCAGCGGGCTTTATGATGCTCAATAAGTTGGGGACTTTCCTCTCCTGGGATACCTATTCATCTTTTACGTTACTGTCATTGAGGGTGACTATGATGGGTAAATATCACATTTTGAATTACGTTGGGGAAAATTCTTCTCTCAGTAAAGGAGTTGACTCCATTTACGTTTCGGTTGGCTGAGGAGGTCGTGTGAGCAGTGAGAGCTCATGTTCCAACACTATAAAAGTCTCTTTGGCCTCAAATTCATTAAAACAAACTCTTACGATCGCATCTATGGTTTCAAACACTTTGGATTTGGCCTCCACCGTGCACCACCATGCAGGGAAGGCGTAACCTTTCTGCTGCGGAGGCCGGACGGAGGCGCCCACTGGCTTAACCTCTCTTTCATTTGTGTATGAATAGAAGCAACATGAATGGTTCTTTGCAGCTACGGCCAGAGAGGAGCTTTGAGTAGCGGCTCTGTGTCTCCCAGACTTGCTCTTGTCTGTTTTGAATCTGTGGTTTGCATTGTTGCTGTTGTCCGTGTGTGTGTGTGTGTGTGTGTGTGTGAACGTGCCTGTGCATGCAAATATGTTTGTGTGTTCTTTCATCTTCAGAAAGAATTTGGAGAATAGAACCAAAATGAAATCAATGCAAAAGAATAGAGAGAGGCCTAAACTTTGTTAATACTTTCTGTAAGAGAGATCAAATAAATCGAGATGAGGAATAAAACGCAAACTGTAAATCAAAGATCTACTTTTTAAATCAAAGAATTTAATATACTAAATAATGAAATAAATGTTGTTTTCATATAAACATGCATGGACAGCGATAGCAAACATTTAGAATACAAATAACCTTGATTATCTATTCCTTAATAGATCAACCTATACGAATGGTCTACAAAGACTCTTTTGTTAGGAATTATTAACACGTAATGACCATTAGTCCCAATTCCAATCTATTATCAAACATTTTACCTCTGAGTGGTGTGAAATATAAAATGCGATGTCCTTGGAACCGTATCTGTGATTGGATACACATGCTAGTATATCAATATATATTGTGCAAACTTTGTTAAATGGTCAGTTATACTGTCCCTTATCTACAGTAATGAAGAAGAGATCACAGAGAATTCAATATTTTATAGGCGTCGTTTACAAGCTCAGTTCCGTCCAGGAACTTCACACATTAACGTGACCTGACTATGAAGGGCGTAGAAACCAACGGCCTAAAATCGCTAAACAATACGACATCTGTCATGACAGAAATAATGTCATGTAGAATATGACGCAATCAAATTACTTCCTCTTATTAATAAAAAGAAGGGAGATTAAAAATAACCGGTAGTAATGTGGGTTTAAGTTGCTATATGGACTTTATGGACTCAACATGACTTTCAACAGACTGATATTCTTGGTTATTTATTCTCCCAGATTTAAACAATTGTTTATGTCCACAGCAGCATGATCACTAGACCGATACATGACGAGCATGTGCAAAATGTCCACTACGACCACTTTCTCGCAGCTCTGCTTTGGACTGTTTGGGTCTACCTGTGGTCCGTGTGTGTCCACCAGACTCTTAGTAATGATTGATGGTGGAAAACGTTAACTATTAACCTGTTTCTCCCGACAGAGATGTCTTTAAACATGAAACATCAAAGCCTCTTCATGTGTGTCTTATGCGTCAAATAAGGAAGTAATAAGAAGCTTTTTCCCCTGCAAGTTCATTAAGTCATATCTTCACCCGCTGCTCTTACTAACAAAATAAAAGCCCTTGTATTTGTTAACTTGGGGAACAATAATACCGCTTAAAAGTAATGTCTGAAATCTGTCATGTGTTAATGCTCAACAGTCAATCATTCGCCTTGGTTAAACAACATAAACCCGTCACTCAAATGTCATTAAGTTGAAATGCTGTGTAACTTAGCAGGTGTTGGTCTGTTCTTTGAAGTGATAGCGGTTGGTTTTCCCAGGCTGTCTCTTATCAGTCCAACATAAACCAGAAGGAAATCCACGCATGTCAAACTGCGGCACAGGTGTTGCTCCATATCAGGTAGCATCTAGCTGTAAGTTGACAATAAGAGGATCATTTGCAGTATGTAAGTATGCACTTATCTTACTAACCTTTGTGAGAAACCCCACATATCATGAGGTGCATAGGGACGGAGTCAGCGGCAGACAGCTGTTACAGGACTTTGTCTCACCTGTCGGTAATTTGTGTTTGGCTCTGCGGACTCTCTCTCTCTCTCTCTCTCTCTCGTCACTTTACTGCCCCTTTATCTGCTTCATGGTGTGGTGATGACCATAATCAAGACATCAGCCGCTGATAAGGGCTGCTGGGTTTCTGGTCAGGCAATAAAATCTAATGAAGACTGAGTTGTAAAAAGATGAATTACGTCATTTGGTAACACAATGGTAATCAACCCGCAATATAGGTTTTCAAGTGTGTCTGAAGTTACACCTCAATCACACACGGGACAGGTAGGATATTTGAGGTCAGACTGCCAGACGGATAACAGACAGACTGAAGGATAAAAAAAAGTAATTCTCATGTACCCTTCTATAATATCCTTGGGCATGCGTATAATAATAGGATGGCATATGTGTGCATAGAACCCAACGCCGAGGAGCGCACCAATGGCTTCCATTAACCCTTTATATGAAATAGCACACTCTGCCCTTTCAGGTCTCTGGCCAATCACGACGCGGCAGACTTTATAGCGCAGTTGGGTGGAAGTGGTTCCTCAGCTCACTGCTGGAGTGAGCCAAGCGCTTCAGTTACGCACACGCTGCAGAGGAGTGGGTCAGAAGAAAAAGTAGCAAGAATAGAGCACTTTCCGAGACAAATTAGCCACTCTCTTCTTTTCCAAGTTTGTGAAGTGAAAAAGTTCCCAAAAATGACGACCAGCGTGGAGAAATCTAAAAACTTTTGCATTGACGCGCTGCTGGCGCACGACGCGGAGCAGAGGACCGACAGTGATGGCGCGTCCCCGGGGTTGTATTACCGCGGAAGCCCCGGTGGCAGTCCGGTGTCCACCCACGGCTCAGAGACGCCCTCCCCTCATCAGAACCAAACGAACTCCTCTCGAGCCCCGCCAGGGGTCCTCTCCAAGTCGCAGCTCTTCTGCTTGTCGCAGTCAGCCTTCGGCGCTTTGCACCAAGGTGGTCTCCTCGGAATGCACCCGGCCTCCTTGTATCCTCTGGCGGCCCTGGGAGGCCACCACCCGGCGAATTACGTCTACCCCGGTTTCATGCAGCTGGTCCAACCGTACCCGCAGCAGCTGAAAGGCGCCAGGACCACGACGCACCCGCTGGAGCCTTGGATCAGAGCCGGCATGATGATGCCCGGACTGGGCGAGTGTGGAGGTGAGCGAATCTCCACGTTTCCTCAACTTCACCATCAACTTTACTTCAGGAAAAAACTGAAGATGGCATGAAACTGTAAATAAAGCACCATACAATAATCATTATAAAACTACCACAACTATTTGACTGATTATATGTTTGAGCATGCATGAATATATTGAATAGTCATGTAATATTATCAAGTACTTAATTGCCATATAAATATATATATTTTTTAAATGCTGAGCTAGCTTTGACATTTTTGTTCATTTTATTTGGATGGTCGACAGCCATTTTTTTTTATTAATGGTTTAAAAAAAAAACCTGTGTTGATATTTTTTTGAAATCACTGTGGTATTTAGATGCTGTCTCTTAAAAACCGTATAGATCATAAAAAACATGCAATATCTAAGGTATAAAGGTAACACGTGAATGGACCTACTTCATCAATCGATAACATTTGCAGTGTTTTCATTAAGGTAATGGTCTCCTGTGATGGTTTATGACCCCTCCAAAGCAATATCCTCTCACCACGATCCCACATCATGGCAATAAATGCAAACGGACATAAAAAAAAACCAAGATATACAAGCAGAAAGACAGACGGGCTTGATGGCTCATACTGGAAAACAAAACCAGAATTTGTTTGGAGATTTTTTTGAATAATATTCCACAAATTAATGTTTTTTTTACTTTGGTGTCTTCTGCGGGCCTTTCTTTGTTCATAGGCTCATTATCCATAATAGTAGAAGCCAGCGAAAGAAAATAAACATGTCAATCATGACCAATGGACAGAATAACGCTGTCGTCTGTCTCTGCCTCTCTCTGTTTCCCCCGTTTCAGTACCGGCACAGGAAGGTTTGTTGGGGAAGTGTCGCAGGCCCAGGACAGCTTTCACCAGTCAGCAGCTACTGGAATTAGAAAACCAATTCAAGCTCAACAAGTACCTGTCCCGGCCCAAACGCTTTGAGGTGGCCACTTCACTCATGCTGAGTGAGACTCAGGTGAGAAACCCAGAGCCTGTATATCAGATGGTTAAACCCTGTTTGTAGTGTGTGAGTATCCACATCCTTCCAAGTCACTGTCAAGTTGATGGTGTTACCTTACCTAACTGAATGGGTTTGCCTGGTTTAACTGTGATGGTCCCTGCTGTGTCACCAGGTTAAGATCTGGTTCCAGAACAGACGTATGAAGTGGAAGAGAAGTCGCAAAGTCAAGGACCAAGCAGCTTCACTGACTGACAATGAAAGAGCTGCAACGGATATTCACAGCCCCAAGCCGCATAGTGATTCACACAGCTCCAGCCTGGAGGACGAGGAGGAAATAGAAGGGGATGAGGAGGATGAAAAGGAGGAGATTGAAGTACTAAGGGCAGGCTCCTTGGGCCCCGTAGGTTTCATGGGGCATGCTGGAGGAGGAACAGGGAACTACAGCTCTTACTCTGCGGAGGAACTGGCGGAGGGAGGCTCACAAACAAGAAGTGGGGTTTTTGCATAGTTGTAAAGCTCAGAATGCTTTTATTGTACTTTGTTTTATGTTTATTACTGTTGACACTATATAATCAATCAGGTGCAAAAATATGGTGGCATTTATTTTTCCCATGCACAACATGTTCTGTACATGGAGCACAGGTAACATCAACCCGTAAAAACGCCATGTGTTTGGGAATTTAAATGCGTAATGATCATCCATCTGAGTCATGACATTAGACTCAGCCAATAAGTCTGAATTATAATGTTTTTATGTGCATAATTTACTTTACTTTTAGATGATTTAAACAGTTTGAACATTCTGAAAGTTTGCGTTTCTTAACTGTCATTTGCAATTAACTAATTAGTCTAAAAATGTATGTGTACTTAAACTGCGTAAATGGGGGTGATGATAGCACTTTCATAGTAGTGAATGAAGAGACTGCAAACATAAATTTGAGACTTGTGTTGTGAAGAGTGTCAGTGTTACATTGGTGTCAGGTCTGTTACAAACGCTGGACAAATATTTCACCAATATTTGAATTTTTCTATTTCTATTATAACAGGACAAAGAATGGATCCATGTCCACCAAAGTCAATTTTTTTGGCCTTAGGTTTGGCTCTCTGATAATGAAATGTTGTAAAATATTCAACCTTTTGTTTTGTATTATCATTAAAGAATATATGTTATATTTAGGTAAAGCCCCACACACACACAAGACATGGCTGCATGTATGTTTTTTTTTATTTCTCATGTGAAGCGTGTTATGTTGTCAATATATAATTTAACATGATAGAATTTAATATATTTTACTCTACAAGGGACACTTGTGTTTTTGTGGCAATGAATAGTTTGCAAAATAAAGCTGTATTCAAGTGTTGAGTCTAATCAATAACTTGAATCAAAATCAATGGGATTTTTATTTAGGGAAGCAATTAGATAACTTTTAAAACTTTTTGTCATTCCTCGTTTATATAGTTGCATCACACCGTCTTGATAACTTGTCAAACCATCGTGTGTCCTAAATGTTAACACTCCCTAGTTAAAGAAAACACTTATAACCAGTTCGCCAATGGAAAATGTCCCTCCTTTGCTGCCGTAATTACTATGGTGATTTCAAACAGTTGCTTGTTGCCGTGGTAACGCAGTGACCACAAACTTAATTGTTCTGAGCGCTGTTTTCATACCTGAATAGGAATGAAAATCTGTACCGTTAGTTTACTGAACTTGATGTTTGACGTTTAAGTGAAGGTAAGGAGTTTATTGTGGAAATAAGTCTGTGTAGCTGCCAGCTGTCTGCCCCCCTGTTAGCTAACAGCAATGGGCGTAATTTAACCTCAAATTATTCCAAAACACACTCAATGTGGCCTTCGGCTATGTTTTGGTTGAGTGAAACTCTAACAAACTGTGTGAAAATACGAGTCCTCAAACCCGTTTTAAACACCGGAAAACTTTCGCCGTCATTTAAAGTTAAGTTAGCTAACGTTACATGTGGTAACTCAATGTTGTGCTAACGCCTAGCTAACGTTGGGTGGCTTCTGTCTCCTTCCAGCCATGTTATCTGAGGCTCCGGGTCCTGAACCTTTGACTTCAAGAGCACCATGGAAACCCTCGACCCCTGGAAAGGATATCAAAGTAACTAAAGTTGGATTTGAAACAACTTTTGTAGCAAATATTTTCATTGTACCTGTGTGTTAAAATTGTTCTATTTGTCTCCCTCCCTGAATAAGCAAAATATTCCGTGAGCCACAGCAATCAACACAAACAGTAGCCTATAATAATCATTACACAACTCTGTGCAGAGATTGTGGAGTTTTCCTATATATTAATCGGTGTTGCTGCTGAAGCAATGCCGTACGTATGAAATACTGAGTGTTCACTTAAATTATTCTCCTCAGGGCATCTTCTTAAGTAATTCATCTGTGTCCAAAACTTTCCAAAAACTCACATCGTCTGCAACGCCCAACTCTGCAGGATTTACGGATTCACCAGAGGCCACGTGGTGGAAAGAACCATCGAAAAGCATCCAGCCAGAGAAGCTGTCTCTTCGGGTTGGAACTGAACCCAGAGCTGGTCTGGGAGGACTGGGAGCTGGGCAGGGAGTTCACCAAGACATTAGTGTTAAAGAATATTCATAGCAAGCTGCAGAAACTACATCTCAGGTCTTACAAAAACATATTTTCATACATATGCAAACACATAAATAGGCTAAGGATTCACACAATAATATATCTTTGACCCCTCACAGGCCTACAATGTCCAAGTTTTTCTCCACCATCCCTCCTCAAATAATAGTTCTCAGCCCAGGGACTTCTTTCTCCATGCCAGTCTGCTTCAGACCGCTGCAGAGGGTAAAAACAATCTCTTTTTTTTTAACCTGTTAACAGGTCATATTAATTAAAAGGATTGACTGTTCTAGATCAATCATTGTAAATACTTTAAATTGATGCCAATTTAAACCATTTCGATTATCATCCATTTCAAAGAGATCTAATGTGATCTTCGGTCTCACGTCTTTTTGTCTGTGTTCTGTGTCTATCTGACTGCTCGGTACAGTGTGAGTATGAAGACTGCATTGAGTTTCAAGGTAAAGATGGCAGCTTCCAAGTGTGTCTCCGTGCCATCATCCCCTGCCATGCCCTGGAGGTGCCTGACTCCGTGCTGCTTCCACTCTGCGCTGTTCAAAACTCTTCCAAAACCAATTTCCTGCTCAAAAATGTCAGGTTGGTATGAGTTTGGAAGCAGAAAACTTTTAATGAGTTTTTTTTTTTTTTACCGTTTGTGTGTTTATGTTCTTATTACTTATAAATGTTTCCTGATTCCTGATTATCAGTTTGTCTGTGCTTTGCAGTAAGTTGTTCATCACTCTCATTTTCCTGTGTCCTCCCTATTTCGCTGCACACTCTTCTTTCGGCAGTAAACTCCAGACTTGCTTCCAGTGGAAGTGCACAGCGCCGTTCCAGCTAAGCCCCGAGCAAGGCCTGCTGAAGCCCAGCCAGGAGTGTCCAATCACTGTGATATTTCGACCACAGGAGGCACTGGTGTACCAGCAACAAGCAAGCTGCAGATTTGGAGAAGGGGACGAGGCAAAGAGCTGCTGCAATGTGCTTCTACAGGGACTAGGTACTGGTACTATCACTGACAACGGAGACAGGGGAAAAAAAGGGATTTATAGTCCACTTATTTTGGATAGAGTATATGTGGTTTAAATATATATCAGAAAACTTTGAAAGGATATGATGGGTAAATAGGAATCAATATTTGTATTGATTCTGACTTCCTTCTCAGCCAAATACCCATTTCTTCAGCTGAGAGCTCCAGGTACCACCGATGAAAAAGAACAGTGTCTTCCAGAGCTGCACTTTGGCTCTTTGCCTATCGGACAAAGTTTGCAGAAACCCTTTGACATCTTCAACCCTTCCCCGGTAAGTATTACACAAAGAAACTCTAAAAATGCAAACTCTCAATGAGCTTCCCTATCATTGCTGTTTTTGCCCCCCCCCTCCAGGTAACTGCTTCATTCTCCCTCTCACGATCGTCCAGTGGGCTCCATATGTTGGACTCAGAGTTCAGCTGTGATGTTACCACGGGTCAGGTGGCAGCTGGAGGATCACTACGGGCTTTTGTCACCTACACTCCTGCTGAGGTGGATACTGTCTCTGTGGAGTACTTGTCTCTAAAATGTAGAGGCGCATTGAGTGAAACTACCCTCAAGCTCATTGGGAACTGTGTAGGTATGGACACACTTAAAGGAACACACAAAGTACAAATGTAAATGCATCCCACGCTGGAATATTTTCCACATTTTTGGTATGTAAACTCTAGTTCTTTCTTCAAACGAGGTCCCAACGTTTCTCTGACCTCCTCCGTGCTGGACTTCGGCTGTGTTGAGGAAGGGGGAGCAGTTGTACAGACACTGGAGCTGGTTAATTCTGCGCCCGTTGAGGCTTTCTACCATTGGGACCTGGACTGCACGGGGAATAGTGTGTTCAGCATACAGCCAGCAAGTGGCACTGTATGCCCACACAGCCACATCACACTCAAGGCCGCCTACAAGCCCACGCAGCCTATTGCACATCACAGGAGAGTGACATGCATCATACTGCACAGGGTAGGAGCTAGTTTTCAGATGCACACACACTCTCAGCACATATACTAACATCATCGGTATTTATTCTATTTATCTACTTTCTCTTTTCTGTAGGACCCCATGTTCCTTGACCTGATTGGTACCTGTCACTCAGAGCTCCGGCAACCAGTGATACTGAAACCCGAGCACTTGGTTCTTTACAAGCTCCACTGGTCCCGCAGACTGGACCCGCAGGGCAGTCTCACAGCCATGCAGCAAGACAATAAAGTAGGCTTTGACCGAGAAGGAATGCTCTGCCCAGAGGGGGAGGTAAAGAGCCAAAGAGAGATGAAACATGCAGATTTTCTTTATTTTAAATAGTAAAGACAACAACTCACTCACACTATGAACACCAGATGCCACCAGTAAATTGTACCGTTTAGGTTTGGTACTGTCTCTCTTATTCCTTTTTTTTCTGTGTCATTTTCTAGCAGTCACACCGCGCACAGGACAACAGAACCCCCATGGAGGAATATTATGAGTCCTGCTTGGGTTGCGTGGATCCCCTCAGTTCTTTGTCCTCCCCACATGTATCCGTGGAGCCCAGTGAGCTTCTGTTTAATCACAAACTAGCCTCCTCTTTGTCGCCTACATCCACATTTTCTCAGCCTGTATCCATCACCAACCACACAAGGGGGGAACTCAGGTACCAGTTCTTGCACTGGATTGGGGCTTCTCACTATGGAGCTACATACGCACACTTTTTCTTTCTAAACCTGATTAGACTTTTTTTGCCCCTTCTGATTTCTTGTTCCATGTTATCCTGCTACAGCCTGGTGTGGACTGCCACCCGAGACTCTCCGTTCACTGTCTCGCCCTCATCGTGCGACCTGGCTCCTCTAAAATCCACTTCATTCAGAGTGACCTACGACCCCAAGCAGCTCAATACTCTGCACGGGGCGCAACTTGAGTGCTTTGCATACAATAAGGTAATGCGGTTTGATAATCTATAAGCAAAATTCCATCACATCAAGTGATCGGTCCTTTCTCCCTCTGAATAAATATGTGAAAGATCACTGAGACCATTCAACAGGAACACATTTAGCAGTGACTGCATTGTCTTTCTTCCCCGGATGCTGCAGGGCAACCCTCAGATAGAAGGTCGCCTGCTGTGCCCACCGTGGTGTGTGACTGTCCGAGTCATAGGCCATTCATTTCAGCAGAGCAAAGAGCATTTCATCCCGCGCTGCTCCTTGCAGCCTCCTCGAGTGGTGAGATACAGAAAGAACTCCAATGCCACTCAAAAGCACATCGGCCGCTCTCTTTTGGAGTTTCTCACGTGTCTGTCATTTTTTTTTCCTTTCTTTGAAACCTGTATATAAGGCATTGTTACACTGCCTCACACTAACATAATACCCCAATAACTGTTATATTTTCTTCTTTTAAGGTGTTTCCTGCCCTTAGTGTCCTTTCCTATCGGACAGTGCTCTTCAGGAATTGTGGAGACCTTCCCCTCTCCTTCTGTTTGGACCACAGCTCAACGCCTGCCTTGGCCGAATCGGTGTCTGTGGTGCCAAGCTGCGGTCTAATCCAGCCTGGCAAACACCAAATCCTCACCCTCAGAACAACGCCCTCAGAAGACACTCCCAAACGGGGATTCAGTTTACACCTCCCAGCTGAATGCCAGCTAAAGACACAAAAGGTAACACACACGCTCCGCGGGAACACCGAGTGCTGAAGCTGCAGCTCACCACGCTGTGCTCGCAGGCTACTTTGTCTTTGCATGTGTTTCTGTGTCCTTTAGAAACTGACAGTTGTCAGTGTGGTGGAAAAGCTGTGTGTCTCTCTGGGAGGAGACAACCGTTTGTATTTCCAGCCGACAGCTGTGGGCTCTCGGACGCGGCGTTCCCACCACATCAGGAACCTCGGCCGAGTAGCGCTGCGGTCGGTTGAAACGATGGCTGTTATTCTGGAGCTGTGTTTGTGACAGTCGCTGCATGGTTTGCAGTCTGGACCTTGTCGAGCATCATTACTCCCCTTACCACAGCTGTCTGTTTGTGATTGTCCTCCATGATAGATTCCAATGGAGCATTCCGGAGCCAGACCAGGAGCTTATCTTTGTTGAACCAGATGCTGGGGAACTGCATCCCAACGAGAGCTCAGTGAGAGACTGGAAGCATCGTGTTTATTTAGGCTGAGACTGTGCTTTTGATGATTCTGTTTTTAACAACTAACTTTATCTCTCTTTTTGTACTAACATTTGGTCATTAAAGGTCCAGATATGGTCCTTCAGCCCACTTTGTGAAAAAACCTACACGCTGAAACCTACTCTCAGCTTCTGGCCGATCCAGACTCCTGGATGTAACAAGTCACACCTCACACTCGAAGTGGTGGGGTCGGGCTCTAAAGGATCAATAGAGGTGGGACTGTCGTTGTGTGTCACTTTATTTGTGTGTACTGTATATGTATGCATGTACTGATTGTCTGTATGTACGTCAAAGAGACAAAGCAGTGTATGCATCTTTGTTTCTCCTCCAGGCACAGAAAGCCGTTGTGGATGTGGGAGACATTCTGGTTGGAAGCTGTCGGGCGATTCAGGTTCCTCTGGTGAACAACAGCCCCTGTCCTGTTTCCTTTTGTCTCTCTGTACAGCAGATGCTTCTGGATGAGGATCTTACTTATGACCCCGGGACTGAACCAAAAGGTATTATCTGCATCTGGTATTTGGATGGTTGTGATTTAGATCTTAGCACATGCATTCACTGCACAACTTATGAGTACGGGTAAACAATCCCAACTCACCATTACTGTCCCCAATCACCATTCCATGTGCTGTAAAATGTACACTGGACACATATAGTTGGTCCAGTGTTTTGGACTAACATCCTCCTGTCTCGCCCTTTAGCCCTACGGCTTGACTGTGAGAGGGGGACTATCGTGTCACACTCCAAAGTGCTGCTCCAGTCCACTGTCAGACCACACAGACGAGCCCGGTACCTGTGGACCATCAGCTACCAGATGCTGAATTCCAGTGGTGGGTCGAACTCCACAAACCTGAATGGATTCTGTTATTTTCTATTACTTGACACTTAACTCCTCACTTACTACGCTGTCGGCGTCGTCTCTCCATCAGGAATCGGGTCTTCCCCTTCCCAAGCAGTGTGTGAAGTGCTAGCCACAGGCGTGTTTCCCACACTGCGAGTGATTGATTGTGATGCGGTGGAGGCAGTGTGGGAAGACTCAGCAAGGTGCACTTGTGGAAGCTCTTCTCACTGGACAGCCTCAATGAGCACATGCTGTGCAACACGTCCCCTGCCGGGATTGCTTACAGGGCCACTACTAGAAACAGGTGAGGGCAGGAATATAGTAATCCTCAATCAGATATGAATTGTTAGAAATATAAAAATGAAGATAACGAATTTTGTTGAGGTTTCTTATTTCAATCCGTTTGTGTTTGTTTGGCTATTTTTTTCTTCATTAAAAAAGAGGATGGAATAATACTTGAGTATGTTCTGTCTTTATGTCATCTCTACCTTCATCCAGTCTGAGCAGTTGTGCTTCAGTCTTCTTCAAAACTACGTTGGCGTGCAACTTCAGTGCCAGTCCCCTGAATTCAGAGCCCTCCGTTTTTGTGTTGATGTTTCACAACCCGGGCTCCGTCCCCGTAGACTGGTGAGTAAAAAGCAGAGTGCAGAGAAAACAGTCAAACACAGCTAAAGATAACTGCATGTTATACTCATCATACATGTATCATTTTATGTAAACAATACAGTGACCTCTGCTATGGATTGTGAACCAGGGAAACTTTAATGTCCCGTTTTTCTAATGATTTTTTGTCTTTCTCTCCTTTATCAGGGCCTTCTTGTTTCCAGCAGACCAGCAGCTAGAGATGGAATACTGGGCAGAGACTGGAGAGTTTAGCAGCACTGAACTCTCCCAGATGAAGGTCAGACTTTTCTTTTGCTTCAGATTCAGAACCAAACACGGAGAATTAGCGTTCAGTTACTGTGCTCCACATATCTGGAACCAACTCACAGAAAGCTGCACGTCTGCTGAGCCTCTCTGCTTCCTGATGCTTTTAATTACACCAGATTCAAGGTTGAACCCTTTTTTTTATTTCATTATTGTATGTGTGCACTGTGCAAACATGTTTTCCTTTGCTCTACCTTTACTTGCCTTTCTTTATTGAAAAAACAGGATGGAAATGCAGATCTATCAAAAGGGAACTTGTATGATATTTCAAAACATAACCTTTCTGAAGACCCGTGCTGACACTAACATCACATATCTTCATGTCATTTACAGGTTAAAGACAATCGTCTGTTTGTCATTTCTCCTCGTTGTGGCACTTTGCTCCCCGGCCAGCAGAGGGCAGTGCACTTCACCTACAGGTTGGATATAATTGCAAGGAATAAAGCACAGAATACTACAGCAAACACTTTGCAAACATAGGCAAGGAGGAGGGTTGTGTAGGAGCAGATAACACTAATAATATGATCCCACAATAATGTAAACTGTTTCCTTCACAGCCACGACTTCGTAGGGACGGACCGGTTTCCTGTCACGCTCAAACTTCCAAACGGCGAGATCTTGGTGAGGCAGAAGTCCATGTACATCTTCATAATCCTCATATTTCATCTCAGTCTAAAAACACCAAAAAAACAAATTTCCTTAAACTAAAATGGTTGAATCTAAAGTTGAGTATATCTTTTTGTCACTTGACCCAATATCACATTCACTGTAAACTTTACACCCGTGTAATGTGGTTCTGTTTTGTAGCTGAACCTTCAGGGGTCGACGTTGGAAAAAGACACGCCCTGTCTCCACTTTGACTCCAGACAACATGTCTTCACCTCCGTCTCTATTGAGGACAGTGCTCCACCGAAGCAGGTGTGTTAGATTTCTCCAACATAAAGTTAGGAGTGTATTCTTCGCAGTGGGCTGAAACAAATCACCCCCCCCCCCATTCACAGTGTAATATTCCATAACTCGTATTGAGTGGAACAGCTAAGCACTAAGCAGCCACTGACCCACAAAATCCTTTTTTTTTTTCTGTTTGGAATTTCTTGTCCATCATTTGACGTGAGTTCCTCCCTATTAGAGAAAACCCGCCTGACCTGGTATTTCTCTCTACAGGTGTATGAACTAAACAATTGTGGTGCAGTGCCAGTCCGTTACGAGGTGGACGTGACTGCATTGGCCCGGCTAAAGGTGGACAACTTTAACCATCCAGTGCTGGTCTGCCTCAATCCGGAGGGAACGGCGCATCCTGGGAAGACGGCCATGCTGGAATGGATCTTTTCTCCATTGGAGGCTAAGATGTACCACGTAAGGATTATGTAGTAGCCCACCCCGCCCCCCGCCAAACCTTTCATACAACTGACATGGGAAGTTTGTATTATAAGCACAATGCTTCCTTTCTCTGTAGCATTGTAGTCAAGTTTATGGCCATTTAGAGATGAAGCTGGCACAGACGGACCCAAAACGTAATGATGTTTCATTCATTGATTCAGAATAATGACTCGTACCCCCAAAGCATTTTGACCGTTATCACATGAGTCAACTATCCCTGTGATTTTTAGTCTCTCTTTGTGCATCACCAGATGGATGTTTCTATTAGTGTCCAGGATGGAGACTCCACACTGGTGAGGTTTGAAGGATGTGGGTTTGATTCTCCCACGAAGCCATTTAAGTGCAGCGATAGTGAGGCCTCTGAACCCTGCGTCAAGAGAGTGCCCTTCCCGGGACAGGTGGGAGAGCTTCTCGTCTTTCCAAATCCTTTTTTTTTTATACTTTCATTAAATCTGCTTAGTACCAGGAATCTATTCTTATCAAGTTTTACAATTTTTATGTGTGTGACCCATTGAGGCTGTATGAGTTCCTATCAACGTGTGTGTGTGTGTGTAGGTGGTATGTCTGTCGGAGGACAGCGTCTCTCTTGGCAACATCCCAGTCTGCTCGCGATCTTCAAGGATCCTCTTCCTAACCAACTTGTCCCACACGGACTCTGTGCACTATAGATGGGACGAGCAGAGCTGTGAGCAGGTGCAGGAAGGTGTACATGTAGCCTGTGAATAACATCCTACGTATGTGTGAACTCTTCACTGGTTTAAAGAAGATGAACGTCACATATTTATGTTGCGTCAGGTGGTGCAGATCCATCCAAAACGAGGAGTTCTGTCTCCAGAAGAAAGTGCCCTTTGTGTCCTTACCTTCACCTCAACTGACTACCCCACTTGTTATCAGCTGGATGTCATCTGCCAGGTACCACCGACTTTTAAAGCTGCATTAAGTGGTTTATGGGTTGTGCTTTTTTTGTTTTATGCCAGGTTCATTTTAGTTCAATCTAGAATTACATCTTGATTCTGTGAATAGTTTGAAACCTTGAAAAGTCCGGACAAAACAGGCAGTGTTCTCTCCTCTCTCCAGATGATCCAGGAAAACGCGCTGACTCAACATCGTGATGCTCTGCAGAGTTGGGAGGAAGAGAAAGAGAGACGGCAAAATGAATTCACTCTCACGGATACGAATCTTACAGAAATCGAAGGATTTCCAATGGATGAGGTCCTTCCTCTAATTCACATGAATCTTTTTTTCAGATGTAACAGCCTTCTTCCCCATATGGTAAATATGTGTCTGTCTTGTTACAGGAACCTGTATCCGTTCCAGTAGGAAAAGGGCCGCCACTCAGGAAATACAAGGTGGTCTTCATTTGCTCAAAGTATAAAGCCTCTCTTGTGAAAAACAAAGAAAAGCGTGATAAAATTGAAATTCCTGACGTGAGAGTAAAACACATTCCCGGCTTCATGTCGATGTCGCTTCTATCCCCCAGACTCTCCCGCCCCTCTTTGCCAAGATGACGAGAGCCGAGCGGCGAGCCCAGCGAGAAACCACAAAGTCATCGCGGCGCCCTGAACCCCCCCGACCAGCGCTGCTGCATCTCGGGCTCACAGCACATTCCCACCTTCCACACCTCCCCGACCAGTCCCGTGAGCACCGCAGGTAGAGGATAAAACGTTTGCATCACACGCACAGAGGGGGACCGAGCTTTGAATTATTTGCTGCTGTCGTACCAAGACGCTTCCAGTCAGTCAAGCCCCGACAACCTGAGAGCACTAAGTCGAGCACTTCCTGTCCCGCTGGGCCCCCCTCAAGGACGCGTGGCCCGGAGAAAGACATCACCACGCATGTACTCACCTCTCTGCTCAGGTAACACCTATACAGACACTCAGATACAAGCAGTGATGATTTAAGTTAAGTCACCTGTATTGGATCTTTTATTTTTTGCCTTTTACTGTTTTTTTGCTTGTTTGTTGTTTTACTTTTGCTCGTATTGTTTATTGCTGCTCATTATTTTTATCCTGTAAAGCACTTTGGCTGGCCATTGGCCTTTAAAAGAGCTATAAAAATAAAATTGACATTGACATGATTTGGACTCAGACATCCATCAGAGTGAACTTGCATGTTTTTCGTAATAGCTTAATGAAGACGGTTGAATTTAGTTCAGAGCGTTGTGGCAATAAATTGTGCGTTTGTGTGTGTGTGTGTGTAACATTGAATCTCTCTCCTCTTCCAGGGACATACTGGAGGACCCAGACTTCATCCTTTCTCTGACTGCATTGTCATCGAGGCCCATTACCTACCAGCTTTTTTCCTCTCACGGCTCCTCGCCTCCATCCTCCCTCCCTCCTCCTCGTCGTCCAGTCTAGACTTCCCCCTCGTTTTCTCTAACTTACACCCGACCCCCAGATCCGTCAAGTGGGACGGCGCAGCGGGAAAGAACAGCGCGGCACAGCGGACAGCGAGGGAACCGCGGCGCGTTGGAGAAATAACTCACCAACCCAAAGCACAGCGCACGCTGAGCACGTGCCTGCTGACCTGAGTGAGGAGGTCCTGCTGAACACCCTCCAGAACCTGATGATGGAAGCCGTCAGAGGAGAACTTGTCCTCACAGCGCGGCCCCGCGCTGTTATCCAGCCACCTGTTTGTACCAGGTGAAGACAGACGCACACTTTCAGTAGCTGTGGCAGTTTTAACCCCCCTCTTTTTATTTGTTGCATTCGGCAGTAATATAGTTAACGTATTGTTTGTTCCAATACAACCAGGAAGATGTCCAAAGCAATGGCACAGGAGAGAGAAATCTGGAAGGATGGAGAAGAACCTGCAGGGAAATGAGTCTTAACGTCTAGCAAACGTTCCACTTCCCTTTTTGATATGTTAAATGTTCCCACCATTCACTTTAAAATGACATCTTGTATACTAGATTTAATTTCACATTGCATTTGTGTGACATTTTGCAAGACTGCTGGGTGACATCTTGATGCAATAGTATAATTACCAGCCAAAGTACCATAATATTAGCATTATATTGCAGTGTCTGACTTGATTCTCCAATCTTATTGCACACAACCATTAAATATCCTATCAACAGGTTGTTCCTGTTATTATTTTTTCCCACTGCGGTCACAGTGTTGATGTTTGTGTAATCAAGTTGCCAACAATAGAGTCAATAACAGCATTGGTATAAGTAGGGGTGTTTCCTAATCCTAATAATAATACACGGTATAACTTTTATGTTTTTCCTGATTTAATAAATCACCCACCAGTACAAAGATAATAAATATTTAAGGCAGTTTATGGTGTATCTTATACTAAAAGCATATTTCAAGTCACACATTTGTACATTTCATTTCAATTCAAACATCTCAAGTATCTTAGTCAGTTAATGAGGTCACATTATTTTCCCGATCCCAAAGAAAGTCAGGCACCACCGGACAAAGGTTAAAAAAAACACCACCGCTTGAAAACTCCTGTTTCGTGTTCACATTGATCATATAAATAGTCAAAATGATAAATAATAAATGACCAGAATACAACAATGGGCAGTACTATTTTCACAAGCTTGCTCCAGTTAGTGTAACCGTGATAATAGCCTGTAAAAGCTTATGAAGCTACAGCAACAAGCATCAACCGCTTCAATCAATAAAAGGCGCTGAGGAATCCTTAGTCAACTTTTTAGGCAAACTGAAGATCAGTGATTGAACTTGAAGATGGCGGGAAAGATCTTGTCGTGAAGATATTGCACCTGTTCCTCCAGAGTTCTCAGCTTCTCAAATTCAAAGTAAGGGATCTGCAACGGAAGGAGCTCATTCAAAACAAAACAATCATTATTTTGCAGGTGTAAATGATTAAAGCTGTGGCGTCGTGTCTCCATCGTACCTGCACCAGCTCATAGCCCATCCTGCGGAGGTGTCTCCTCTTAGTGGCCTCCTTCCCCAGCAGGTGCTGTGTTTTGCTACAGAACCGCTTTTCACCATCCAAGCACAGTGCCATCCTACACGTGACACAATACCAGGAGGACACTTTGAAACGACCGGTTGACCATAGGCACAAACGGCATCCAGCTCACTCTCGTGTGATTCTAAGTGTAGAAAAGCTCAAAAGCTCCCGCGGAATTGGTCTCTCACCTCTTGTAAGTGTGATCCCACTGAGACGGAGGCAGAACATATCCATTCTCATCCAGACACATCTCCACATCTGGAGAAAAGGTTCGCCCCCAGAATTTAGAGAGGATGCACTTGTGTTTTTCCAACTTCAATTGATATTTCTCCGTTTGGATCCTATCTTTTTCTTCTTTTTTTTTTTTACCACTGCTTACCTATTGTGTAGCCACTGCGGGTAAAGATTCTGGTGTTGTAAAGCCTCCCCCCCAGCATCTCTGTGAGTGGCCCTTTGACCTGGTTGTAGAAGCGACTCTCCATAGGTGTCTCAAAGGCGTGGTCCACAGAGGAGAAATTCTTCACGTGGAGGAAGAACGGCAGTCTCGGACCCTGATGAGCGAGGCAATTATGGACAATTCAAAATGTCCCTCAACTACAGAATTTCTCTATTCAGACGTTCTCAAGCTCACTTGGCAACTACTGCGAGTACTCTGAGATGAAACGCACTAATCAGACCGGAGGCCTCCGGTGACACTCACCCAGTAGTAAGAGCACTCTAACGAGGAGGAGAGATGAAGCTGCGTCAGCTGACCCAGTGCGATCTTGTCCAATGGTTCCCCCTGTGCTGTAGCGAAGACACGGACAGCTTACATCACGGACATTACACGCGGTCGCACATGAGCGCCATCCACATTCTGTGAATGAATAGCGGCTGACCGACAAAACAACAAAAATTGCTGTCTTATGGGAGCTCTTTTAAGCACATCTCCAGATGTCAACATGTGGATTGACAGCGGCGTGGGAAACGGGCTGCAGGGTAAACACACACAAACGATACGATCTGGTGGGATCTTTGGGGCGAGAGTGGTCTCACCTCGCAGCCTCTGTAGGAAGTGCGGGCCGAAGACTTTGGCCATGTAGTTGAGTGGGAAGCGTTCCAGGTGGATGCAGGCGTGCAACACCTCGATCAGGGAGCGAGGCTGGAACTGTGCGAACCTCGCTGACAAAATGCTCTCCAACTTTTTAAACATCTCACTGGAGCACTGCGGGGAAAAGAGCTTCCGATAATCCGACAGGCCACAGTCATTTGCCTTTGAGACGGCGTTGCAACGTTATGTACAGCCCTCACCTGGGGAAGATAGTTGAGTCTTCCCATGGAGACAATTTGTTTGGCGATCTGAAGGGTGGTGTGATTCTCAGCGTTGTTAACAAAGTTCTCAGCCACGGCCTCGAAGATGGGCTCAGAGCGACACCTCATTTGCAGACAGTACTCCATGACGGTGCTGATCAGCTCCGGATCGCACTTCCCGAGCCTCCCTGGCACACACAGCACAACACTTGAGGATTAGACTCATGCACGACCCATTTAGACCCACGTCCGGGTTTCCCTGAAGCCACGAGAGGGAATCACACCCCACCAGCAGGTAGGTGTTCCTCCACAGCAGACAGGAGCTTTTCGCTATGATGTCCCAGCATCATCAGCGTGGAGAGCACCTGGATTAACTCAGCGTCGCTAAAATCTTTTAGGACCTGTGACGCTCTGTGACTCAGCCTCAGCACCAGGGGGATGGCCTGTGAAACAAAAGCGCAGAATTACAATCCCCGAAAGCCTTCAGCGAGGGGGCCAACGTGCAGAGGTGAGATGTTCATCACCGACCTGTCTCTGCTGCAACTTCAACAGGGACTGCAGCACATCGCTGACTTGGCTGGCGTTGAGCCGCTGGACCTGCCTCCGTGTGCTCCGGTGCAAAGCGGACAGCAGGACCTTGTGCCGCCGGCTGGCGGGGTCGTGACACAGAGCCAGCAGGGAGTAGATCCGGACGGCCTCGCTCGGCGAGACGACGTCCTCTCCCACGGCCCCGCAGAGAGAGGCCAGGACCTCTGTCACCACCAGGGCGGACCGGCGGCCTTCCAGGGCGCGCGCCGCCTCGCCCAGGTGGCACAGCTGTGACACCCGGACGCCCCCGCCGGAGAGGAGCTCCAGACACTCGTTTATCAGCCCGGACGACCAGGGGGCTGTGGGCCTCCAGGCCGCATTCGGCGCACGCTCCGAGCAAAGTGGCGAGTCCATCCGCCCTCTCGTCGCCGGGGATGCGCGCCAGCCTGGCGCACAGCGCGGGGATCACGTCCCCTTCCATCACAGTCCGGAGGTGGACCAGTGCGGCGGCGCTGCTCTGCGGCTTGATGTGCGGCACGTTAGGAGACAGGTGCGCCGTCGGCCTGGCGCCAAGTCGGTACACGTTCGGTGCAGCCTCGGTTCTCACCGGCACGGCCACCGGGACGGGGAGGGGGGCCGCCGCACTCGCCCGCTGGACAGCCGCTGCGGTGACGCGCGTGCTGTGAAAGGTACGCGCGGCGGTTACGCGCGGCGGTCGCGCAGCGCCGGTTCTGCTGGCCAAGGAGTCCACGCCGGACGGAGCGCAGAGGCTGAGAGCAGCCCGATCGGGGGGGAAACACGGGGAGGAGGGGGGCCGACGAGCCGCTCTGACGGACGAGGAGAAACGGGCGAAGGACTTCATCGTGGTCTCCGTGACGTCAGAAGCCGGTTCCTGGATCAGAGTTATCAAAGAAAATGTCACTGGAAATGCCAGTGGATGCTCTCGCGCACGGGGCTTGACCGTTAATTAAGGAATATGTGGGAAGTCAACGCGTTGCAAGGAAGTATACAAACCAACGTGAAAATGAATGCAGCGGATCTGTGCTTCTTTTTTTACACGTGGGATTTAAAGCGAAAAGTCAAATACCGGCAGCAAAACGCCGTTTTTTAGATTTTAAACGACTCACCTTCAGCGAGGCAGCAGCACCACGAAGAGGAGCAGCAGCTTATTACAAAACCCGCCTTCAGGATTTGATAATACGTTGTGTAATTTCACATGTGTTTTGACCTTTCGCCGCCTAGAGGTCAGACTGGGAACTGCAGCCTGGCTGAGTGACGTGATCTGCACGCGCTGTACGATTGGACGAGCCCCGCAGTGACGTATGCGTGGCGGAAGTGTGTGTGTGTGTGTGTGTGTGTGTGTGTGTGTGTGTGTGTGTTCATTTTCATAATTAAGTTACTCTAAAACAAAAAGTCAAAGATAAAACATATTTAAATAAAATACAAGTGTAATGTTTAATCAGTTGGAAGTGGGGGCAGGTTTAACAATTCCGAATAACACACACGTTTAATTGTGGTAATTAGTGTCAATATTTTCTACATTTCTTTTTCACAAGTTATCCGTTGGTCCTAATTAACACCTCCCTTGGAGATATTACGCAACAAAGCAAACCAACAGTTGTTCTTGATAATACAATGTAATGTTTAATCTTTACAATAAATGTAACCTTGTATAAACTCACAGTATGATTAGGTCGAAACAGTCATAACGTTTCTAAGCTTTTTCATACAGTTGTGTTGCCATATTGAAAGACGTGTCAACGAACTTGACAACTTTCGTCATCTTCCTTTGTGGTTCAAAGCTTTTAACAATTACCACAAGATGGCGCTACATACAAACAAAGAGCTTCCTCGCAGCTCAACATGGCTGAGCTCGATTCCTCCACATTTAGGCCAGAGAACAGGCCGATTTTGGGAATGTTGCAGAGAGGAAGTTCTTTGTTGTGTACGAAGCACTAAAATGAAATCAAAGAGGTTTCAACAAACAAATGACAACGTTTTATTCCATAGCTGTAGCTCTAACATTTGAGTTGCGTCTGTTTTCCTCCTGTTCATTATCGAGGTTGTTTGCTTCTCTTTTTTTGCGATGAGCGCTCATTGTGATACCCGACTTTAAGGAGGTCAATATCGGTATGTGCTTCTGTTAAAGCAGCTATGCGTCTGTGTTGAGTGTGTGGCTGGTGGGACGGAGTAGCATACGAAGGCCGCTCCGAGAGTCAGCTGCATCCCGTATCTCCAAGACAATCGGTGTGTGTGTGTGAGTGTGTGTTGGAGAAAAAAAGAAAAAATAGTAAAAAAAATACTCAGAGCTTTTAAATGGTGAGCAGGGCAGACCAGATACGATCCGTTATGATAAAGTCACTGTTCTGCTGATGAATCACACTATAAATACTCACTCTGGCTGTGCGGCCACGTGTGTGTTTGTGTGGGATTAGTATGAGTAACATCACATTGGACTAATCAGCAGATTCAGCAGTAATGTTACCATTACTCACTTCTACCCGTCTCGCCTAAATTATTGCTGCTGTTGGATTAAAACTAACAAGGTCCGAATGATTAACGTCCGTGAGAATTTTCCTGCGAGAGGCGATGAATTGTTTTAGAAAGATGTTAAATTAGTTCTCTGGCATCATGTCGCTGTTTGTCAAGCTTAACCGGTGTTACAATTACATTCAAATTAAAAGTCCCACACGGGGAGATTCCCATGTTTTTTTTAAATCAAAACGCAGGTCTCTATATTAAGTACCAGAGCATTTAATCCATAGTTAAATTCACACAGGAAGGTTGAAATGTCACGACTGTCACTGTTCAGAGGGCCGCTACAAAAAAAAGATTTACAATGTGAACTCAGAAAGCCAACGATTTTCCATCTCCTGCTTTGCCTTCGACTGCAGCAATGAGGTGACAAGTTATTTATAAAGCAATAAAACCTGGCCAACTTGAGAGCGAAGCACAGACAGCACGTGGTTAAGTCCCCCTTTTTTCTCCTTGACCTTTATTAAACCAGGTAAAATCAATTGAGAAACCAATTCTCATTTACAATGATGACCTGGCCAAGAGGCAATGGTGTACAAATGTGTCACCATTGGATCAGACCCCCCCCCCCCCCCCAGAGATCCCTCGAACTGTTCCGATTACCTCTCGCGGTTCAAGTGACCTCAGAAGGCATCTGTACCTGGTTCCTCGGAACCCTCGGGTTTCTCCCCTCACTGTCGAGGCCCATGCTTCCCGACGGTCAGCTGGTTGCGTTGTTCCACATCCAAATAATGTGTGTCCAATTACAAAAAGGGTCAGTGAGCCGACACCGGCCCGGCCCTGTGAGCGAGAGAAGGCAGGACGTGTCTGAATCACACCAAATCATGTAGCTTTTGTTGACAGATTGTTGAACCTTCACGTCCATTACAACGGGATTTACTTTCATTACTTGCTGTAACAAGACCGTCACTTTGCATAACTTCGGTTCCTTTCACTTCGGAAAAAAAACAGTCCATCCCGACATGTAAAATCATGTGGAAGCGGCAGGTATCGATACTTTATTCCGCAGCCACTCACGCGTTCAGTGTGCGTGCGCCAGTTATGAAGGAATTTTCATGAACACGCGTCTCCTGGGGATTCCTGCGATGACTGCGGTTTGTTTTAAAAAAGGTCATGTGTTTCTGATTTAGATTTAATTCTAGTTGTCACATAAAATATTAGCCCACGATGGGATTTTTTTTTTTTTTTTTTGCATTTTTTCCAATCTATTCTCGAGCATAACCGCCCGGGAATGTGTTTTGCGGTCGGGGCAGGGCGGGCGAGGCCATTTTTCTACGGAAAACAAAAGGGCACACACACACACACACACACACACACGTACGTGCACGCACGCGCGTGGTACGGAAAAAGAAAGACAGGAAAAGAGAAGGAGCGTGAAAGAGGATCACATCCAGAGATAGGTGGTGCATTCTGGCAGACAGTAGGAATCCATTTCACGCCCAGATGAAAGCAGTGTGAGAGGGGGAATGTGTGCGTAGCCGTGTGATAGGTGTGGCGGGACAGGGGTTAGGCCTGTTAGCTTTTCCTAGGCGGAGGAGGGAGGGAGGGAACCCTCCGTAACCCGGACCAATGCTCTTTCAGTTCAATCAGTGACAGACCCCCGGTGTTGGAAAACCTGAAGTTATTGCAACGGTTTCATTTTAATTTCAATTGAATTATTTCTGTGCAGATGTACTTTGTCCCACGAGATCTTCCAAAAACACTACGACGCACGGTACACGGTGCGATGCAGTATTTCATTACCGTGTGTAACTTGTACATTGTAACGATCCACTGTACACTGTGGGACATGGAAGTGGACATTCGCCTGCAGCAATGCTTTGAGCTACACGCTAATGCTAGCAGAGCAAAATGACATGGCATGTCAGTTTAATCATTCATCTATTTCACTCATGTCATCTTCCTCTTCTGCTACCAGACAGCAAAAACTGTTATAAGTTAAATGTAATGACTGAAAAATGCACCACTGGCAAGTCCGAGGGAAGCTCCCGTATCTATCAGGGCGTTCTCCTTTAAAACACTCGACTAAGTCCCTACAGATGTGCTTTATGTGCTGCAAGGACACGTCACATGTCTCCACTCCACGGAGCTCCGGTCAAGATGAAAACCAGCCAACCCGAGGGGACTTCCGTTAATCGCAACAAGAAGAAAAGTTTTGCGGCCATCGTGGCATCGTGGGAAGGGAGCGAGGGTAGAGACAAACTCCGGTTCCAGGTTGCAGCGCCGGCTCGCTTTGGGCCCGGTGAAGTGTGACTCAGCGGGAAACTCAATCTGCTGCAGAACTAATATGCAGAGAGCAACGACAGAAAGACTTAACGGACCACACTGAGGGTCTAAGCTCATAAACCGCCAGTGGCTTACACTCCTCTGCCAGCTCAAACCGTATTTGGACGGATTTAGTGCTGAGCTTAACTCAACTTAATATATTGAAACTGGAATAAAATTGGTAATTCAACACACTGAAGTTATTCTAATTTACAACTGTGTGGCAATAAAGTTAGACGCTCAGGCTAGAGGAGGCATTCAAGGAAACTCCAGATCCAACAGCTGGAATTTGAAAATGATTTTAAGTGAAAGGCTTTTAGCTTTCAGTACTGCAGTGTAAAGAACATAATGCGCGGTCAAAGGACTTTGACACCTTAGTGGTCTCTATGAGGAGATCAGTGCAGCTAGGGGACACGGTGGTGGTGAATTAAGCTGCCCACAGACAAGAATTTGAGCAATACACATAACGTACGATAGGAATCTACTGTATGTGGGCTGGTAGCCATCTGTTAGGGGCTGTGCAGCGTCTCCTCCCAGCAGGCGACTAAAGCTGTGAGCCAAGACCCCAGGCCCAACACCCTGCCGGACTTTGAAATCAGATCTTTATTGTCCATGAAGTCTCAGCCAAGTATGAAGAATCAGCCCTCCCTAACAAAACACACGATGAGAGAGAAACTGGGGGGGGGGGGGGGGAGTGAGACGCGGACAGGGAAACGGGGAAGGAAATTGAGGAAGTAAAGAGAGGGGTAAGGGGTTTGGTGCGGACAGAGAGAGTGAGAACATATCATAGAAACGATGCTCATGCTCCCAACGATGTCACAGTTATTTATAGGGCGTTGGGAACTCAATTTCCATAACTTTCTAATTTTGTTTCTGCTGGTTCCAGTTATAAAGCGCTCTTCACTTCTGAAGAGGTTGTAGACAAGAGAAAATGATCGTTGATCTTTACCCTTCAAAAATCCCATCAGTTCATGCTCGAGTCCTCCTCTCCTCAAGGTGTTCCTGAGATATCCAGTCCCCGAGAATAGGTCAAAAGTGAAGTCCCAGTGACCTTGACCTTTGACCTTTGACTCAGTTCCCCTTCGAGTCCAGGTGGGCGGCAACGGCGAAATTTGAAGAAACGACCTCCAGGCGTTCCTGAGAGTTTGCATTTACAAGAATGGACCAAACGGACGGAGAGCGCTGAAAGACAAAGCCTCTGGTTGTCACCATCATACCCGCCTGAAAGGTGATGTTTATCTGAGACCAAAGCCGCACACCAGTTCTATATATCAGTTGCATTCTGTGAAGACGTAAGGTGCAATAAATGTTTGCACAGAATGCGTCTCGTCTGAAAAAGAGGATTTTTTTAGCTGATCAAATTTGGTAAATTAAAAACTAAAGCACAGCGGTCTGTGCAATCAGCACCAGGTACACACACCATTTCACCCAGGGTTGATGCAAATATAATACTTGGCAATCTGTGAATATTTCTGAATCTGAAATGTTCTGCATTCCATTCAGTAAACGGCACAGAGGCGTCAACAAATCCATGTCATTTAAAATGCATCCTTCAGAAAAACTGAGCCCAAATGGCAGGAAGATGCACATGATTTGTAAACATCCGAATGAGGTCTAACAAACAGCAAGAAGCAACCACCATCTGGATGTCAACACTTCCCCATCACTACCTTCCACAGGTGAATGCTGCACTAAGAGGCGGTCACTGATACGCCTCTGTGATATACAGTAACTCCATCTACAGAGAGACGTGTACATTTGAAAAGCCCAGAACACACGCGTGTGTTCGTACCTGAAGCCGAAATCTGAGAAAATGACGTTCTCACCCACTTTAAAACCTGCAGTGAACCCAGACGTTTACAAACACTTTTATTAAGAGTCCCGTAAAGTGCTGTTAATGTTACGGGATCAACTGTTCTATCCTCATTAATGTACCTTTTTAGCTGCATCTGACCCGAACAGTAGGTACCAGGAGTAAGGAACACGGCGACTGTCTATTTAAATCAAACTCAAGATGACAAACAATACGAGAACAATACTTCTCGCATTAACAATAAGACAAATTCCTATGAAATGAAGATATTTTAGCACCTTTCAAGTTGACTTATGGCACGTTTTCAGCTGCATTACACACAGTTATTGATACTTCTAAGAAGCGTGAAATTAAATGTGACAAGTGGCCTCAAGCAAGCTTGATTTTCCAAAACCTGTTTGTAAAAATGTATACGAAAATCTTGAACATACAAATTCGTAGTGATACATACGAAATAAATACGGACTGCAACTGATGACGTTGAATCCGACATGGTCCGCCATGTTGTTCACTCAAGGGGCGTGGTTAACCACCGCCAGTTCCTATGTATTGTTACGAATTTGTATGTTCAAGATTTTCTTATACATTTTTACGAACAGGTTTTGGAGATCACGTTGGATTTGCATGCTGCAGGGAAATAAATGGGACCAATCAATGTCTGACACAAAGTGAGGGAAAAGTATACGTGATGCAAATGGACCAAATCAAGCAAAAACTCCATTATATTTCCAATGGTTTCAACTCTTGCTTTCAATGGAAAAAAATGAAACCTGTCACCACGATTCAGATCCCATGTTTTGCAGTCGATGGTCGAAAATCTGAGATGAATTCACTTGTATTATATTTCTCACCGTTGGAAGTTTAGAAGTCTTTGCTTTTCAACCTTCGACCAGGGCCACAGCCAAGGGTACTGTATGACTTGTGCATAAGCGAATGGCAGCCGGGGCCCTTTTGAAAGACGGGGTGCTTGCCTGGCTGAGTCAGCCTTGTGTTACACTTGTGATTGATTGCATCACCGCAGTGGAACGAAGTCGGGTGTCGGGGCTTTTATGGGCGACTACAGTACGGCGGCGTTGGATTTCAATGGATATGCCCTTGGCCAGATAGGTGATAATGCTACCCAGTCCACACACACACGCGCACACGTACACACACTTTAAGGAATGCAGCATACAAACCCATTCTTCTTGTTTCAGAATGAGGTTATGTGAAACAGCAGTTTCTCTCCCACAGCGGGGTGGAACATGGTTTGATCTTGGCGGCCGCCCCCACCCCCCTCAGATGCGGTTCCCAACGTGCCAGTCTGCTGGCACGGCTATCAGAAAGGTACCACCACACCTGCGCTGACATCACTTCATTCCACGGGCTCTGATTTTGGGTCCACCGTATAAACATACAGAATGACAGGTCCTGGACCCCCCCCCACCCCCCTCCCCTCCTCTCCCTTTCTCTACCTCTCCGTGTGTGTGTGTGTGCGCGCGCGCCTATAACTAATTGCAGTTTTCTTTCTCTCTCTCTGAGTGACAGCGAGGATTTCGCGTCGCCCGGAGCGACGTGACGCCAAGTTGGAAGCAGAACGGCTCATCCCCCCCCCCCCCACCCCCCCACCTTCCTTTATGATCCAAAGAAAACACATCGACGCACCGTGGCACACACACGCCTCTATACCTGCAGCCGGTGCGCACCGAACGCCTCTTCACCAAATGCCACCAGCGCGTCAGTGCCGCGCGCGCCGGCACGAGACGAGCAACATCCAGCGGTGCCTTGACTAACACGATCATACGTATTATTTATACCTGTTGTAATGTAATTCGTTGTTAAAAAATACCAAGAGACTCCCCGGTGTCACCCTCGCGCCCCCCCCCACCCTCCTCCCCCCAAACACCGCGCGCCGTTTCGCGGTCAGAACGGACTTCTCCGCGCGGAGTTCTCACGTCTCGTTCCTGCGCGGACCGCTGTGCGAGCACGTGAAGGCAGATGGACGACAATGAAGAGGTTAACCACACCTTTGAAAAAAAGCGGACGTCTCTCCATTAGCCTCTTGACCAGCTTCGTTGCGCATTAAGATGCGCCCCGCAGAAGAGGAGTTGGGTGAGGAACTTTTTACGCTCTTTTTGGCACACAGTTTCCAGTGAAGAAAACAGGTACCCCCCCCCCCCCCCTTATGCATTTAAGAAAGAATCCAACTCGGTGTTGGCTGAGCTCGTCGGTCATTTAAACGTCGCTGGGGGAAACTCATTGAGGATTTGCTGCCTTCACCTATGACGGTTCGTCTATCACGGATCCAACTGGCCCTGTTCTTCATCCTGCTGTGTCCGGTCAACATCATCGGACTCTGGTGGTAAGTGCTCTGAATTTACCACGTGTTTTGTGTCAATCTGTCTCGTGTCCGCCGGGGATTTAAAGGATCTCACCTGACTTGGTCGTATTTGCGCGCACAGACACGGGGGAGTGTAATCATGTTGAACTATATTTATCCACAGCACCATCACTCTGCATTTGCCCACCGGCTCTTCACCCAAATACTCCGGATAGCCCGGGAGCCGTGCGCCTTACAAATGGATTCTCTGTGCCAAAGACAAATATGAAATATAGAGCTCAGTGCTGCAACTACAGCTGGAGGGGCATAAAGAAAAACAGTGAACACAAAAAACATATATCATGAATATTGACTTTTTAAGCATATAGTTTAGTAATGATAATGTTCCAGATGTAAGTGATATAATACAGAAGATGTCTATGTCCAAATTAATACTTCACAAGTTGTTTAAACTTACATTGTTTTTAAAGTAAACATAACCGTATACTTAGATGTGCTAATAACCAGGAGATCATGAACCAATCAAATCAAAGTATGTTTCCATCACAAATGTCAAATATGGGCTTCAGGACAAAGACACGGAGAAGGAGGGTGGTGAGAGAGGTGTCTGCTGCTCATCGCCTGCAGTAATACACGGAGGAGAGAGGACAGGGAGATCGGTGGAGGTGGTGTGTGTGTGTGTGTGTGTGTGTGTGTGTGTGTGTGTGTGTGTGTGTGCAGTGGGGGTTCAGATTCAGGAATGTCAGGTGGCCCTCTAGGCGCAGTGGATATGTCATCATAAAACAATCCATATAGGCTGAGCTCCGCAAGGTGTGTGACAGTCGGGCAGACTTGCAGACAGACGCAGACGGACAGATGGACCCTGCAGATCTGCTGATAACGTGTTTTCTATCCATTGTTAGATCTCTCTGTTAGTCTGAGTGTAGTACAACATCCAATATTTCTGTCTGTAGTTCCCTTTCTGTCTGTTACGCACACACACACACACACACACACACACACACACACACACACACACACACGCACGCACAAACCTCCGCAAAGCAGCACTGTTTGAATGTAAAGCTTTGTTGTTATTTTTTTTATTTTTTTTTTACCCAGCGAATCCTCCCACTGTTCATTCACAGCCCAGTCAAGGTCAGTGTGGGTTGTCGCGCCACAGGGGCTGTGCAAGTCTTCCGCATGTCCTTGTGTGACTGGCAGATGGCCCGTCAGCGTCACAGGACATGTCTCTTCACTTTGCGAACATTACAGATGTGGGACCTTAAGTCCTCTTGTAGCATCGACTCGAGCTCTCCTTCCGTGTTGCCATCTGCTGTGTCACCGAATAAGAAGACGCAGTCTACACGTGTGAAAGACTTGTGTTCCTCAGATGTTTTCACGAGGATTTACATCCACGCTGAGACGCTTGAACGTCTGATCTTTGTCCTCTTTTTGTTGGCAAAACCACCAGAGTGCATTTAAGCCAAAATCTTTGAAGAAAAAGTCCGGGTAAACATCTGTTCGGTCCACCCCACACTCCCCAGCGTTGGAGTTAAGGGGTTGTCTCCATAACAATTGGTTATCTTTCACATATTATTATGTTGTGTTCAAGCTGGACGCAGCAGCTACGTCTCAGAAATGTTGCCGATTGATCAGAAAAAAAAACGGAAACTGCACGGCAACGCTGAATGAGTCCACGTGATGTGGGCTCCTGACACAATAGGAACCATTCTGTTGGTCTATTGTGAGGTTTAAAAGCCACGGAGAGGGATGGCTCAGTTCAATTGTCGTGACTTTGCTGCAACATGTGGACTGGCGGTGGCTGAGAAGGATTTTTATGCTGTGACCAAGCGTTTTAGAGAAGAGCCAAAAACAATACAGGCGTTTACATTTCCTTAAACACTTTGTGTACTTGGCCTAAATCATCATGGCAAAGTCCTGTCGTCTACCAAGGCCGAATCCAATTACGAGAGAGAGAGAGAGAGATAAAAAAGCAACATGAAAGTATATGGTTTGTAAGACGGTACAACAACAAAATAGGAGTTACCTCCTCATTTATACATCTTTGAGTTTGTGGGGAAGAAATGAAGCAGCTACATGTATGAAACTATGCTCAATCTTTCTAATTTTCCTCTCAGAATTTTAGTGGCAGCACATTCCTCCGGACACTGGAGATTCATTTTAAATAAAAATGAAGTGGATTACGGGAATCAACTCTGAGAAATCTGCTACTTCCTTTTCATCCCCACTGACACGCGTTGTCATCTTCTTTCACTCACTCACTTGTTCGCAGGCGCACTCGCAGTCTCACACAGACACACACGTGAACGCATTCTGGCACAGATTCACACACACACACACACGTGAACGCATTCTGGCACAGATTCACACACACACACACACACACACACACATGCGCACACACACAGTGGCCAACTGTGGAGCAGCTAGGGTGAAGCCACACCTGCGGGTCGCTCCCCACTCCGCCAGGACAATGATGCTCTCTGTTGAAAGCTGCTGGACATACCATCATGCATCTCTCCTTCTCTGTCTCCGTGCGTCTTCAGCCGCACTCGTCTTTTGAAGGAAAATACCTATCATGCAGATAGGTTGTCGCTGAGGGGAAGCGAGAGACAGAGACAGAGAGAGAGAGAGAGACAGCTGCAGTGATGGACAGAGAGCGACGGAGATGAAATGCGGGGAGATAGCTGTCCTTTCAGAGCCTCTGCTGATTAGAGCGCTCTAATCATTTGGCCAGAGAGCAGAGAGCACAGCTCGGAGACCCAGAGCAGTGAGGAATGTCTTTGCTCTCTTATACTGGTTTTCACCGCAGTGCTTCGCTGCTGTGTGTGTGTCACAGCGTGCTGCAGGCCTACAGGTGGACACACACACACACACACACACATCATTTGTGTGTGCGTGTGTTTCAGAATTCTCCTTTATATGTTTATGTGTGTGTGTGTCACTCCAAATACATGTCCAATCAGTGGATACTGGTGAATCTATTCAACATGCACACAGAGAAGTACAAATGCACTCCTTCAGTTACGGGAGACCACATATACAGACAGACACACAGTCTCTATAGTCAAAGCCGCCATGATCACTTGAGGAGAGTTTCATTGTAACTGATCTTATCTTGTCCACTCCACCCCTGGTTTGAAAATGTCTAATCAGGACCAGGGAGATGGGTACAGATAAAGATGATGACGATGTGGGTTTGGCATTGGGGAGAGAACTGCATGTATTTCTGTGGGCTCGCACGCTTTAAATACGTTCCAGTGTCAGAAATGTATAGGGCACAGGGCATAAATGGTCCAAGAAATGTCACAATTCATCCACGTTTCAGCAGGATTGGATGAAACTTTGTTGACGGTTTTTGGGTTGGTAGAAGCCAATTGGAAATAACATTGCCAGCTATTGTTCAGGCTTCACCAGCTAAGCACAGGTTTCAATGTCTTTTAGGATTTCTGCATAAAATGTAATTTCTTATTGTCCGAAATAGTGAAGACACAAAATAACTGTTTTTCAAGGACATAACTTGTAGAACAAAACACGTGTGGTCTCAGATTTACATGTTGTTGAACATATCTGGTAAATACTCAATGACTCGGCATGTGGCAACAGATGTCATATTGTTAGCACAGTAACGTTAGCTTAGTCACTCATTTGACCAATTTTACCAAGCTTAATTTTAAAACCACTAATATTAAATTGAATTCCCCATTTCATAGTTATGCTGAGAGCCACAAACATCCGTGCACCTTCCCAACACCCTCCCTGAATATATCCATTGCTTGCACAATTAGCACCCTTTGGCTGTCTTTGCTGTTGGGTGCGCGATGTAACAGCAGAACGGACGTGGGAGTGTTTTTCTCGTGTGAAATTGGTGTTGTGTCGTTGGTTTCCCCCCCGGAGACACTTTATTGCACATATTTAAATAGGGCGCATTGGGATCATGAGTGCTGAAACATTTCAACGAGACAATCTCCTTTGTTTCTCAACCTCGTTTTACATTAGCAAAAACCACATGAGCCAACATGTCTGGGTGTGATCGACGTGTCCCCAGGCCGCGGGGTCAGAAAAACAAGGGGGGCAATTATCGGAGGCACACTCAGTCGTACGCTGTCCTCCTACGCTGAACTACGGCGAGGTGCGGAATATCTTCCCACCCCTCTTCAATTTGGTGTAGTCGGGACAAATTGTCCTCCGATTTTATCATTTGTATAATTCATTGTCATTGCTTAATCTCTTTGCATCTCGTCCGTGTCTTACGCTGAACCAACACCACATCTTTCCCCGCGTACACACCCTCTCTTTAGCTGTCTCGCGTTGACCCCTCTTCCTAATTCTCTCCCACACTGGCGTCTCAGACATAGCGCTTGTCGTGACTGTCTTCATCTCCAGCATACTTGGGGGATTAAGGAGGGATGAAATTCACTCATTCGTGGGCGGAGAAAAAAAGAAGAAAGAAAAAAAGAAAAAAGAAGGGCCCCGTACAGTAGAGCACTTCATCTGCGCTGCCGTGAGATCCTAAATGAAACCCGAGGTCGCTTTGAGCGCCGGTGTTTACTTGCTTTCTGATGCACCTCTCAAGTACAAGGTCAAGGTTCGGTGTGCATTACGGATTGACTAGCATGGACGGACCTGCCAGCCTTTAATGTTTCATATGGGTATTTATGCCCCTTTGTCTTTTTTTGTCTCTTTCCTTTGTGACCCCCCCCCGTCCCTGCCCCGGGACTTCATCATCACGGAGGAGTATTCATGCGAGACAGTGTTTCCTTAAAGCCCTTGATAATATCAATGACTCTACATCCTGAATGGTATTTTGCACTTATCTTTTCAAGATGTTTCGTGATCGACAGTGGCACTTTGCACGAAGAGGATTCGAGTGCGGTCTGGCCTGCGATAGGGCTTTAATCTGCGTACACGCCTGCCAACTAGTAAATGCCTCTTTGTGTTGTTATTGTATATCAACAATGTTTTGTGCAAATTGCATTTGTGTGTATGCATGCATCTTCTTGAAGCATCCCATTTTAGCTTAGGCAACGTTTCATCTTTATACGATGCAGTAGATGGTATTTTGCATTAGTATTGTGCATCATTTCTTCGACTTCTGCTCTGTGTGTTCACTGTGCAGAGACATAAACGTCCATAGATCTGCTTTGTTTACTAAAAACTATTACTTTGCACCTGTGACGTGCACTTTTGGGAGTGTGCAAAGTATTCCGATCCTATTCAACCTTGCAGGGATGCACACTTTTATGTACCGTATCTCCAAACAAGGGCAAGAATGCAGGCCGCTCACTGTCATCCTTTCATCCAATTATCAAGTGTCCATTTTTGGATATATTGCCGCCTGGTGTGCTTTTCCACCTCAGTTCACTTCACTTTCTGATTCGTACTTCCTTCCCTTTTTTCCTCCCGTCGTTTCTATACTTATACTACAGACAGTCCAATAGGGGATTATCAAATTGGCTTTCAACCAAAATGAAAGGATGATTCCAGCTCACTGTGTCAAAAGGGTTCCACCGTTTTGTTCTAAAGTACCTAACTATTACAAACTAGACGTCTGTTTTAACTCACAAAGCCCTTTTAATTAAATTTAAACAAGAAAAAAGAAAGTTCTTGAATACCATTGCTCATGTTTCTGTTTCTTACAGTGCATGAGTATAGATCAAGTTAATTGATTTATTAATGTCGCATCTGATCTTCGGCAAAACGCAATTTATCTCTTTGCAGTGCGTGCTCGGCTGCAAAAGGAGGATCATGAGGAAACTTTTCTCTCAGCGTCAAAACGCTCAAACTGTCTGTCTTTTGCTTCCAGGACGACGTCCAAACGTCATCCAGTAAATTCACCAGTTTTACAACTCTTCACCTCCCATTGTAAAAAAAACAAAAAAAACAGGCCCGGCTATTGTGAGCTGCAGAGCTGGCTTCCCACGTGCACGCGCACAAGCACAGAATCACACGCACAACCGAGCAAACACAAAATCGTTTTCACACATCCATAAAAATGAACACACACTGTATTGAAATAGAACTGAATTCATCCCTCACACACACACACACACACACACGGACACGCACACACTCGGCCTGAGAGCGGTGGGTATATAATGAGCGGTTGTTGAGAGGGAGTGTGCGTTGCTAAGTGTTGCATCTATACCTGCTAATTAACACATACAGGCTGTCTGTATGTGTTGATTAGTGTTGCACACACAATAACCCCTGTATGTGGACATAGCCATTGTCCCCATTGTGATGTTGTCATTACACTCTCAGTGATCACAGAAGGTGCGCAGCAGTGTCTCTGGAGGTATTGGTGTGTGTTTGCGTTACCACGTTACGCAGCAGATATTATGGCTCACGCTGGAGGATTGAGTGCATGTGCGCATCAGAATTTAGAATCCCCGCTGCCTGCCGTTATCACACGTCGTGTCTGGAGAGCAGTATTTGGGCCGCTGCCTCTGCAGCTTCCCTTTGTGGCTGACACAAGATTCCCTGTGAATAGTGTTTTCATTCAATCAAGCGTTGACATGTTTGTCTGTCATTTAAATAGCTTTCTCAAATGAAAAAACGAAACCTTCAAAAACACGGGGACGGCGTGTGTGCGTGGGTGTGTGCGCGTGTGTGTGTGTGTGTGTGTGTGTGTGTGTGTGTGTATGTGTGTGTGTCTTGCCCGGTATCAGACCGCCAGGAGAGCGGATTGGAGAGAGTGTTTGTTCTGCTTCTTAAAACAAACTCTCGAAGCAGATGAATGATATCAGGCGGTGCGATTAACAGGGACAAGGCTGAATGAAAACCGGTGAGGGAGTTTCTTTCTCTCTCTCCCTCTCTCTCTCTCTCTCTCTCTCTCTCTTGAAGTTATGGATCACACCTGCGGGCCTAAAGGCGACTGTGGAGAAGAGTCAAAAGGTCGGGGAAAAAAAGGAATTGAATGTACATAAAGTTAACAGCATAGAAGTGGGTGGAGGACAATTGAGGCAAGGTGAGGAGGGAAATAATGGGAGTAAAGTCATCTCATAAAGCCAATGAAGTGACCACAGATGCTGGCAGCCGGGCCCATATTTCCCTTTAAGAGTTAGAATAAACTATTTCTTTGTTATATACACTCATCCGTCATAGCTATTGAGGAGATCCAGCTCCGTATTCATCAAATACAAGATGTGTATATATTTATATCTTAATGCTTTAAATATTTGCACTAAATGAGGCGCGCTTGATTTTCATTTGCGACTCATTCAAACACTCATTTCTTGTTCTTTTAAGTAATACACTATGTGCCTCTTTCGTTTGGATTGGTTTAATCGGGGAACTGCCTTGGCAGTGCCAATTCCAGCGACGCATGTGGTTTGAGCGTCACAGTCCTCAACTGCCACTAAATCAGCTCCCCCGAAATCAACTCAGCGTTCCAGATCGACTCGAAGCGGCCCGCCTGTTATGAGACGTCCGGCTGGTTCACTTCCAGCTTTGTGAGGACCACACAGTCAAGTGCAGCCCACCATGTAAAGCACGCACACCTGAACTCTGTCGTCTCCCGTGAGCCGTTTTCCAAGGGGCGCCTCGTTGAAAGAAGAGCGGGAACTTCCCGTTGCCGTGGTGTTACCTGAGAGAGAGGGTCCTCTAACCCCGCGGTACTTCGGCTTTTCCAGGGCGGTGGGCAGTTCGCTGGTCATGGACCCCAACAGCATTTGCAGGAAGGCAAAGCGCCTGCCGGGGAAGCAGGCCGAGCTGTGCCAGACCCAGCCGGAGATCGTCAGCGAGGTGGCCAAAGGAGCCAGGCTGGGCGTCAGGGAGTGCCAGTACCAGTTTCAGGTACCGCCGGTGGAACTGCACCAGCCACAACAAGTACTTTGGCAAAATACTGCAGCAAGGTGAGTGGGGCAGGGATGGGTTTTGGCTTGTTGGTAACTACCTTCATGTCTCTGTTTCCCTGTCTTTTTCTCCTGTTTTCTAATGTGGAGCGCCATTTAGACAAACAAAAAGCAATAGGCTCCAACAGATGCCCCTCTTTTATCCGTCTGTTGATTAGGAAGCTGTAGCCAGCAGCTTGGTTCGGATCAGGCCTGAAAGAAGGGGAAGCATCCTTCCTCCATCTACTTAAAGTAGCCTCAGAGCACTTTGAAGACTCCTGGCTCTGTTGCCTTGTATCGAACGGACGGAAATGAAGTGGTGTTTATCCAATTTTCCGCTAATATTATTTGTGGCTCTCCCCGTCAGCCTTACCAAAAACCTTTTACAGTTTTTTTTTGTTTTTTTTTAAACACACGAAAAATATTGTCACGTCCCATTCGTCAGCCGTGAGTCCATGAACCCGTGACCTCTCAAATCTGAGCTGATGGTCCAACGTCTGACGGCACTCGGACAGACAAGGGTGGCTGTTGTATTTAAGACTTGACGTATTAATGCTTGACTGACTCTCCTCTTCATCAGACTGGGCTCGCTTGAAACTGTCCGGCTAAAATTGCCTTTTTTCTCCCAGCATCTCTCTTGCGATCTCTTGACATCTTCCTCCGGCTCTTTGAAGTCTGTAATATAACTGATGTTGGGTCACCGCTATGTCTCCCCCAATTACTGTGTTGGTTTTTCTCCTGTATAATTATACATAGAGAGCTGCCTGTTTCCTCTTAGGACCGCTACCTCAGAGAGCCTTTATCTCCGTGTTTAGTCAACAAACGGGGCATAATTGATATTAAGATACAACAACACATGTGTCAAGCGTGTTATTAAATCCATTTTCTGACTAATTTGCAGACGATGTGCATACTAAAGTCGTGTGCAACTATTGTCTCAAGCATGTGGCTCAGAAGATCGTGCACTGTGTAGCTTTACTAATTCATATGTTGCAGTCAGGAAGCTGGCATCAAGTGTCTCTGCCACGAAAACAAAGAAGAGGAGAAAAGAAATGCAAGCACAAAGATATGGAGGGAGAGAAAAAAGGGGACAAGCATCTACCAGTAGAAGATAGAACAGCAATTAATCATAAATTCCTGCTGTCTATAACAGAGGCCAGATTGCTCCTCTGTTTTGAAGCCTTAATTACCTGGATCTGCTCTTAATGGCTGTTTATCATAAAGTAGTGGCAGTAAATGTCAAAATAAAAGCGCCTTTGTGTGTAATGTTCACTCTCTCTAAGTGGTTTACTTAAACTCATTGACCTCGATTTAGACCTGAAGTGATAATAGACTCTTTCAGAATATTTCATTGACAGGGTGAAATTAAGCAATCGTAATACGGATGTTACAGTTTGCGTACCTTTAAGTCCATTCATCCCATGGAGGTGGCTTCCTCTCTCACCCTCAGACTAGTGGATTGCATAACATATGTCATGTGGCTGTATAATTACAGAATTGGAGAATTTGTGCAAGCCAAGCCAGAGGTTAGCGTCCCTGTTCTTACCTCTTAAGCTTGTGTAACACCATATTTCAGGTATCCGACCAACAATCAAATGGCACGACGGAACCGAATGAAGAAAAAAGCTAACTCACTGGCGCTCAGAGGGTACCTGTGCTGTGGGACTATGATGAAATATTTCCCCAAAAATGAGTTCTTTATAGCTGCTTCAGTCCCTATTGTTTGCTCCATGCGTATGTGTGCACATGCATGTTAAGAAAGGGGTTTTGTTAAATGCTTTGTAGCAAAGAAACATTCGGGCTCACCTCATTAACATAATCTAGATGAAGTACAGGTATTGTAGTTAAAATGTCTGATTGTTACCCTGTTTGCGTTTGTAGAACTTTGAATTGGATTTCTGCACAAAGAATATTCAATTTTAATGCTATGTTGGCGTTTTGACTGTTTAGTGAAAACAAAGCCACAGGGCGAAAGGGAGCACAGCCAAGTCGGCTGAAACACACTTTTCTGCTACCCACTTTGCAAAAATATCTTCGGGCTATCTTCACCCACTATTCAAACCTCACAGCACTTGTGTGGTGTGTTCGTTACTTAACGGCACCGCTGCTGCATGTCAACGTACGTCTGACCGTGAAGCTCGTCCGTGGACAAATGAGAGCAATTGATCAGAACTGTACAGGCTTGTGTGTGTGTTTGTATTTCTTTCAATGTTTTCAGATTATGAACATGATTCCGCACACATCAGAAACACGGACATGCAGACATTCATGTGGTCATAGATTTTGTGTATTTGTACTGCTGGAGAATAAACAATAATCATTTATTTTGGCGGTGCAGGGGGTTGCAAAGTAATTAAAGCAGTCAGCAGCCGTGTCAAACATTCTCTCATGACAGGTAGTCACACAGGTGAGCAGACAGGTTGGAACTTTACGCACTTTAAGTATTCTTGTATATCCAAATAAGGAAATGGCTGATGTTTTACTTAAGATTTCTCTCTAGAGAATGTGAGTTTGTCATGTCAATATTGTGTCAGTACTGTATATACTGTTCATTATTTATTGTTTTAATTGTACTCTACATTAACGTGACTTTCTGGCACACGAGATGCTGCAGGATTCCTGTCACATAGATTAAAAGTATTGTAAATCTTTTACGCGGAGCTTACACGTGACATCTATTGTGCCGTGGCCATCCTGGGGGAGGGATCCCTCCTCTGACGCTCTCAACTAGTGAGTTTTCCTCCGCCGATGAGAGGATGTCGCATGTGCATTCTGAAAAAGCAGCTGTGACCACCAGCCGATAATTGTCGGATACAACCTCATTCCCTGAGAAGATGAATATATATATTTTATTAAACTATGCTTGAATGAACTGTGAAGGGATTTTATATTAAACTGCATTCCGTTTTCAAATCCCATGTCATTAAAGTCAAAGCATTAAATGTGCTAATTCCTGCAGAAGGGCCTTATGGAACTAGGAGCAGATGTAGACAGGCCCAGACACCCACCATGCCAGCGCATTTGTATGGAATTAATTTCTCCTGGGCAAATATGAAACTGGGGGGGGTCCTAAGATCATATGACTTGATAGCCTCTTTTATTAATAACATCATTTTATTTGCTTTTCCTTTTTTTCCCTCCAACTCTCGCTTTTTGGAGTCTCTCTTTTTGTCCATTTCAGTTTATCCTTGTCGAACATATTTTTTTATGAACCCAAATAAGAGTTGTAAGAACGTATTTCCTTAAATTCAAGCTGATATCCCCCTTAGTGCAGGCTTCTTGTATTACTGTAAATGCAGTGTTTCACCAGGGCATCTGGGGACATCTGGCCGTGCTCTCAGCTTGCTTGGACACGGCTTGTGTAACCATCACCACGTTGAACTAACATCGAGTTGTGTGCTGATGAGTCACACATGTGTCTCTTAATAAATACAGAGAGGCTTTGCAGAATGACACTTGATGCGAGTATGTTGCTGCTCCTGAAAAAAAATCTCAGTTCTATTCTGCTTAACAGGAGACGCAGTAAGGTGTGGTCCCAACTGAGCTGCACAGACACACACACACACACACACACACACACACACACCTCCACAGTTAACAAGCTGTGTACAACCACACAAAAAAAATGAACCGATTTATCTAATCTGCAGAAGATCAAAAATGCACAAACATCGAATGGAGACGTAGGAAACCTTTTGGGAACAGAGTAGATGTAAAGCATTTAAGACATCGTGTGGTGTCATAAATGCTTTACATCTACTACTCTGTACAACAATGTTGTTCACACATTGACACACATGGACACACAAACGTACACATTTTGGCCTTCATCGGACATATTTGTGGGTGTTCGGCTGCACAGCTGGTATTGATATCACGGCGTGCTGGGGTGTGCGTGTCTTGTCGCACGCCACCCATTCTGTCTGTGTGTGTGTGTGTGTTACCTAATGAATCCCATTCACTGAATCATGCGATATGGAGTTGGCAATGATGACGGTGGTGACTGAACGCTCACCGCCTTCCAGCTCTTAAAAGTCCTTCCCTCAGTCTCCGAATACACATACAAGGCCTCCCTAAGTGGCTGTTCTCCCTCTCCTTCTCCCTAACGCACACACACACACCCCAGTTCTTCATCTATCTAAGCAGAGACCTACTCAGACCGCTCTGGTTAATTACTGTGACCTGACAGCAGTTCAGCAAGACAAAAGTTAATTCCCCAACCGAACCAAAGAGAGCGGCACTCTTGTATTTGACGAGCTGGCTTTGTTTTTTCCGTTGGATTTGCTCGTGATACATATTATAATATCACCAGCTCTACCTTTTTATTGTTATTATTTTTTTCCAAAGCAACGCACAGCTACAAACTGATATGAAAAATCAAAAAAGGTTTATGACATTAGGATGTGTTCTGGTTTAATAAAGATTGGTTTTCACTGGACAAAGAGAACAACGCCTGCCTTAGATATCAGCCAAGTGGTTCTCGTATAGCTGCGATAATTGCGGGTAAAGACTCGAGGGTGAAAACGATGCTGAAGCCACCGGGCGCGGAAAGACAATCAATTTGCAGTTGTGGTTGGACCTGCTTTCAGCCAGGAGTGTTGAGCTCTGCGCTCAAAATAAACCAGCAGCTGTGGTGTGTGAACGACGGGAAGGGAGAAATAGATCGTAGTAATGGACGAGGATGGAGAGAAGGACGCTTTTATCCTGATCCATGCCGCTGCCATTGTAAGCGACTGGATGGCGGGACAGACGCGTGGATGACTGGATAGATGAATGGAAATGAGCTTCTGCCACGGTTGTGGCCCAGTTGCTATACTGTGATTGATTGATAACGTGTAGGTGTTTATCGTCATGTCATGTTGTAATGGAGATGCTGAAAGGGTTGAACTGAAAAAGTTAATTTCTGTCTGCAATAGCATATTTGGATCGTTTTCAACCCACTGTTTGAAATGTATTTTCAACATATGGTGTACAACTTTGGGTAGATGCATGTTTGCATTTTTGCATTTCAGTGTCCTGTGTGCAAACCAAACTTGGGAACCGATTAATAAAGTCCCCCCCCCTCTCCTTTTTCTTTCTTTTCCATCATATCGTAGATATCAGGGAGACTGCGTTTGTTTATGCCATCACGGCGGCGGGTGTGACCCACGCCGTGACCCAGGCCTGCAGCATGGGAGACCTCCTGCTGTGTGGATGCGAGGCGACCAGGAACCGAGCCCCTCCGAGGCCGCCCTCGTCCTCCACTACCGGAGACGGAGTCAAGTGGGAGTGGGGGGGCTGCGGAGACGATGTGGAGTTCGGTTACGAAAAGTCAAAACAGTTCATGGACGCCAAGAGAAGACGGGGAAAGAGTGACATCAGGACGCTCATCGACCTGCACAACAACGAAGCCGGGCGGCTGGTAAGAAACTGCCTCAGAATCAGAAGCTCAGTGTGTGCGCGCAGTTACTCTGCATATCTTGAATGAACACAAGTCTAATCTATGAATCCAAAAAAAATATTTTAAACCGCTACTGGGATGTGTGAATTTTTAGCTGGAAAGGTGTTTCTTGTCCTGCGGAATGTTCCATCATTCCACAAGCATGCAAAAGAGAAAGACATCGCCCGCAGCCATATATGTGTAGCGGCGTAAGCTGATATTCTAACAAGAATCAGGTTTCTGAAACACAAAAACAAGAGCGTGCCACACATTTTGCTTTCACGCCTCCGAGGCAGGTAGCTTCTAATGTTTCCACAGCGCTCGCAGAAGTTTAACGTTCCTCTTTGTTGCCCGTATGAACGTCAGGTACAAGAAGAACGGCCTCGACAATTCGAGGCGCTGCTGAAGAGTGGAGACGCAGTAGTTTGTTTGATGCGCAGCTCGGTGCATCACATTTACCTTTAGCTGTCAGCGTCTCTGTTTGTTACACCTTCTTGCAGAAATGGCGTATGCAAAAACTCAGAGTCACAAAGTTCACCGCCATCGGGGTCAAAGGCGGGCGGGAGAGGAGAGGGGAGGATTCTGGGACTTAATCCAATTGTAGCATTAGCGAACAAACCATTTGAACATGAAAAGAAACCTTCACACAAAATGCCCAGAGGTTAAGATGTAATGCATGCAAATGTCTGTTTGTGTGCAAGAACGCATGCATACGCCAATACACATTTTGCAAGTGTTTGTGTGTGAGTGTGTGTGTGTGTGTGTGAATGGGCGTGTGTGTGTGTGTGTGTGATGGGTTAATTATGTGCAGTATAAGTGAATGATCTGTTGTCAAGGCTTGTTAGATGTAGGAAGGCCAGAGGCAACATGGAGGGAGAAGGGGGTTGGGGAGTTAAATTCCTTCTGAATAGCGTCTGCTTTTATCTCACATCTATCAGTGTGTGTGTGTGTGTGTGTGTGTGTGTGTGTGTGTGTGTGTGTGTGTGATCCAGTTGCTTTATCTGTGATATACTATGAAAACACAATAATGAATAACTCCTTTAGAGAACTTGTCATTTGACAAAAGCATCCCTGCTTCCCTTTAGCGTACAAGTTTAAAAGCCCCCCCCTACCTCCTTTTTTTTTCTCTCTTTCTTCTTATTTATTGCTCATTTATCTCCTCCACCTCTCTGCTCCACCCCTCCACGCGCTCCCGTTCCCAGGCGGTGAAGCTCTACATGCGGACGGAGTGCAAGTGCCACGGCCTGTCGGGGTCGTGCACCCTGCGCACGTGCTGGAAGAAGATGCCTCACTTCCGCGAGGTGGGGGACCGCCTGCTGGAGCGCTTCAACGGGGCCTCCAAGGTGATGGGCGGCAACGACGGCAAGACCCTGATCCCCGTCGGCCAGAACATCAAGCCGCCAGACAAGCAGGACCTGATCTACTCCGACGAGTCGCCCGATTTCTGCCTGCCCAATCGGAAAACCGGCTCGCTCGGGACGCGGGGGCGCATGTGCAACAGCACGGCCATGGACATCAGCGGCTGCGACCTGCTGTGCTGCGAGCGCGGCTACCGGGAGGAAACAGTGGTGCTGGAGGAGAACTGTCTCTGTCGGTTCCACTGGTGTTGTGTGGTCCAGTGCAAGAAGTGCTTGGTCCGAAAAGAGCTCAGTGTGTGTCACTGATGAACCGAAGGGGTCGATTTCCGTGTGGATCGTTTTATATCTGTTTTCACATTAGTCACATTCAGTGTGCCCCCCCCCCCCCAAAAAAAAAGTTACATTACAGGTCATTTAGCGGACGCTTTTATCCAAAGCGACTCACTTTAAACCCGTGGCTTTTCACATTTTGCCCGGCGAGCAATTAGGGGTTAGGTGTCTTGCTCAGGGACACTTCGACTTGAGACATGGGGCAGCCGGGACTCAAACCACCAACCCTGCGGCTCCCAGCGCACCCGCTCTACCCCCCCGCACCACGACAATCCACATGTTCATTTGAAATGATAATTGATCATAGTTCTGGCTTTCAAATTGAGAATATTTTTGTTTCTGAGCTACCTATTTTTCTTTTTCTTGTTTATGAAAAAGGTCCAACGAATGTCCAATTATGTCATATTTGTTAAATGAAAGAAGAGGTTTCTCGGAGTCACGTCCAATACCAATTAAACTAAACAGCTTGATGCAAGCTGCTAGTTTAAACCAAAGAGTTTCGGACTCCCCCTTTTTGCTGATGGAATAACCGTAACTGTCCGTTCCTTTAGCCCCGCCCTCCGAGGTTCATTTCTGTTACTAGACCTGTCCAGCTTCCCATTCTCATTCTAACTTACAACACTGATGCATTTTCGATAGGTCCTTGACTTTAGAGAGAAGGAGACAGTCAGGCTTCAGTTTTGCTCGGTAGTTGTCAGCTTTTTCTCAGGTGTAGCTGAGGAGCTGCTTGGAAGCGCATCCTCCCGACGACTCGTTTTGAAAGGCTGCTCGGCCTTCGATGTAGTGGCAGTAGGTCACCGCTTTAGGTAGAAAGCATGCAAACTATTGCATTTTTTACACTTTTCCTTTTTCCTTTTGGGTTTTAGAAAAACACCACTGTGCAGACTCTTTGTAGGCAGAGCACCACCCTCATACAGCCCCGTCACATGTGGAGAGCGCTAAGCTGGGCTGCTGAGCTTTGATCGGACAATGCTAATGTCCTTAATTCTTTATTTTAAGTCTGTCTAACCATAACCCGATCTACAGGATGGAAGAGTGACGAAGCCCCAATATTCCTATTAAGGTTTTAGCAATAAACAGAGAATCTCTATGTTTTTTTAAACATTGTAAATGTGTCATTAACATTAAAAACCATTAGACTAACTAGCTTGAAGTTGACATCAAACGACAAATAGAGGTCTTGGTATCCTTTTCTGCTACTGCGTCAACAATAAAAGGGAAATGGTATCACGTTGTCACATTTGAAGAACACTGTCAACGCCATGTTTTGCAGGTGTGGACTTGGCCTGCCGGCAAAGACTGTTATTTATATAAAGATATGATGACAAGACTACTTACTTCCAACTCGCTCAGAAGCACTTTGGATACGACGGCTGCCGTGAACTTTCTCAACAGTTACAATACAACTTTTTGTGGTTGTTACTATTAAACCCAACGAGAAATCTTCATTCACATTTCATTGTTTAGCATTTGGGAAAAATGTATATAATGTATTTTGTTTATCTGTTATGATATACAGGGCTAATGTAACAATGCACTTTGGATGCTGTGCGTGCAGATGTGCGCGCGTGTGTATGTTTGCGTGTGTGTCTGAGGGAAAGTGTTGGGTTTGTGTTTGTGCAGGTTGGCCAGTTATCACCTTATCCTACAGTTGACAGTACCTTTTATAGGCCTATATCTTCCATCCAGCTGCTGTGTGACGTAAACTGCATCGTGTTGGTTATTAAAGCACACTGCTCTCTGACTCTCTGCCTCTGTGTGAGGCAGACACGCTCTGGTTTTTTGCTCATCTTTAGAGGAAGTGTGTTTCCTATAAACCTCATCATCATCTCATTCAAAAGTCACCATTTATTACCAGTATATTGAACAATAATACATTGCCTCCGCTTGTTCTGTCGTCTCGGAGTGAGAGTTGATGATTTTTGTGTTTCCGGAAGTGATAATTATTCATATGTGGTTGTTATGTACTTACACAGTTTATTTCAAAGTGCAGTACAGTACACAAAGTGGATACTCGCTGTAGGCGTTGCATACAAGGGACAACAGACAACTGTTTATTGGAATATTCATCAAAAGCAGTTTCATATTCGCCATCCGCCACAGCAAAACTGCATTCCTGACATTCCGATGACCTAATGCAACGTGGGTCATTATTACAGTGATCACTCTAAGCATGAGAATTTCTATGAAGGGCATAGATATACCCAGTATTAGATGAGATCCACAACAACTCTCACACCTAATTTTAGCTAAAGGGGCAGTGGGTATTTCTACGTCTTTGATATTGTTATTATACAGTGAGGTGATGGCAACAGCCAGATTAAATGTCCCTTGCAGCTGGAATACAAGGCTCAAGATGAAGAATAATATCAGCACTCTCTGATTTCATGGATCTGTCAAGTGGCGTGAATGTCCGACCATTTAATATCTAAATATGTTAATTCATTGTAGGTTTAGTGGGGAACAAAAGAGAGCAAAAGAAATGAACAGATTAAAGCATTTGTACATCTTTGGCCAATTTAGTTGAGTCAACAACTTACCGTAATGTGGTAATCTATTGAAAGGCGTTTTGTTTGCTTCACATTTCGTTCTTCATGTTGGTATCCTTCCGGAATCATATCTAGACGTCATGTTGCATTTACATTTAGGGTTAAACTATGTGTGACAATCAAAACACTATTCAAATAAAAAGTAAAACATTCCGTTTTTTTATTTTATCAAATCTTTTCCATGAGCAATATAAAGAATTGAGGTCTTTACACCCTCATTTTCATGATTTAAATGTGTGGAATATTACAGTATCATTGGACAAACCACCTTTTTTAACCATTTAAACACCTTCAGGTAAAGTTCAAATTAGCTGATTGATTCAAAATCTCCAGGAACAATTGAATTTGTTGTATAACATATTTAATCTATGTTTTGTGTTATATTGGTTGGTTGGTTTTGAGTCCAATCCTGACATAAATGTTGCAGATCAAACCATCTTATTTCCAGCACGAAGAAGCAGCACAAATTGGATATTTTAACCAGACAAAATTAATAGAAACCTTTACAGACTAATTTAATTACAGATCAACCCGGCATTGAGTGGGTGTAATATTTATTTCATAGAATTTGGATATTAATGTCACCGAGTCACCGAGTATTTTCGCACCTCTGCCTCGATAAGATTATTCTTTGCCACTCAACAAGAGTTGTGGTGTTGTGAGGTGGTTTATTCTGCAGAAATGAACAGACGAGGACGGGGAAAAAAGAGCCGGCCTGACTCAGTTTCAGTTCTACAAGTTGACACAAGTTCATATTTTCCAGGAATTTGTGGCACAAAGGTGTGTAGCAGAGTCAGGCCAGCGGTTGTGTTTAAGACGCGGAGAGGGAGGCCAAAGAACAAGAAAATGCCAGGGGGCTCTCGCCTGCTCTTATATCCTCCTACCTTAGCTCCTTTGTCCTCTCCACTCCTCTCCTCTCCTCTTCACCTCTCCTCTCCCTCTAAGCTGTGCAGGCCGTCACTGTTGCAACGGGCCAAGCCAGAGAAAATAGACAAGTGAGCAGATAGATTTATTGGAGCATTGCTATAAATATGGTATTCTGTCGACATCTGTGTGCATGTGGCTGCATGTGTCTGTCTTTGTCAGTGTGTGTGTGTGTGTGTGAGAGTGCGTGGCCATTTTTTCCATGTGTACCTCTGAGAAGGAAATGGTACATGAGGAATGCAACATATTAGAGCAGAGTTTTGTCTCCGCCTGCAATGACGGTTAAGTTCCTACACACGTATTACGCACAACCTTCCATCAGGCATTAATGAAGGGTTACCACTGAAAATAGATCTATCCCGTTGAACTGCAGACAGTCATTTCCGTAAATCAGTCAGACAAGAAGAGTCCTCCCATTTGTTATCTCCTGCAGTGGAGTGTAGGTGGTCTGATCTTTATACTTACCACTCGTCTCCTGTACACGTGGGTTTTTGAAAAAAACAAACAAGAGGAAAGCTAAAACATGGATTGGACGGATGAGATTATATAAATATGATAAAAGGGCGGGCCATTGCAGGGGGAAATGAGCAACATGGGAGGGGAAATTATTAATGAAGGAGGAGGGAAAAACTGAGAGAGAGAGAGAGAGAGAGAGAGAGAGAGAGAGAGAGAGAGAGAACTTAGAGGAAACCCAACACTATAATGCTCCTCCATTTGTGTGAACTCCTCCAATTCTCCATCAATCTAGCAGGGAGATGTTGCTTACACAAAGGGCCCATCTAGAGATCAACTCTGTGTGGGGTTTCCTCTGATACCAGTGACTGTGATTGTAGGAGTAGGAGAGTCACACACAAATGAAGCAAGCTCACTTCTTTCACAAATGAAATGTGCACTAAAAGTATCATTTTTCACGCTTTTGAGACAGAGACGTGCACATTCTCCCATTTGCACACGTCCACACGAACACGCATGACCTCCACTTTGGCTCAGCGTGTTTGCGAGAGACAGGAATCTTTATGAGTTAATGCAGACCCCGGAGGTGATGCCTCAGCTGATGCCTAAGTTCCACGGGGCCACCCAACTAGGCTGCCAGTGCTGTGAGATCTCACAGCTCGCTTACGGGGGCCCTCAAATGACATTTAGCGCACAGCGAAACGCGTCCAGAGTAGGACTTATGACTCATCATGCGGCGATGAGGTTGTTCCCCGAACCGCGAGGGGAGTCGAGCGTCGAAGCCAGACAAATTGCTGAGCAGATAAAGCGTGGCGGGTTTCTGTTTAAAATGTATTTTGGCAAAATCCCCCTGTTTTGAGAGAAGCACTTCGTGAGAAGATACGACCGTTTTTCAATCGGGGAAGCCGTCATCGTTGCAACATCCTGAAACAACACTTTGCTTGAGAAACCCTCGGTGACCCACATGCACAAACATTGAGATGACCTCACAATGTGTCTTTTACTCATCTCCCTCTCCCCCTCCCGTATAACCCCCCCCCGCCCCCTCCCCATGCATCTGTCCCACATCTTCGTCTCGCTCCCAGTCCCCTCTTCCTCGCGATTGAGTCATTCATCAAACTCCGTAACTGTTTTCTCGCCTCCTCTCTGTTATCTTGGGGTGTGGAAACATGGCCGCCAGAGGTTCGATGGGAGACTGAGTGAGGGGGGGTGGGGGGGAGGGGGCTTTGGTGCAGTAGTGGTTGCGTTGGCTCTGTGTTCCCATGTCTCTTTTGTCTTTAGGACAGAGTCAATAAACACGGTTGTTTGTGCAACAATAGTCCCGCGGCGCCTTGATGGGAAGCAGACAACCAGCTGGCGCATGTGCACTAATGATACCACTGTGACAGAGTATATATCTGTGTAGGTACTATTAATCCAGGGAGAAGCACGGTTTATTGAACCATGTGACTACATCTCTTTCGCTGGACAACCAGTTGGTTCGCAGTGGATTGAGATACTTTGTTCATTTTATTTTTTGGACAGCAGATGGCGGCCTTGGAGTGCGATGACATGACCGAGGGGACCACTGGCGCTGAGAACCATGATCCCAAAATAATATCAACTAAGGTAAAAACACACTAAAGGAAGATCAAGTGAGGTGTGCTTTGATAGATATTTGTATTTGTGTGCGCCTGTGTGTTTATATGTGATCTTTCATCATTTGTGGAGCACCAAAAGGCAAAAGAAAAAGATTTTTTATCAATATTTGTAGTTTATGGATCCAACGTCTCTCGATGTGGTTCGCTCTGTACGATACAGGTTTGTAAGCACAGTGTTGGGTTGGCTGTGACTCACACAAACACACACATTTTCCAAAAGCATCCAGACACACAACAAGGTGCACATGCAAACATCTTGCAATCGTTCCCATTAGTGAATACGATCCTCAACCGATAACTGCTTCTAGTGATCAGACGTGTTGAATGGGGGGAAATGTTTTAAAAGAAACATGCATTATCAATGACTTGACACTGTCTAATGTGCTTAGAAGTTTGAAGAACAAAATAAATGCGATGTCAGCAGTCAGCTAATTCGAAGCAAGACATTCTAAACTTTCCCTCCGTTAACCTCCAACATGAGAAGTGTTTTCTTTCCCAATAGAAATGGGAAGGGAAGGTGCGTGTTTTGTTAACGGATCCTCTGCAAAGTTTGACTTCCCCTCAGGCATGTTCTCTCCGTACATTCTGTTTATCGCCAGAAACACCCCAAAGAAGGCCAGTTCTCACAACCCCAGGATATTTGGATTCCCCGCAGCGACAGGCTAATTGATTAAAACCACAATGGGGTCCTAAAGCTCGGATTGCAACACAGATGCAACCGTACGAAACAACTCTGCTCTCGTACCGTGCACGTGTCACCGGCACCAGAAGGTACAACAAACATTAGCAGCATAGCCACGCATGACTGGTCGGGCAATTAGATTATACTGGATTGATAAAGGGGACCTCCCAAATTAAGAATTCCGATATCTTATGTCCATGCCCGAGGAAATTCACTCCGTTTCTTTGAACATGAGCTGCTATTTCTCAGTAATTCTCAGACTTGTTGCTGACTTTCTCTTTTTTCAAACGCAGAGATTCCAACGCCATGGAAAACGGAGCCCTGTCATTTGTCTCCGCACCTTCTGGTATCATTTCCCCTTTCCCTTCCTTCTGTTTGCACGTTTCACACGGCATCACAAAGCATGTGTCCCCGCATGCAAAAAGCAGTCAAACCCCGGTACTTATTGACAGCCCTGTGTAATGTTTTTCTCCTCTATTTATGTCTGCTACGCTTACAAAAACACACACACACGCGCAGCCAAGAATTTGCTTTTGAGCAGTTCGTTGCTAGAGTTGAGCCTTGTAATTGTATAACCTCTGCGCTCCGGCGCGCTCCCCTCTGCTTTGCTCATTATCGCCAGCTCGGTCCAAAACTCTCAAAGAAACATCAACTTTGCTTGACCTCCCTTCTGAGAGAGACACGGGGGGGGGGTCGAGAGAGAGAAAGGGTGCAACAAACACAACTTCTGTCAGCTAATGCGTTGCACTCTGTACTGTCACAGTGTCATCGGCCCACGTAGTGACAGTGAGACTTGGTTACCGTCCTCCGCGTGCATCGACCTGTGACAGTAACCATGACACCCGCGTACAACAATGAAGTAGAGCTTAAGAAGTTCAAGCAGTAAAGAGGCCGCAAACTACTGGAAGCTCAATGCTGTACGTCAAGACGTAACAGGAACACTCTCCTGTGTAAAAGGAAGAAATATACTACACCACCATTTATGCGTCACTTTTGCATGCGTGACAGAGGTAATCGGACCACAGTTACCATGGTTACCAAGCAGTAAAGAACTACGTCGATCGTCTGGACGCTAACCAAGTGGAGATTGAGATTAAAGAGTTAAATGAGAAGCAGTCTTGTGTCTGTAGGCTGTGCAGGTTAAGATAGAACCAGGAGAAGATTAGCTTAGCTTAGCTTAGCACAAAGACGGGAAACAAGGGGAAACCGGCACGCTCTCACCAATCGACGTGAGCGAAAAGATGAAGCTGTGAACTTGTTGGGGACAGTATTGTCACACCTAACTGAAGCCACTGAAACAGGCTGCTGGTGATGAGTGAGATGTGAGTAGTATTGATTATTTTATATAAAGCTTGGCAAAAATGTAAATTGTTTTAAATTGATTATGGATTTTTCTTTTTCTTTTTACATATCTTTGCCGATTAAAATCCAGGATTTCTTCTTTCATTTAAGAAAAAAATGGTTATGTCACTTTTTCATTATATGAAAAAAAAGTATTTTGTTATATAACTCATAATCTGAATTTGTATTGTACACGTGGGCATTTACTTTGACTTAGAGGGGAAGAACACTAGAAAAAAAAGTGACCACTGTTTTGCGGTAAAATATTTTCTTGAGCCAAAAGGTCACATGACGAATGCAGGCGAAATACATATTTTAGAGTTAGATTTATTTACCAGAATTTTTTTTTTCTTAAATACTGTATGACCTACGATGTGTTTAGATGGCACCAGACTGTGAAAACGTGGCCGCGTCTCTCCCTGCAGGACAATAACGTTTCATTTGAGTCAGATACTGCACTCCGCAGAAAGACTGGCAATGTTGGGAACACTGTTTTCCTTCATTATTGAATCAAGTGTTCGGCAGGTTCACATTTCCCGCAGCAGAGTGAGCAGTGCGAGATAAAGAAATGCCTTCAAGGATTGCAGGAACATCATGTTAAAAACAAAAAATAATGTTCAGCCCCAAAACAGGCCGTTATGAACCTGGCTGGAGCGTTTGACATGAATAAAGTTTTGTGTCTCGAGACGCAGGAGTCAAGTTGAACTGGGAATAGCGCTGAAATGTTTCCCATATCATTTTTAATGAATGTGAAAGTGAACATGGGGGTGTGTGGTGAGGTGGGGGGGGCACACACACAATATGAGAGTAAAACAGCAGACCCGAGTCTTTGGCAGTGGACTCTGGACCAGATGTGGAAGTTGTGTGTATTATGTGTCTGGATGTTAGTGTGTGCGCACAATATTACTTCCATTATGAATATTGTGTAATAGTTTCACAGCATGAATATGCTACGTGCTGTTGCCTGCTGGGACCTGCACTTCAAGAAAAAAATTAGGCCCCAAGGTAATTAATCCTGACACATTTCGTGAGGACAGAAGTTTTCTGATTATTGGATCGCTGCAAAGATGGAAAATACTGCTAAGGAAATAAAGTGTAATTATGATGAAAAAGGTGATAACGTAGATGATGAATAGACTTAAATTAGACCCAAAATATATTAGTTATCAAAAAAAATACTCAGATTTTTTGTTTTATTTGTGGTTTCTGAATCTTTATTCCTCATGAAGAACTGGGATGAGTGATATCATGTGGTCCTCGTCAAAAAGGGAGCTCTGAAGATGTAAACCGGGGTTACCCGGCAGGGAGGGTGTACTGTAGTTGTCTGAATGTACTGTAGTTGTCTGAGTGTACTGTAGTTGTCTGAGTGTACTGTAGTTGTCTGAGTGTATTGCACGCTTGATCCTGATCTTTCTTCATTTCTCTTTAGAATCCTTAAACTTCATTGAAGGGAAACATAAAATGTATTGAATCGTAATTAATTAAATTCGAAGAAGTCAGCGAGATTGAAATGAATGTAAGTTGTTTGAAATAAAAATAGTAGAGTAAAGAGCCAATTGCAAAGTTGCACAATTATGTTCTGATGTTCCACATTTACATTTTTCATTTAGCTGACGCTTTTATCCAAAGCGACTTATAGCAGCACTCACACACACACACACACACACACACACACACACACACACACACACACACACACACAGTAGCTCACTGGTCTAATTTGAGGATGAAAAAAGTCAGTCTTGCCTGGGCTCCATCATAAACATCCTCCTCCTTCTGTCCTCCTCCTCATAATCATCGTCCTCCTCACCAACCAGACCGCTGAAAGTCAACACAACCTTCTCAACTTTTGCCACACACGCGCACACACGCACACACACACGTCATGCGTGTAGTCCACACCTCGCAGCGCACCTCCTCTCCTCCTGTGGATACGAATGTTCTCCCTCGCAGAGGGCGCAGAAGCTAAGTGTTTCTGCTGTCCTTATCTGAAAGGATCTCTATCGCGCTCTAACGAGCCACTTGACCTCCCTCGGCGCTCCTCTTCTCCCTGGGTGACGCAAAACAACAACAACAAAAAAGAAAAAGTGGGCAGGCGAAGCGCTAAGTGCAGTAGTTTGGAGGAGTATCGCAGCGCACGGAGACACACAACTTGGCAACGTGCGTCCGGAGCGCCAATCTCGACCCGCTCGGATGTTACATCAACGCAAACGCCTCAGCGGAGATTTACCGGGATGTGTATGAGAAAAGATCACATTTAACTTTGACATTCACAGCCTCCCTGCGTTCAGTAAGTTAAGAGGTGGATGAAACTTTTTTGCGTGTTTTTTTTTTTTTTTTTTTTGTGAATGAGTGTCCCGCCGCTGGCCGGCACATCTGGACGTCGTTGGGAGCTGTCAGAGTCCTGACCTGACCCCGCGGTTTTCTTTCGTCCTCCCTGAACTTTAAAGGAGGAATACCGGACTTTTGAACAATTGCCTCTTTATTAAAAAAAAAAACTTTTGGCTTTCCTGTTTATTTTTATTTTTTAAATAAGGTAAAAGGTGCAACATGGAACACTCGATCCTCAGACTAACGTGCATCTTGGTGGTTCTCTGTGTCCTGGACAAAAGGTGAGTTTAATAAAGTACCACTTGACACCAAATAAGTTCATTTCTGAGTTGGTTAACTACACTGAAATTCATTTCTGTTTTCATTCCTTGTTTATTAGTTTATGGGAATGAAACGATGATGTGTCCCAACAGCATTAATGTCAGCTTTCCTTCTGAAAGCAAAAGTCATTTATTACCCTCGTTGTCTCGGCTACATGTCAAAAACATAAATAAAAGAAGGAAACATAAGTCTACTTGTCATAAGGTTACAGTCTATTGCCGATTCTCTGCCCCCCCAGTTACCCCTCATCCCCAAACAATCTTGCCAATCAATTAACAGTCGCCCTTTGAGAAGATGGTTGTTGAAACAAGTTTACTCTCAAAACACAACAGGTAGGAGCACAAACTGGAAATACAGTGACACACAGTTCAACACGTGCAATGGAACTCACAAAGAAGCTCACCGCAAATGAACATTTGATGTCACAGCATGTGGCCTTTCGGCTTGTAATTACTAGGGTTGCTTTTTCAGTCGGATGAACGTGACTTTGAAGTGCGTTTCTTTGTTGAAGAGGCCGACTGAAAAGAAACTTCCAGTAACACACGTTGAAGAAACTGTGGAAAGAAAAGTTCCCTCAGCTGTGTGAGCGCCTGTGTGTGTGTGTGTGTGTTAACGCACACTTCTCCCTACACCTGGGCATTTGTGCGTGCACATCTGGCTGCGCGAGCACGTGTGCACGCAGATGTGGGTGTTTGTGTGTGTGTGCGCGCCCTCAGCCCCACATCGTCTCCATTTGTGCGTCTCGCTCATACAAACTTTGTGAGACGCAACCTAATGTTTTACTTGTGACGACAACGAAAAGAAAAGGCTGCGCACCTTGTTACTCTTTTACTGGTCCTCTGCGAGGGGACACAGAGCTTTGACCACCGTCAACTGAATCACCGGTGTTCACACGATCGGCGACATCTGGTACGATGAGGCGATTTTTAAGTACTAGGTGTAAATTCACCTTTTCTCCCGTTATGTATCTAAAACTCTTACTAGCTGATACGGTTGCCTTACTCCCTTCTTCCACCCACCTGACCTACTGCCCATTATCATGCACAGCATCGGAGTGAAGATCAGGATACAAAACCTGACTTTAACCTAAACGAACAGTAAATGCATCAGATGCATCTGGTGTCAGATCTCAGAAGTTGAATCAATCAAATACTACGATGACATGATTTCCAACACGAGCCAGTGTCGATGCACCTGTCCCTGGTCGAATTTTGTGAACAAAGACCGATTTATTAGTTGTTCCTTTTCGTCTTGTCAATAACCTGACCCGTGTGCTCCATGCAGGGTAGCTTCCAACGAAATCTTAGGCCTGAGGCTCCCCAACATCGACCCGATCCTGAATGCCAACACGGTGTGTCTCACGCTGCCAGGCTTGACGCGGCGGCAGCTGGAGGTGTGCATGAGGAACCCCGACGTGACGGCATCAGCAATCCAGGGAATCCAGATTGCCATCCACGAGTGCCAGCACCAGTTCAGGGGACAACGCTGGAACTGCTCCAGCCTGGAGACCAGGAACAAAATACCCTACGACAGCATCGTCTTCAAAAGAGGTCAGTTTTACGCTGACCAAACAGTAAACTGTAGGAAAAGGCAGACAGCCCCAATTCATTTAAGTTCACAATCGGCTTTTCTTGCAACCGTTTTGTGTCTCTCCCATGGAAACATTTGAATCACAGCGCTCGGGAAATAAGATATGGAAGATATTTAAAGTTAGCAAAGTCCAAAATCTCAATTGAGAAAAGAAGATGAGCCATCGCTACCGCATTGGGATAGCATGTCACCTGAAAGCCTCCGTTGGAAGGAACGGCGATGAAGAACAAACGTGCAGTTTCAAAGTTGTGGTTTAATCGTCAAACACACTTTGATAGAATACCTTGAAAGGACGGGCTTAGAAAGATTAGTTTCCACAAAAACACACGTCCTAAACAAGCACTGTAATATTATTCTCCTCCTCACGCAGGATTTATGTCATCTCAGAAGTACCAAGTCTTTTCTAGTGACTAGCAGGCTGCGTCCTAACTTTAACTGTAGCGACCCAATAGCTGGTACAAAGGAACAACTAACATCAAAAGCAGTTAGTCACCTCAAGATTAACGAGCCTCGTGCAGACCAGTTTTCCACGATGGATAGTGGAGCTCGGAGCTTTGCGACTAAGCCTCAAAGGATGAAAGAGGATCTTCAGTCGGGAAGCCCTTCAGACGGACTAGAAAAGGCATCGTTTTCCTAATAGCCAGAGCACCTAGTGGCTGGTATAGTTTCATGTAGAGGTTTTATTTGAATTTTGCTACAGGATGAACAAGATTAGCTGATTTTTTTAATTATTATTTTTGTTATTATTAATTCATTTAAATGTTGAAATGATAAATTAATGAAAAATTAGTTTTTAAAATGTTAGCAAATACGTTTTCTCTAGAAGACATGAGACGTGAGAGAAAGTGTACAACAGTGCTTATTTGACTCTTCTTGTCAATGTCAATGTTATATTTATATAAAAATCAGTGCACAGACTTGCTGCGATAAACTATAATACATTTGTTGATTGCCATTTGGGGTTTTTATATACAAATAGTTATGCAAAGTGTAAAAGACGGTATGAATCTGGGTCATTTTAGACCGTGTCATTAGATGTTGATGAAGACCCAACTAGTTCTGTCGGATGTCTCCTGGAAGGTTGTTGCCATAAATTATTTTTTCTTTTATGCAAATACAGTCACAAAACCCTCACTTAGGCATTCGTTGCTCACACACCTCTGGTCTAACTTGCACTTTTAATGAGTCACTTGACTCATTAAAAGGCGGTTTGTCATTATTAGTACAGGCAGTTGCTGTTTGTCAGGCATCCCTGTTTTGCCTCGGGTGCAGAAACTCCAAACCACCGACGTAAATAACCTCTTTCAATTGGATGATTCATCTGTTACGAGTTGATACATTCAAAAAATCTCCACAGAAGCTAGAAGAAAAGGCTGCAAGTTAGCGTGGTGCAGCTGCGAAGAGGCTTCAGTGAACCACAGTTACACACATGGATAATATGGAAATGAATACAAATTTATGTGAATGGAACCCCACATACAAATACATTTGTTAAAGACTGAGGGATATTGTTCCAACACGCTCGCAAAGCTTCCTCGAATCTTCTGATAGTGTCTCCAAGTGTTGGAGTGAAGTGTATGAGGGGTTCTCTCATCTCAACGTTAGTTTACAGTCCAGTTGTACTGCATCAGTTGCTGCTCTGATCCTCATCCAGCTCTGCCACGTTTCTTCCTCCGGATTGTTTCTGAAAACTTTTTTGGGCCTATTTTCCTTCCTCATTTTCCTTCCGGCGTTAACGAGGATGTTGGGCGAATCATGGATGGACAGAAATAGGAGAATCGCTCTGTGTCTTTCCCCCTCTTTTCCCCCCACTGTGTCCGCGTCCTCCGTCGCCGCGCTGCCCCTTAATGCTTTCACTCCCCTCGCCAGCGCAAGTGCTCGGGAATTTGCTCTCAGCACTTTTCCAACTCTCCGCGGCAAAAGCGCGGGCCTGTTTAGTCGGTCTCTGTAACACAAAGTGACAGTTTCCTTTGAATCTTTAATGCATTTAGTCACTACCTCAACCATCAGCTCAGCCGGGCGTGTCGCCGCCAATAAATTATTTGTTGGATTGATTTGCTCCCAGTGTTCCGGGTTGCAGAGCCCAGCTCAGAGCAGGGCAGGAGCTAAAACAAGCTTCCTATGCATCCTGATGGGCCTAAGTGCCTTGCAGTGAGCATAGGTGTCAGGGGGGGTCGGGGGCAGATCGTGAGTTAGTTGGTGAAATTATACGTCTGTTAATCTCAGTGTGCATCTTCTTTTATTCGCTGGTACAAAATCAAGTCCGCTATGACATTGATATTCTCTGAGCAAAATAACAGATAAAATTACTACTTAATTAAAAAGCTGTTTTCAGCCAACTAAGCTCCTTTTAAGGGGTTAGCACACGCTACAGACCAGGTCAGCAACCAGCCTGTGAACATTGGGGTTGGTGGAAACCCAGGTAGCTTGTCTGCAGGTGAATGTGACGCCTCCATTGGGAGAGCTAGAATCACTTTCTAATTTACTTGCAATTTAGTCGTTTTTTCCACGTTTTTATGTATTAAGAAATACAAATAGGTGCAGCGTAACAGTGTATGTGCCGAACTTTACATCACATCCACAAATAATTCAATGTTTACTTGAATATACACTCAGGGAAACACTTCAAATAGTGTTGAAAGGGTTGCTTCCAGTTAATAGCTTTTTACTCGACTCCATAAAGCAGCCTGAATCATTTCCCCTTTAGGCGGTTTGCTATAAACTCCAGTGGTTTCTTTTTATGTTTTCTTCACAAGTTTCCATACACAAGTGAGTGACTGCCAGTGAGTCTCCCTCTATTGGACCTCGGGCACCGTGCTAACAAGCAGCAAGACCAGCTCTAACAACGCACACTGTGGAGCGTACTGGTGTCGCAGCACGCAGCTCGATACTAAGCATTCATTTGACGACATTGCATCGGCAATTCTTGGAGAAAGCTGCGCCCAGGGATTCAGAGCAAATGGTTAGTTCATGGGTGCAGCACAACAGACGCCAGAGGCGAGAAGAGCACTTGTAGGTGGACAGAAAGGAGTTGCATGGCCACATATATTTTGAAAATAAGGAGAAATCACAGCCTCGTTCAGCGTCTGAGTCCTCTGTGAGTCCTGCGATGGGAGTGGTGGGGGTCTGTTAGTGTTCAGATGGCCTACAGAGACAAAGTACGCAAGTGTTTGGAACACTTAATTGCTATTGTCCCAGATGTTTCCACAGGTTTTTTTTACGAGTCTTGGCATATGTGTATACAGTACAAACGTGTGAAAAAAGTTTTTTGTTATCCAAATAGAGGAAGCTCTTTTACGGCGTTACTGAATGTCTCGGAGAGAAATGGTGCACGAAATGAATACATTTTGCTAAATATCCAACTGTTTTACAAAAGAAATTTAACATGAAATAGTTTGGTTGTTTGTCCTGACGCTGTTTTCATTTAAATATAGTTTTTCTAAACAGCACCTCAGTGCTCTTGATTTGAATTGTTATCAAATTCCATCCTTTATCAACCTGGTAAACCTCTCACTTCACCTGACAGGCTCATGACAACTTGTTGTACCTGCAGGTTATTGAATATTTGTTCGTTGCATGAACTCAATTTTGTAGCACTCTATGACTACAGTATTTAAAAAATAAATAAAAATAGCTGAAAACGTCATATTTTGTGTGTTGCTCCCGTCATTGTAAACCCAGCCCCGGCCTTTTCCTGACGTAGAGACTTCTTCCCACCTTCTACTTCCACATGAGTCGTAACGCGGCTGTCGTGTCCTTCGGCCCCACAGGTTTCAGAGAGAGTGCCTTCGCGTATGCCATCGCAGCAGCGGGCGTCGTGCACGCCGTGGCCAACGCCTGCTCCATGGGCAAACTTAAGGCGTGCAGCTGCGACGAGAAGCGGCGCGGCGACGAGGAAGCCTTTCGCATCAAACTGCACCGCTTGCAACTGGAGGCCATCCACCGGGGGAAGGGCATGGTACACGGCGTCATGGAGCACTTCCCCGCGGACCTGCCGGGCCCCCAGGACTCCTGGGAGTGGGGCGGCTGCAGTCCGGATGTGGAATTCGGCGAGAAGTTCTCGAGGGACTTCTTGGATGCCCGCGAGACCAACCGGGACATTCATTCCCGCATGAGGCTGCACAATAACAGAGTGGGGAGACAGGTGAGAAGAGGATGGGGCTGCTTGTGTTTCCCAGAATTGCAAAGATTTACCAAGCATAGCAAATGTACTAACAAGACTTTTTGGAGCTTGTGAATGAAAGCCAAGATCTGTTCTATATGATAGGATATCATATATATATATATATGAGGGTTTTTTTTACCAAGTAAAGGCATTACACTAAGTCCATTTTTATTTTAAATTCGAATTCGAATCCATACCACATTATTTACTGAGTTTTAGGCTAAAATGTCAATATGAGGACGGTGCCATTGAGGTATCTGCCTCGGGCAATGGAAGAAAAGAGATGAGTGACAGGGATAAGCCGCCGAGGGAACAGCAGTGCTGCTCATTGTTCCCTGTTTCCTCTGGAGTGATTTCGGCTCGTATCTCTCCATCGGTTTAGTTGTTGTTTCCTTGATTATGAAGACAAAACACAAATGTGGAGCGCGTCAGGTCAAACTTGCAGGGAGGGATGGCCTCCCCGCAGTAGCTGGTAGAAATAGTTAAATTCCAGCCCAGTCCACTTGGAAGTATAAACTTTAGGTGAGAGCTGATGTGACCGAGTCGTAATGAGTTCATGAGCCGAAGAAACGCGGTGATTTACCTTCGGGGTCCTTGTGTTGTTGTGTGGATGTAGTGAGGTTACAGGCAGGGTCACTGTGGCCTCGTGTTGTGTTTATTTTACTTATTGAAGCCACGTTCTTGCCAAAAATTGATGGACGAAGGCAAACTTACAAAATGCTCCCCATCTAAAACGGGTTTGTCTTTCCTTGTTAGTTTAAAGCGTATCCTGTCAAAATGCCCTTGAGAATTCTTCTTGGCAGAAAGTGTAGACTTTAGTCAAATATGGTAAATACTGGGTTTAACATAGGCTGCTGTAATAATCACAAAGCTTCACCTTGCTGTAAATTCAGCCTTTAAAGCGCAAGACCTTCTTTTGACAATGGCATTCGGAGATGGTCTTATGTCTTCGTCAATGACTGCTGACTAAACGGAACATCCTTTAACTGAGGCACGAAGACACAGATGAGCCTATTAGCATTGCATCGTTATACAATAGGCATGGCCACAGTTACATGTAAAAAGTGACTATTACAGAAATACATCACTGCTCATATTGGGAAAATATGAGCTTACAATAGAAGGGGGATGTGTTTTAAGAAAATCCAACATTAACGATACCTTGTGACGAGGGAGCCTGAATTTCAAAGAGCCGGTGACAATTGAAACTTTACTTTATGCAGTGAATCATGTAACGTTACAGGCAAGTTCATCAAAGTGATCCAGTTACACAATCTGACAGGTGGAGTGCCCCCGAGGAAAGTCCGTCAGATTCCAAACGTGTCCTCACACAACTTTCTGGCAAAGGGAACTGAAGCATCAATCAAACAGGGGACACTTTGACTCAAAGGCATCGACATCGAAGAGATGGTACCTCGTTTTTTAGAAAAGGATTCTTGTGACAGCCGCGAGCTGACCGACGCATCTTGTACTTGGACCCAAAAGAAACCCAAAGAAAGCATCGGCAAACTGTTAAAGAAGGACAGGAGAAAGAGGAGGAACCTCTGTGCTGTAACCACAAAACAAGCTTAATGTCGTTGTTCTTGTTCTTGGATACACTCGGGGCGATGTGATGTGTTTCAGTTCAATACCAAATCTATTCACTCATAATTGTCCACGTGGATCATCTAAGACGGCCGCCTTGTTACAGCTCAACACAGACTGGAGATTACAGACTGTGGAGAAAGAGGCAACAGAGGAAAAAGAGAAAAATAATTCAGTGCATGGCTTTAAACGTCTTAATATCATTCTTGATGTCTTCAAATGTATAGAAAGCCTCAAAAAAACTTGAAACACACACACACACACACACACACACACACACACACACACACGCACACATTAAAACGACCCCTAGAATAAAAAAAAAACCTGACAGGTGGGACTTCAAAATAATACCTAACCTTCCCGTATCTCTTTCCTCCCACCGACCCAACACCACCTCACCCCCCCCCCCCCCCCTCTCCACTCCCTCCATCCCCCAGCCCCACTCCCCCTTTTCAGAGAAGTAGTCTTTAGGCGGAGGAATGCGGTGGTTTTTTAGTGGGGTGTGCATGTCGCCTCATGCCCACCCCAGGGTTCTCACGACGTTCCGTCTTGTTTTTAGCCCTAATTAGTGGCTGCTGGCAGTTTGGAACCAGATGTTTAAAACCCGGCAAAAGATTTTAGACTTCAAACACCGGGGCGGAAAGTAAAAAGAGATTCGCCTTTCCTTCCCTCTCTCTCTTCCCCTGTGTGCTGCGCTGTCTCCTCCAGCTTTCTCTCCGGCGAGGCTGATCACAGAATATTATACTCAGCGCGGGGAGGTTTACGCGTGTATGATGTCAGCGCATCTCTGACGCCATACACATGTGGCGATGAACAAAAAAAATAAGCATGTGTGTACCTATTTTTTTGTTCCTTAAAACTAATGTTACATGTACCTATAGGACAGCTTCTGATATGAATGTAGTTTTTCAAGTAGTCTGAATCTGCATTAACTTAACCATGACGATGCGCAGTTCAACCCTCCACGGTCGAGTTGCAACGAACCCAAACAAGCTACCGTTCAGTAGTTAATAACAGCGGTTTTAAAAGCCTCCGACATGCTTGAAGTGGCTGCTCGTAAGATGGAAACACTTAACAGGGGCAGTAAATTTAATGGCCAAGTTTTTTCTTCTTCCTAAGCCTTCTTGAGCACACCTCGAAAGAAATGCTTGGCACACTTTTCTGCGTTCACGTTGCACAGCTTGCAGCAGCGCAGAGGTTCTGTTGAATCCTGTCGGTTCATTAGGCAGGTGGAGACAGTGCTGGCTCTGCAACAGTCAGCCGTGTTACTGGCAAGCACGTCGCGGTAATTACAATTTACCATCAGGGCCTGTCTTCAGAGGAGGAAGGAAAGATGGTATCCCCCTTTTCGGGAAACGAAATGTGTACGTCTTGTCGTCGTATCCAAATGTGTGACTTGATGTATTTTGTGCTTTCTTTGCCGTTGCACTTGTTGATTCAAGGGCCCACGTGAGCAGCGGTAGAGATGTGGGTGTATGCTGTGACCGAACTCCCAGTCCCTCTATTTGGTGATGCACCTCACCGTTCAGGGGATGATCAACTGCTCCGCGGAGCCCATCCACGTCAGTTCATTCGACTCGCACCGAGAGCAGAGTGTGTTTGATCGGGAAAGAGCAACATTAGCGTGCCCTTGGTTCTGTGCTTCGTATCATCAGTGGCGTGTTCTGCATTCCAGGCTCCTGCCAGCACAGCAGCAGAGCATTTGATCTGACCCTCCCTGCGCAACACACAGAGGCAAATGCTTCATAGTAAAAGCTCGGCAGGTGGAAGTGCTTATGGTGGTAATAACAATTTACAAGAGTCTCTAAGTAAGAGCTGCGGACATTGTGTGCAATTAACAGTGAGTGAATACTACACGCACACACAACACACGCAGACACAAACGTTATAATATAGTTCTCACTGTACACAGATAGGCTTTTGCTCAGTAATTGCATGTCATTGTGTTTGCATGTGTGCGTGTGTATTTGTCTGCGTACGCTTAACTGTTCTTTTGAAGAAAGGCGTTTGATTTGTTTAAAGTGATGTCTGGGTTTAATGTGCTGCTTGGGGATTTGTTTGTGTGCTTTGATTTCGCCTTGGCTCTCTGCTCGGCTTTAAAGGCCGTTTAGTAGATTGTCTTTGAACTGACAAACACAAAGCGGCGTGGAGACTGGGTCTGCTGTTTATCAGCAGGAAGGGTCGGTTGTAGGACATAAAGACAGTAGATTAGGATTTTCCCGAAAAGCGCTTAGTGGTAATGACACGGATTGGCCAAAAATTCAATATAATGCTCCCAACAAAACAAGGAATATAGTGTAGAGGAATGGGATCACATTTTTGAACACAAGGAACGTTTTTGGTGTGAGGCTTTATTGTTAATAAGGTGATAATTGTTGAAAAACAGATAGCAAATCGCTAATTTCTTCACTTGCTGTTTCCTCCATCCATCTAAAATTGGTGGTGTCAGATGACTTTACCTCTACAAGGAAAATAACTATGCTTTAAGGCACCCCTTTGTTGCTAGTTGGTCAGCTATGACATGACCAAATCTTGATATTTGTTCAGGATGACGAAATCATGTGTGGCATCGTCTGAACGGCAAAACGTGGCATTGATGGGCTACAACACACTTGCGACTTCACTGGGTCAGTAGGCCAAACAAACACACAAACACGTGACAAAGTGTGAGTCTAGAGTTGCCCCAGTTGTGAAATACTCCACCGAACTGAAAGGTCCGCGGCCCCTTTCTAGCTATGGAACTCGTCGACTCTATAATTATATTGTTTTGTCTGTTTGGCTTTAGATTCTTACTTCTCTGGTAAAGTTGGAGCTGCAGATTGTGGTGGCAAGGCCTGACCCCAGCTCTGATCTTTGGTCTACTTAGTTTGCTCCTCTGCATTGGAAGGTAGTGGGCGTCGCTCTAGTCCTCGGGTTTACCCGCTGACTTAATCTGCCACCAGCATGTTGCACTTGATCTCTATGCAGGGGTTGTTTTAAAGAAGCCTCTGTTTTCCTGTCTAAGCCAATTAAAACTTCCCAGATGTTTGTTTCCAACTGTGGTCCGACCGCCATTGACTTTCGAAGCAAATACATCCCTCATCGTACGTGCAAGCGATCCAAAGCACTGCAGTGGGACAAATGCGGCATCATCGTCACTTGTTTTACGTTCAAAACGTTCTGTCCCTCGAGTTGTGTTATAGACTGTATCATTTTAGATCAGATATTTATTTTTAATGTTCTTCTTATTCTCCTCTTGTACAAAATGTGCTCATCCTGTGTTTCTCAGCTCTTTTGTCGGACGGATCAACACTTCACATGACATTCTGACAGACCACTTTAAATATTGCAAGAGCAGACAGCTTCCCTATTTCCTATTTATTACCTGTTAAGGCCTTGCCTTGCCTTTCAGCTGCTTCTTAGAAGAAGATTTGAAGTACTTGTCAGCCAGAGTAATTTTATTTTGATGAGTTTTTTAAGAGCCTGCAAACCGGTATTAAGCTCTGCCTCGTCAGCGAACATGGTGTGCAGCATGCTTTGTGTGTTTGACAGGCCAATCTACAGAACTTCAACAGGACTTACAGATGCTGAAGTGTGTTTATTTTTGAATATTTTACTTTATTTCCAGACAAACAAAAGAAACCTACACCTGGAATTCTCTTTACGTCAAGAAAGTTGTCGCAGACCTCGCCAATCGGTGACGGGCCTGTATTCTACAATAAAGCAATATTTTAGGCTGCGGCATTATACTTTTATAGTGAAACATAAAGCATTACAACCCGTTAGTGTTCGTGATTTCTGTGAGTTCCCCAATATCCAATCCAAAGATCTCGATGGAGCGGCTAATGTTGGCTTAACCTGTATATTATTGTATTATCATTAATATGCAGCAGATATGTTAGTTGTGTGTGATTACTTTTGCCGCGCCGCATGTAGCTACACATTTATTTTGTAAACGCTGCGCTGCTCGGCCCTGACAATTATGCTGTGTCGCTACAGCAGGAGCGCTACAACGTAGTTAAGCTAGGTAGCCTCACAAGCTAACAACTTAATTTCACGTTACACCGGCAAGCCGCTGAGTCCATTGCACACACGGAAGCTGTCGTGATTTGGTGAGGCTAAAACAACCACACCACCCTGTGATCCCGTTTGATCCTACTTCAGCCACGCTCGCGCTGCTTCGGCATGTGGAGAAATCCAAAGGCTCACGCTGCCTGGTTACGGCCGCTCCGCCGTGGTTGGGCAATGAGTGTTCAGGGGAGAGTTGATTGCATTTTTGCTGCAAAAAAATGGTAAACATTGGTTTAGAAGATACCTAGATACGCATGCTGTACTGGACGGGTCACAGTATGACAGTTGTTTTCATGTCATATTGCAGTAGTCCGTGATCCCCCATAAAACAAAATCTCCTTTTTATTTCTCCGTTTGTCAAAATGTCCTTGTTGGATAGTCTGCTGTTTTTGTTGTTTTACTGTCCTATGAGTCCCCTATCCCGCTGTGTGAAGGTACCTTCAAACAGAAGCAATGTGGATGCAATTATGACTTAGGTCACTTGGTCCCTTTAAGGTTTAAGTGGGTTGGAGAGTTTTATGATTACAGACTTTGCTGTGTGTTTAAGGCCAGCACGTTTGTGATTCTGGGGTTGCCTCTGCCCTTAAAACTGAACACAACACTGCAATCTGAACTGCAGTGCAAGTGCTGTTTGAGCTGATATAATGCTGTTTACCATAACGTCGTACAGCCTCTCCCCGCCGCGGAAAACCGCTTCTTTGAATGTTGTCTTGAACACTCCCAACGACAGTAGACCCACGTTTACCCCAAATGCCTGCTTCTTGGAAAGGTTATGCACTATTTTGTGAAAGTGTCATAGTACAGATACTACAGAGCCAAAATGATTTAGAGTCCCAGTTACTACGTTACAGTCAATTAATTTCCGACTTAATCTATTCTTGTTGATCTGGATCTGCTTTTGGATAAAAGTGTCAGCTAAATGTAATGTAATGCAACGTAACTGGCAGATTTGATGAGTGATAGTAACATAACCATCTTATTAATAGCATATATTCTACCACCCCCATATGCTCCAGAACAAGGAAACACTATCTATATTTCCTTTTTTTACTTTTACTTTTTTCACGGTTTGCTCATTTGCAGCACAACCTGCAATGGAGCCTTAGAAGACGCCCTCAACCGCTTCTCAAAAAAAGTGGAGATCAAAAGAAGTAGGAATATATATAGAAAAGTATATTGAAAAGTATCTGGTCTATGGCAGCCGCCTGCATTGACCTTGACTTTGTAGAAGTGGGGAACAGGGTTGTGTGTAATATATATATATATATATCCTTCCGGTCCTATTGCTGATAGGATCCTAGTTAAGTTGGACTTGGATCTAATTTCTTACTAATCCGGCTGATGTTCTTTAAATTGGTCACAACCGTGTTTTGCCGACTCTGTCTGTGAGGATGACCGAGAACGCGTGGGTGACACTCATGCTCTGTTTAGAAATTAGCATTATTGTTAGCATGTGTACGGAATGTGTTGAACTATGCAAAAGTCCGGCTGGTTAGTGTGTGTGTGTGTGTGTGTTGATAGGGGTGGCAACAGCAGCAGCATCTGTCAGTACTCTGGGTGGCCTTAGTGTTCCTGTTGGTAATTGGATCTTTAGAGCAGGTGATGACTGACAAGCACAATACACAAGCATACACATGGCCTTGAGGAAATATCATCAGGATGGACAGGATTCATGCTGTGGGGGATGTACCTGTGTGTCTGTTCCAGCACTCGACGGGCATGCCGTGTGATTGATTCAACATGTTGTGTTCTTAATGGATTCACATGCTCAATTGACATCCCCAAAATCCTTTTAGACCTCTGTGGTTCTTGAACGGGGCCAAGAGAAGGAGCAGTTTCACGAACGGCTCCATTATGTGTACAAAAATGCTTTTTCCTGTGATATATTCAAGTATAAACAGTGAACGCTGGCTGTTGACAGCGCTGAAGTTTCACTGGCAAGCATTAAAACATCAAAGTGAAAACACAATAAAAATGCTCCGATGTGTCATTACACGTTTGCCAGGCATGGAGGCATTACTTGATGCCAAAAAATGAATGATGATATGACTGTCTGTTTAGGAAATGCCTCCATCCATCTGTGTTATTTGATATCACTGTGTTTAACAACAGGCTCAGACCACCTGGATTGGTAAATGCGGGACTAATATTCCTTCAGGGAGCTATGGATCATTCGCTATACGTTGTTTTGCTTAATGATAGAAAAACAAATTCAACCGAAAAAAATCAAGTTTGAATTATGACATGCAGTCTGCAACCGCCCGTACCTGTGTATACTAGACTTCAAAGGTAGCTAGCAATTAAGGAAGCCATTAATCTTTCTTTCTCCCCGCTTACTCCAACCCCCTCCTCTTCATCCTCGCCTCTGCTCACTTCCTCACTCCGTCCCACTCGCTCATATTTGTCTGTCTGCATCTGCGTTTGTTGCAGGTGGTGCTCGACCACATGAGAAGGAAATGCAAGTGCCACGGGACGTCGGGGAGCTGCCAGCTGAAGACCTGCTGGCAGGTCACCCCAGAGTTCCGGCTGGTGGGCTCAATCCTCAAAGAGCGCTTCCACGTCGCCACGCTCATCAAGGCTCACAACCGAAACACCGGACAGCTCGACCACTCCAACCACAACAACAACCACCACAACCATCATAACCACCACGGCCACCACCACCACCACAACCACCACCACAACCACCACCATCACCACCATCACAACAACCACCACAATCACCACCACGCGCACCGGCGGCGACCGAGCGTCAACGAACTGGTCTACTTCGAGAAGTCGCCGGATTTCTGCGAGCGGGCCTTGGGGTCGGACTCGGCGGGCACGCAGGGCCGGATCTGCAACAAGACCAGCCCCGGCATGGACAACTGCGAGAGTCTGTGCTGCGGGAGAGGCCACAACATCCTGCAGCAGACGCGGAGCGAGCGCTGCAACTGCAAGTTCCACTGGTGCTGCTACGTGGTGTGCGAGGAATGCAGGATAACCGAGTGGGTCAGTGTCTGTAAATGAAGAAACACACTAAAAGACTGTAGACACTAGAGAAAAACAAGAAAAAGAGACCCTTTTTAAAAAAATCAAGACTATACATTTGAAAGGGGAATACGACTGTAATATATGTGCCCCATATGTTTTGGTGGTGGACCGCTGTTTTTCAGAAGAGCGAGGAACAGAGTGTGAAGTGGTTGAGCAAGCAGAAAGATAGATTTGCATGTCGGTTAAAATGTGTGCACATGCCGGGATTTGTCTAAAGCCGCCACGACTCGAGGAGGGCTCGGATGTTTACTTTTCCTCGTGAGATAAAGGAACAAAGTTGTATCGGTTTAACTATAAAACGCTCTGAATCTGAAATCTGGGCTTAAGAAAAAAAGACGAAGGAGTGTCGTGTTATCAGCAAACGTTGACGGACATACATTTGCCTGATATCAGGTAAGCAAAGAGGGAGTCGAGAGTAAGCATCAGATTGCATGCAGAGAGAAAACATATTGCTTTATAGCACCAGCAGCATATAAAGGGGAAAGACCACCTTTTCACACATCAGGATTCACAATGCACAGGATTTAAATTCAGAACATTTGACACCTGGAACACTTAAGGATTGTGTCTTGTTTAAGGCAGTTTAGAAGTTTCAAGGTTTATAGCAACTATCGTGTCACACCAAAAAGAAAAGCTTACTTTATTGTATACATAGTATGTGACCCTGCTTACAGGGATAACACCCCTCAAAACGTTGTATTTACACGCATCCAATGACGGAGTGGACTATTTAAATTAGAAGGTTATATTAAAGAGGCTTTTACATGAGGAAATTACAGCAATGATGAATCACTGGAGCTGAACCTATAATCAAACAAAATACAGTTCTGAACGTCCATTCATCAGTACGATTCCTAATATGAGAGCCGGAAACAGAAACCATTTCCTGCCCTCTAATAGAGGGTGTTGAAATACGATCCACGCAAATCAGCTTGCAACAGAGTAGGTACAAGCACTAACTCCATGCACAGCGAGGTTAGCCTCGCAGCACAGATGTGTTGTCCTTCATGGAGTTGTGTCAGAAATAATCTACGTGTCGTCTATGTGGTGCGGTGTGTAATGTGAGAGGACTGTCACAGAATGGGGCAGGATAGACCGTCATTTAACCGGGACTGTTTTCCTCTTCGGCATGTTCTGGACAGCATTGTAAATAGAACTGAATGATGCTGCACAAGTACAATCAAAAAAGTTGCCTCGGGACACTGAACGCACAGGAACAGGCTTCGGTTTCTCACATCATAAACATCCCCCGAGCTCCCATCGATCAAAGTGTTTCCTGTTTTGTGACGTGATGTGCTGTGTGCGACACTGTAAGCCACTCGTTGATATATCTACACTCACCTCCTGCACACTTCTCCCATGTGTGAAAATAGGGATTTTCTGATGTTGCTGTCAAAGTATATAATTAACAAACTTTATTTCTGTCCATGCACATTTTGGAGATCATATTTGGTCTCAAGAAAAGTGTATGAGTGAGGCTCCTTATCAGTGTAATTTATTTCAAGAAAATATGTTTCTGTGTTGAAAGCAGAAGAAAAAAAATGTGGAATAGTGTTTCCAGTATATCAGATTATTTCGATTTTGATAAGTTATCGCACAACTGTGTCCAGGAAAACTCTGGAAGATCTCAGCAATATGCATTTTTTTCATGTCATAAATGTAATGTATGTATTTTTATGTTTTAATATGCTTATTATCTAAGTTATTTTATTTTTGTGGATAACTTAATATTTGTAAGACAATAAAAGTGATGAATAATAAATACATGAAAGAAGTGCATTTTGTAAGAGAACCGTTTTGTTTATTTGATCACTCGTCAGAACACTAATGATGATGCATCCATTAGCTACTGTGTGTACTGAGAACGTAGTCCAGGAACGATGGCTTCTCCTTCCAAAGACAGCCTTTGACAGAAAGTTCAGCTATTAGACATCAACTGAAACGACATCAAGAGAGACCAATCATTGGAATAGTTGAGCTCCACATTGTAATTACAGCTAACACAGTGATCCTGAATATTCAGTTAGAAGCCATCAGATACACCCAGACCACACTGAAAAAAAAACCCCGGGAAATATACGGTAAATTACTGGCAGTTGTGGTTGCCAGAGGATTACCGTAAAAAATAAAGTGACGCCGTATAAGACATTACAGTATGTTTTTTGCACCCGTAACATTCCCAGAGAACAGTTTTGTTTAGAGAAAACCACTATTAAAAAAAGATACACCGTAAAAAAAAACCTGTGAAATATACGGTAAATTACCGTTTTGTTTGTATAAGACAATACGGTATGTTTTTTAAAAACAGCATTCATTTTGTACCTAATTAAGGTCTTTCTCAGAGATAAACACAGTACAACTGTACGAGTTACGGTATTTTATTACAAAGTTCAAAGCAAATTGCCAGCAACTGTATTTGCCAGAAATCCATTGCAAAAAATATTTTGCATATCATATTTCAGTCAACATCAGGAAATATTAAATAAAGCTGATGGTAAATCAACATCCAGAAAGTGGAGCAGTTCTGGACCTTCTGCTTGAAGACTTGTATCCTCAGGTGTTCACTGCGGATTGGGATGATCCTCTCTGTAGCCCAAAAACAGAAACAAAGGCAAAGTTAGATTGATGCACTGCTTGAGCAGAGACACATTCACTGCCTGCTTGTGTTTAACTGAGCTTCAATGACCAAGAAGAAACCAACACTCTGAATATAACTCCACTGTATAGTTAATCAAAATTAATAAGAGTCAGGTTGAATGTTAAAAGAGGACCCATTTTAGCACAAAGGCATCAACGTGGCAAAAAAACGAACAAAGTGAACAAAGACAGCGTCTACTAGTAGGTGGCATGAATACATAGTTGTCACTCTGACGACAGAACGATCTGGCGCTGAATGGCAGGAAGACCCGGGTTGATGTAGGAGAGTCCCCTGATGGCTGATTGCAGTCAGCTGTTCCAGCCACGTCCTTCGGGAATAAACAGGAGGAGACCACAGCTCCTTGCAGAGACAGGGGAAACACAGGCAAAGCAAACAAACACAGGGGAACTGCTGGACTGACACTATGACATTCACTCTCAAGACTCAATCAAGACTTGTCTTCACGTTTCATGTGGTTCATTTTTTAACAACCAGGATAACTGCACATCTAATTAATCCCATCAATTATACATTTTTGTATACATTTTGTGCGACTTGTGAGCGGTGAATGGGAATTTGACCATGAAAACGTTTTTACATCCACTCACTGGATAACTCACAGCGCGTCCTTCCAAGAGATGCTCCTTCAAATGAGCGATTAGCTGTTTTGTATTTCGACACTGACTTTCACATAACGCCACACCGCATTTGAGAGCTGTCCCGACAGTAACGTTCACAGAAGCTGATAAGTTAACGATATGTGTCCGGTAGAAATGAGCCTTAAATGCTCCATATCGAACAAAGGTCTTTTTGCAACCAGCTTCAACGCACTTAAACAAACAACGTGGTTCATTTCTATGAAGGTTGCAATGAAGCACATAACCCCTCGGTGTTTTAACCGACCTGCCACAGTAATTGTATTCAAACATTTCCTTAGCCAACGTTTGGTAAACTAATGTTAGCTAGCTAGCTAACATTCAGTGCAGAACAACGTTTTTGCAACAGTGATGCAAAATTGTAGAAAACAAAGCATCAAATTAAAATATAGCTCAGATGATTATGTAGGCAAGTTACCTCAAGAAGAAATGTAGCCTGGAGTCAGTCAGGCCGTTGTTCCAGCAATGCAGAGTGCGTAGAAATGGCTCTGAAGTGGAGTTGAAAAGTTCAATCTTCGAACGTTGTTTTTTTTTTAACACAGCCACACTTCTGCCCTCCTGTCGTGTCTCTCTCTTTCCTTCTGTCTCTCTATATCCCTCAATTTGTCTCCCTTTCTCTGTCTCTCTTTCCCAGCCTTTCCATAAAAAATCGAATTGGTTAATATACCCATGTCAACTTCCCCACGGTATATTTATGTTATTAGCACAACGGTTAGTACACTAACAGTGGTGACTAACTGCTATTTATATTAGTATTTCTGTAATCAGTACAGTGGTAAATGTAACCTTGACTAAATGTGTTTTTTCACAGATAATCTTTGTAAAAATTGCAGTATTGCCTGTTATATATATTCAGTACAATATTTTGTGCAATTAACAGTTATAAACTGTATTTTGCACAAATAATAAATGCAAAGACTACAGGACTGGCTGTTAAATTCACAATACGTTATATTTCCATTCGCAATTAAATATTCCGTATAATTTACAGTAACGCAATTTATTTTTAAGGAGTAATACATCTAAAAACTACGGTATGGATTGTTGTTCATATTACGATGTATTTCCATTATCAGTACAAACGTCATTGCAATTAACAATTATAAACTGTAGTTTGTACAAATAATAAATGCAAAAAATACTGGACCTGCTGTGAATGCCATAATACGTTATATTTCCACTTGCAGCAAAATAGTCCGTACATTTAACAGTAACAAAATGTATTTTTAAATAGTAATACATGCAAAAACGGTCATATTACGGTGGATTACCGTCATCAGTACAATTTTTAGTGCAATTAACAGTGACCAACTGTATCCTTTACAAATAATCAATGCAAAAATAACAGGGCATTTAAAATACGTTATATTTCGGTTGCCAGCACAGTAGCCCGTACATTTAACAGGGACACATTTATCCCTGAGTTATAAATGTAAAAATTGCGGTACACAGTGTTTTTCATAATACGGTGTATTTCCGTTATCGGTACACTGTTTAGTACAATTAACTCAAATGTAACTCAAATCAAATGTATTTCTTACAAGAAATAGATGCATTAATTACGGTTTGCGCTGATATATACATATACGGTATTTCAATGTGATAGAAACAGAAGATTACCTATTTTTAATCAAGGGTCTTTTACCGTTGCGATTTAACAGTTTATTAATGTAAAATCAACATACTTTTTTTACAGTGCAGATATGACCGGTCAAGCTTAGACCCTCCCTTACCAGTTGCTGCTCGCGTGCAGAGAGAAATCCCGCTGAGCGTCATGACTCACTTATGTATTCCCGGCCCCGCAGGGAAGTGATGAAGTCACCAAGTCAAGTGTGAGAATGCAGGAGAAACACTTTCAAGGTAAACAGATGCGCAGTGAAAAGGTGCTATTTCAAAGTCATGCGGTTCTATTCTTATCCAAACATATTGCTCGCTTTCGAGGGGGGAAAAAAAAGCTTCCTTTGAAGGCTCCCACCTTTTCCTCCTCGCTCCTTGGAGCACCATCTGTACGTTGGCTTAGAGGATTGATTTACGTGAACATGCTCTTTATCTCCCTTTCTACATGCATGAATAGTTTATGAGTGGAAGCTGTTCTCACGCAGAAAAAGCAGGGTGTGCATTGCATGTGCGTGTTTCTTTGTGTGTTTCTTTTTGCGGGTACATGCATTTGAGTGACGAGGTGTGTGTGTATGCATTTTCCTATTATATGTTGGTAATGACCCGATGACAAGGTTGAGAAACCTGCTAAATGGGTTCCCCCCCCCCCCTCCGTAGACTTTAACGACTGCCACAACGTAGCTCAGCTGATCCTCTCTATTAGGTGTGTAATAAGAAATGTCTTCGAATTTCATGATTTTATCGCGCCTAAAAGAAACAAATGCCAAATGAGCATCTGGCTATTCAGAACCTGGAGAGGTATCACAATCCTTGATAAACACTTCTTCGATATCACATTACCCCAAAGACGGAAAAAAGAGAACATTAATCTTCATGAGAGTAGCTCTTGCCTGTGAAGAAAAGCCAGGCCTGGGCTTGTGTTGAGTTTATTTGAACAGTGGTTGTTATTTTGATAGAGAGCAGGTTCCAAAGGGACTGCAGATTTGAGCGGAAACATCATTACACTGTTGAATGAGATTTATTATGTTATGATCCCTTTGCATGAACAAGCAAGTCTGCATCACATTGCAATGATGCCTAAATTGACGTGTGTGCCTTTACTGTGCAGAGCCAAGCGGCTCGTAAACCACGTACATTTGAAATGCTTTTAAAAACGTAAACGTTTTTTTGTGTGTCATGTGTAACTAAGTGATTGCACTTCATTTGTACGACTTTGTAAAATTTTACATTGGTGCCCTTAACACAGGTCAGTTGAACAAATTTGTGCAGAAACCAGCCAAAAAGTGAATCAGCCCTACGGTGCAGAGACGCTGAGGGACTTTCAGAGCTGTGAGACGGAAAACAAGACGGTGAAGATAAGGAGACAGGAAAGGAGCTTGATTATAAACACATTTTATCTTTTCCCTTAAGGGTGGATTGAAAAAAAAGGGATTTATCTAAAATGCTGAAATCAACAATCAGTATTTGATGAGTTTAAAGAGAGAACAGTTTTTTTCCAAAGAGTCAGGTGACCATTGATTATGACATTGGTCTTTATTAAAGCTCTCTGGATGTTCTTCACCGTAACTTTTTATCCACTTCAAGCAACAAATATCTGCCTTTTTTTGCTTCGACAGAGATCTTGCAAATTGTTGGTGCTTTGATTGTCACTTCAGGCCTGTCATTTGTCCATAAAGTTGTCAGTTTTCCAATCATCAAGTGCTTTCAATACATAAGGTAAACCTATTTTTTTTCTGTAGCATGGATTCTCTTAACAGATTGCTCATGACAAGACAATCCAATTTCAGCATAAGACTGCTTGAAATGCACATAAGTAAACTTTGTAATCCCCGACAGACATTTTATGCATAC